AATCTTGTAATAAAACACTGAGTCGGTTTCTATGAGGAATATATATTTGTCGCGTGGGGGGTTGAAGTATGAGTTATTGTTGCTGTAAAATACAACCTCCCAAGTTAGGAGGTACCAAGGTCGTCATATAAAGTAGGTGGGGCTTACAGTAGTTTTTAACGCAGGAGTATAGGGTATGTTTGTCCCAGTAACAGGCCGCTATACAGAGAGGGGGATCACCAAAAACACGCCGCTTTTTCTGCAGAATAATAGGAAGGAAGCAAAAAGAAAAGAAAAGGAAACCAAAAAAAAACTGTCTCCGTATTTCTCTCTACTAAAAAGTTTTTACTGATGCCAGCTTTGGCATGATCAGATGAATATGTCCGGCTCGAAGTTTTCACGCATTGGCGAGTATGGGATTCATGATCTTCCTGCCCCCCTCTTTAACTTTTTGGTTGTCTCGGGGACCTGCGCCTAAAGCCAGCTTTGCCTGTGAACCGATGTACCAGCGACTTCACAGGTGCATCCACTTAGAGCCTCAACTTCAAGTCCCCACCGTTCCGCCCCCTCACGTGAACGGTTTACGAAAATCTCAAGAATCCATTCTGAGTTGACGCCAGATTGGAATGAGCACAAATGCAAAGCCGGTATGGGGACTCGGCTGAGGAACGGGATGGCTTTTTTTCAAGGTTGGCCCGTAGTGATGCGTCTGTGCTTGTGGCATGAGCCAATAGGAGCCTCTGACGCAAGTGGAACAGGGAATATATGGAATCTTACCCCGCCGTCTGTGGACCTAATCAACGAGACCCCGATTTGGCTGGTTGCCAAGTACTGAGAGCTTGGTGGAGCGGCACTTGGGAGAATCTCCGTAACCAATGGTCGGAACAAAGTTTGGCTTCTTACATACAATGGCGGCTTCACGCGCGACTCTCTCGCCTTGGGCGCGCCAGGTCGTCGTTCGCGCTGCTCGCGAATGCATCATTAATCGCACAAGACTTTGCATGTTTAGCGGCAGTGGAGATGTCGCGAATTTCGCGTTGACGACAAATGGGCGTGATATACGCGTGTTATTGGCCTCAATGCCTGTCCAGTCAGTGATGGATGGATGGATTTAAGTTGAGCCTCAGTGCAGTCTCAATGGCTTCCAACAACCTCGACCCACGCGACCCATCTGTCCGACTAGCTAAACTAACTGCATCATGATGTCCTCCGAACCATTCTCTTTGAGCCCTTCGTCCTGGAATCAACCAGGTGTGATGGAGCGCGATGAATTCTCTTCTTCGCCAGCCGCCCCGTCTCCAGGAACCTCGTTACCAACGACGCCATCGCTCCGTCCTCGCGGGACTGCCGCCGATTTTATTCAGGTCGATTGGACACTCTGGGCCGCCAAGAGTGGGCCAAATGGCCCGGATTCGAGCGTTATACTGGCGGCCAAGACACGAGGGCATGGTGGCAACAATATGGGTATCGCGTTAAGGACCGTTCCACCTCGCGGCAGGGAAATAAGCTGAAGTGGATCTGCGCCGACTGCTTTGCCCGAGGTTTCAAGAAGAAGTCGGACTTCTGTTTCGTCTGCTCGACAGGAGTCGCCATCAGGAAACACCTACTCAAAGCCCACGGATTCTTGTAAGTGTGTGCCTCTCATCTACGGTTTGATAACGTGCTGATTTGGCAGGCCCCGAACAAAGTTGCCAGCCCCGTGGGGGCTCATTTCTAAATGACAGGACCATCACCGACTTCATCGATGCCGACTTCAATAATCCCACGACCAGTTTCTTCTCAGCAAGCTGCGTGGAAGATTCAGCAGCAAAGGCCTCCGAGTACTCCTCCTCGACTGGATTACCTACCATAACCTGCCGTTCAACATTGTCAATACCGAGCGGTTCCAGCGGATCCTTCTCTACGGCAATCCCCTCCTTGATGTGACCCACATTCCCTCTGCGAAGACGCTGCTTCGCATGCTCGAATCCGAGTATAGGGGTGCCGTTGGGCCGGTAACCGAAGTATTGCGCAGCGCTCGATCCCAGATTCATTTCTCCTTCGACGGTTGGACATCCAAGTCGTACACTTCGTTTCTTGGGATCAACGCTCAATTCATTGATAACCACTTTGTCCAACACCGAATCCTCCTTGGGCTTCGACCTCTCTCGGGCAGACACAACGGTGCTTCACTTGCCGATGAGGTCGCTGATACGCTCGCATTCTGGCAAATCAACGACCCGGACAAGGTTGGCTACTTCACGCTGGACAATGCTGCCAACAATGACACCTGCATGGACGATCTTGCCTTTGAACACGGCTTCTCAGCTGAAGAGCGACGGATCCGCTGCGCTGCGCATATCTTCAACCTTTGCGTGCGGGCAATGCTATACGGTTCGAAGCGAGAGAACTTCGCGGCAATCATCGCTGCCGATGGTGACGATCAAGATGACGATGAGGAGCTAGTTGATCAAGCTATCGACGAGGCCCTGGATGTAGAAATGGAAGACGGCACGGATGAAGACTTTGAAGCGAACACTGCCGTTGGTATCCCAGAAGAGGACTTCCTATCATCCCACCCAGCCCCGGAGGAGATCAATGGAGCCACTTTCAGGGAGTACAGCCAGAACGGCGCCCCAGGAATGCTTCACAACATCGGGATTCAGCTGCGAGCGACTACACAGCTGTACGAGCAGTTTCTTCAGTCTCAGCGCAAGGAATCCGGCCATGAATCAACACTTCACTGGGTCTTCAACAATGCCACCAGATGGAACTCGGATATGCGGATGATGGAGAGGGCCCTTCGTCTCCGCCCGGCTCTCAATACGTTCTTCAATGACGTTCAGAACCGTTGGGAAACTGAGGGTCTTTGTGACAAACCGAAACCGGCAGTTCTGCAATACCGCTTAAGTGCGTACGACTGGAAGGTTATCGAGGTGCTTGTCAAGCTTCTGAAGCCTTTTGAAATCGCCACCAAGCAACTTCAGGGCGACGGTATTCCCGACGCGAGGTCGACTTGCGGTAGTTTCGATGAATACTTCCCTGTCTTCGAGATCCTACTTGACCACCTCGAAGGAGCTATCGAAGGCACAATCTTTGAAGAAGTTGAGGATCCAGTGAGCAAGGAGAAGAAGGACGTCGAAGTCGCCATCTACGACGGGCTCGATAGCAGAACCCGTAGATTGCTCAAGGTCTTTATCAAGCTCGGATGGAAGAAGCTGCACAAGTACTACAACTGTCTGACTAGCGCAGCTTATGTCGGCGCTGTTGTCTTCAACCCGGCGAAGAAGTGGCGCCTTCTCGATCAACTGTGGTCTCGAGTGCCTTCTCGTAAGGCCAAGGGTTGGCGATTAGAGTACGAATCCCAGCTCTTGGAGATCTGGGAGAGTTACAGGGAACGCGAAGTTGACTACGAAGTCTTCGCTACATCTGACGAGGCCTCAATGGATTACATTGAGCGGAGACTTGCCAGGAGTGTAGCTGGGTCGCCATGCGCCCAGGGTTCGTCCTTGGCAGTGTCCAGTGCCCGCAAGAGCACCCGAAAGACGAAACACACGACAGCAGGAGCGACTGCTGATGACGAATATGCTCGGTACTGTGCTGAGGATGTTGTCAACAGTCACCACTACAGAAGCAGGCCGATTGACTGGTGGAAAATCAACAGGAATCGGTACCCGCGACTGTCTCTGATGGCGGTTGATATGCTCACCATCCCATCGTCGTCTGCGGAGAGCGAGAGGACATTTAGCAGTGCAGGACGTATGACGGCACCGTTGAGAAGTCGGCTGAGGAGGGAGATAGTGGCGATGGCTCAGTGCATTCGATCATGGAGTAAAGCTGGGATCTACACGCCTTCACTGCCGCTGGTTAGCCTCAGTGATGATCAATGGGTTGACGCACTTGCGTCGCTGAGGGGGACGAGTGACATTTAATCTGCCTAGTACCTGCCTTTGCACAATTGACGATGTTCTGCGATGTCTTATCTGAAGCCGTGATACCTTCTAAACCCGCTCTGCACCTCTCACCACTCTTCTGTCGGGGTATGACGGCATGACGGCCTGGTGATGATGACGACGGTCCATTTGGTTCTAGGTCCTATTGGTGTTTCGGTCTCCGCCGGGATTAGTTCTACGTTCGATCGAGTTCGAATCGAATTCGATCGAATCTTGGCATTCGATAGATATCGAATCTACGGAAGACATGTTCGATTCGAGTCGAATCTACGGCACAAGAATTGTGGCGCGTTCGATTCGATACGAATCTGCGGGAGATGTGTTCGATTCGAGTCGAATCTACAGGACAAGAATTGTGGCACGTTCGATTCGATACGAATCTGTGGGAGATGCGTCCGATTCGATTCGAATCTACGGGGTCACATTCGATTCGAACGCCAAGGCTTGGCGTTCGATTCGATAGATTCGTAAGATGTCCATCCCTGGACGAGGGCATGGTGCCAGAGTCGATGGATCAACCAGCAGCATCTGTCGACTTGCATACCACCTCCTGGAGTAGAGGTTCTGCCTCTAACGACGATATTTACAGGCTTCAATCCATGCTAGATGTCGAATCTCAACTTCCCCCGGACTCTTCTACATTAGACGAATACGGGCCCGAAAATTCACAAGACAGCGAGGACGAGCTGGTCGAGCAACTCTCCGACCGCATCGGCACACTGCAAATTCGACTAGGTGGGTATATTCGCTTTTTTGGCTCGACGTCGAATTTCCACTTGCTCGAGATGCCCGGGACTGATGGGACAACGAGTGCTTCTCATCGAACAGTACGGAATGATGGCATGAAATACCTCGACCTTGTTGGCCTTGGCAAACGTGTTCCCACAGAGATTGAGGAGCATCTGACCAGCCTCTACTTTGCTTGGCAGGATCCATGTTCTCATGTGGTTGATAGGACTATTTTCGGAGACGCCAAAGTGCAGTGGCATAGTGGACAGGATACGCCATATTATTCGGAGGCCCTGACAAGCGCCATGTACGTTGAGTTCAAGACTCAGTTCCACCCATTTCTGATGTTTCTGCCTACAGTTGTGCAGTTGGAGCTGCGTTTGATGCTCGCTATCATCCAGCGTTTGTCACGTTCCCGCGATCGCTTTCTGAGTTCTTTGCCGACCGAGCAAAGGCTCTTCTTGAAATTGAGCTGGATTCGCCGCCGACTGTGGCCACAGTTCAGACCTTGGTGGTTCTCAGTGCACACGAGAATGGCATTGGCAGAGATGCGAGGGCGTGGCTGTACAGCGGTACGCTTAGATCCTTCCTTGGATAACTGACTTGACAGTAACCAGTTCAGGCATGGCGATGAGACTCGCCCATCTTCTCGCGCTCGATCAAAATCTGGCGCAGTACATCGCAAAAGGTCTTCTTACGCCAGCGGAAGCAGAGCTACGTAAAGTAGTATTCTGGGGGGCTTGCGTAGTCGACCAGTAGGTTATCAATCAACGCAGAAATTGAGTTATTCTGACAGTTTGCAGTGCATGGAGTTTCCAAATTGGACAGCCGTTTCGGTTCTCTCCCAAAGACGCCACCGCCGCAAAACCCACGTCTCGTCAAGAGAGAGCTGAGCAATGGATTGCCTACGTGGCGCCGGCATTACCTGCAACTGCTCTCACCGACTACACCGATCTGGTCTGTCGATATCAGGCCTCGCTCATTGAAACAATGGGACCCCTGTCAACGACAGTATATGGGGATGTGTCCATTCCAAAGCCAACGCTTCAGGAGATCAATGCACGGACTGTCGCTGAGCTGCTCAAATGGAAGGCTACTCTGCCCTTTGAGCTCCAGGTCAAGAACACTGATCACAGCACGCCTTGCCTTCCACATATGCTTATGATGCAGTAAGCCGACCAATTCGGCCTATTCGGGTACCTCAAGGGCTAACTTTTCCAGCATGCAATACCATCAAGCCATGATCTACGCCCATAGACCATACATGTCCAAATCCTACCTTCAGCCTCAGCCACCCCAAGGACCTGGAGCTCGTCACGCCCGACAAATGTGCATAGAGTCCGCCAGCTCTATCGCTCAACTTCTATGCTCTTACGAAGCACGGTATTCTCTACGACGCATGAATATCCAAGCCGTAGCCATCACTTTCTCCGCGGCTCCACCGCTCCTGTTTACAACAATATCACATCAACTTTCACGAGAAAACGAGGTGTTTGGTCATTTGGGGACTTGCTTTCGAGCGCTAGATGAGTTGGGATCAACATGGGAGAGCGCTAAACGAGCGCGTGACTTTATAGCCAGGTTACAACGTCATTGGGATACCCAGTACAGGTCGAGCAACTGGCCCGGTCGCTCAGGAAAGAGTCAAAGTAGATCAACAGCTTTGGGAGAAGGTTCACAGGCTTCAATTGTGTCGAATGATGATGGAGGAAGCACCGTAGAAGTTCCCGGGGAAGGGAGCCAGTGGACTAGTTTCAACAACTCTATGAGCGTGGACTTTGATCTTGATTGGATACTTACGGCGGATCTGCAAGGAATGTCTCCTGACTGGGGGAGCTTCTTTTCCGTCACATCAGGGGGCATGCTATCGAATAGTTCGCTAGGCCAATAATTTTGGTACTACGAAGTACAAGTCATCACCTAAAGAGATGTACAGCATATCCAGGGCGCTTCAACCTGCCAAGTGTAAAGCCGTGGCATGTTCGAGAACAACATTCCTGTCATAGGGATCCTTTCCGTTTCCCGCGGCCGACTTCTAGTGATTCGGGCAATGGGGCACTTCTCCGACCAACGAAAACAAGACTACGGAGCCTCGGCCTCTAGTACGCGAGGGTTGTGTAGAATCCGGGGATGAGAAAGGTCTGTCCGACTTTGCTCAGCTTACTCGTCAACAGCCTCCTCGGTCTCAGTCCGTCCCTGTGGGGACTGATGGCTGATTTCCCGCCGGATGAGCGGAAATCGATGATCGGGACTCAAGAGGTTGCGTCTCCGACACAGACGGCTCAGGCCACGCCACCGAGTCAAGTGTACTAACGGGACGATGACCAGCGTTTTCCGACCCCGCTTCAGTCCCCGCTATTTTTGTTCGGCCCGCTAAAGCAAAATTTCCAGACACAGGACACGTAATCCAAATAAAGATGTTGTATGCGTACACAGTGAGGCATGGGCTGGTGAAGTAGAGTTTTCAAACTGTTCAACTTGCGAAATCCTGAATACGCAGTAGATCAAGATGTCCGCCGTAAGTACTCTTCCTACTCCGGACGAGTTGAAATATGCGATTCAACTTCAATCAACAGTCGAGCATTCAATGCTAACCTTTCACTTGCGTCATCCAGACTCATATGCGCCCGATAAACCACGTCGGCGTCTCCGTAAACGATATCGAAGCCGTAACGAAATGGTACACCGAAGTCATGGGCTTCAAAGTTCACGCCAACAAGATCAAGCACATCAGGCGCTCCGAAGACCCCAACAACGGCATCTTCAAGATCTACCCCTCATCACTACAAGAAGTCAAGCTGGCCTTCATGGCGACCGGCAACGGTGTTGGCTTTGAGGTCTTTGAGTTCTTGGATCCTGTCTACCAGAGGGTCGAGGAGTTTGAGTACAACCGTGGTGGTTTCTTCCATCTCTGTGTGACGGACCCCGATCCGCAGGCTCTTTTAGCCAAGGTTCTCAGCAAGGGCGGGAGCAGAGTTGGTGATGCTATCGTCAATATGCCCAGTGGGTCGAAGTGTCTGTACTTTAGGGATCCTTGGGGGAATGTTATTGAGGTTTTGGATATGAGCTTCGATCGTATGGCGGGGATAGACACGGCCTGATATAAATTCATGCCCTTTGGTCAGAAATAAATACGGTGACTCGCCACTAAACAGTCAAAGGGCAGTGACAACAACTAAAGCTATTAATTCCGCCTTCTGCTCAGGACTACAGACAAAACCATTCGAGTATCACCAGTCCTTTTCCTTCAATACGGTAATTCCAATACGGCTCTATATACCGGCTTCGATACTAGTGTCCTTCACAATCATGACGTTTAGCTTTCCTGTCTCTTCAGAGTTGCTGATCTCGTTTCTCGTTTCATATTGCAGCAGCCCGGTCAGGCTCCGATAACGGGAATCAATGACCGGTCGGGGCTGGTAGCGTGATGCTTACACTATGTTCATGCACGAGTGCTTCGTCGAACGACTCACGCTTTGAAGCGCTGCGCAGAACACAGGCAGGTTACCCTAAGCCTTTATCCTATCTAGCTTGAGTCTTGCCGGACCTTGGGGTTTCAGACCCTGGGCCAAGAACGGGCCAAGAACGGACCAAGTACTGGCCTTATATTTCCTCTTCATCCTCCTATTCGCCACCTTTGCCGGAGCCCGTCGAATGTGGCATGTCGAGGTACTGACTCGTGCAATTCTAGGACCATTCTGTCGAGCATCACTCATTGACCCCCCATTTAGCCGTTACCAAATTCTACGAGTTTGGACTCAGATGGAATCTGTAGAGGGACATTGAGGGGCATCAAGTAGTCAAAAGCAAAACAAAACAAGGCAAGCATAGCAGGCCAGATAGCGTACTCGAACAGGTGGGAGATAAACGGGGTAACTTGGAGGTGATGATCAACCATAATGCGAATGAGTCAGTCGAGCTAACAAACCACACACCACTCGGTTCTCTTGACCCCCTTGCCCCCCGGCACCGCCGTTAGGTGAGGGCGGAGAGGGCGATAGTACCGGACATCGCGTCCGCGTCGGGTTTCGAACCCGATGATGCACATTACGTAGACGGTAGCTGGCACCACAAAAGAGCTGGGACCTCAGCATTACCCCGGACATCACTCCACTTTACCCCAGAGATAACGGCAAGCTGAGAGGGCCAACCCCAAGAAACTAAGAGAAGCCAAGTTTTGATAGGACTAGGAGATGGGGTATCTAGTGGAGATGCTGACTATGACGTATCGTCGGACCCGATTTCCGTGTCCTATCACGAGATTACCCATTACCCCAGGCTGCGGTAGCAATATCCACATCCCTTTATCTCCCGCGAGAAACTACCCCGAGAGTACCCCGGACAGTACCCCACATTACCCCAGAGCCCATTGTATAAAGACCTGGATTAATGTCTTCCCAAGTGATCAACATCTCCATCACTCTTCACCTCTTTGCCTCTTCACCTCTTCCAACTTTCTTCGCCGTCTTGCATCACCTCAGGACCTGGCCTCCTCGAGCTCTAGCAACAATGGTGTCTCACGATGAGGTCGACCCGGTTCGGTTGAGGCAACAATCTGTCACTCAAGCATGGCAAGACAAGGTTGAGCACACTCAACATGTTGACGCTCTAGTCATCGAAGCTGAGAACGAAGATAAGATGACCCCATACTTGGCCTTCTTGATTCTTACAGCCGCTCTTGGTGGATTCCTGTACGGTTACGACACCGGTGTTGTCGGTGTTGCCCTTCCTTACATCGGAAGCGAGTTGACCGGCAAAGACCTCACCTATCCCCAGCAAGAGATCGCCACTGCCGCCACCACTATCGGATCAATCTTCGGAGCAGCCGTCTTGGGCTTCTTTGCCGACAAGTGGGGCCGAAAGCCCTGTCTGTTGATATCTGATCTGTTCTTCACTGCTGGTGCCATCATCATTGCTTTCAGCTTTTCTCTTGGCCAGGTCGTCGCCGGTCGTCTCATCCTGGGCGTTGGAGTTGGCGGAGCTGCTGTCATTTGCCCTCTTTACATTACTGAGCTGGCTCCGACCAAGGCCCGTGGACGATGTGTTGGAACAAACGGTTTCTGCATTCCTTTTGGCCAGACCGTCAGTGTCGCTATCGGTGCCGGTATGCAACACACTAAGTACAACTGGCGCATCCTTTTCGGCCTTGGCGTTGTGCCATCACTCATCCAACTCTGTCTTATGCACAAACTCCCAGAGTCTCCTCGTGTTCTCATCCTCCGTGACCAGGACGACAAGGCTCGCGAAGTTCTCAAGAGGATTTACAAGTTCGCCTCACCTGAGATAATCGAGCTTAAGTTGCAGGTCATCAAGGATCATGTCACTGCCACCACCGCTCTACAACGCACAACCACCTTCTGGGAGCGTTCCAAGAAACTGTGGACTCACAAGCCGTACCGTCGTTCCATCTTCACTGTCAGCTTCATCCAGGTCTTTGGCCAATTCACTGGTTACAACACCCTTCTCTACTACGCTGGCACTCTGTTTAGACTTCTCGGCCTCTCCAACCCTTCTGTTGGCGGTTTGATCCCATCCATTACTAACACTTTCTTCCTTCTTCTCGGTATGGTCATGGTTGATCGCATCGGTCGCCGTGGTCTCCTGATGAAATTCGGTCCCATCATGATTGTCGGTCTTACTTGGTGCCTCATTGCCTTCTACTTCATGTGCAAGCCTACAGGAGGATTTCTCGATGAAGACTACAAGTATTCCCGGAAACTTGTCGGTCTTGTCATTGCCGGAATCGTCATCTTCGTCACCGGCTTCGGCTCTACATATGCTCACTTGTGTTGGTATCAATCCGAGTACCTTGCTCTGGAGATTCGTGCCGCAGGTAGTGCCATCAGCACCACCGCGAGCTTTACGGCCAACCTAGTCGTCTCCGTGTCCTACCTCAGCGAGTTCGTGCCCCTTCTTATTAAAGCATTGATTATTTAGCTGACTTGATCCAGACTCGAAACGATGACTCCCAGCGGAACATACGGTCTATACTTGTGCTTCGTCTTGACTGGTCTTGTGCTTGCCTACTACTGCTACCCTGAGACCAGTGAGTAATGGCCCTGAATATAACAACGAATTGATGCTAATATTTCCTCTTCAGAGGGCCTGTCGATCGAGGAAGCCTTTACTCTCTTCCAGGACGATTATGGGGTTAAGAAATCTAAAGAGATGCGACGAGAGAAGCTTGCAATGCAGAAGGAATATAACTCACCTGCAGACATCCCAGTAATGAATATATATTTATTGTTAAGGGCATATTTATTGTTAAGCTTATCCATAAGGATAAGAATATAGACGCTGCCAATAAATATATATTGTTAACTATTAATAATATGGACCTGCTATTTTCCAGTGTCAATTCCCCCAGCGTGTTTCAGGTTAAATTGTGGTCCTGTACGCATATTGCTGCCTATCAGGCACCTAAGATAGGAGGTGAACTCCACCAATATTTGTAACTCCTAGCAACCGAAACTGCTGCTTCGCCATACCCGTCACGTTGCAAGTACGCAGTTAGAAATACATCAGCGACATATCTCTACACACGATAATGGACGTCAACATATCCTCACTGCCCCAATCTAATGCCCCGTCAAGTTCTTCCTCCGTGTTACCCTCTGACAGTGCCTCACAAGTTGCCAGCACACTGTCGGAACCCGAGGCGTCGTCAGCTCAGCATACGGTCAAGAGAAGGAAACTGAGAGCCACATCAACATGGGATCACTTTCGAGAAGCTCAAGGCGACGAGCCACGCACTATAAGCGGGAAATTACTCCACTACTGCACGCGTTGTCGCAATCCATTCTGGTCAACCTACATATCTGGCAACGCCTGCTATCATCTCGAGAAGGCTCATTACATACTTGTTCGAGAGGATTCAAAATCTCAAAACAGGCGCCAACTAGCCATCGAAAATGCCTTCGCAAGAACAACTGGCAAGCAGATGCAGCAAGTCAGGGAGAATGAGATGAACACTCTACGGAGTGTAATCAATGTCGATGCCTTTCGGGAGGCACAGATGCTGCTATCCGCACATAAACATTTGCCGCTCAACTTCGTAACGTGGCCGGAATACCAGGCACTTCTAGCCGCGATAAACCCTGCCGTTAAAGAGTTCCTGACTGATTCCGGTAGCACAGTTGCGGCGGACTTGGACAGGGCCTACGATGCGCATCAGCAATCCGTAAAGGAATGGCTAGAACGTGCCCGGAGCCTCGTACACATTGCCATGGACGTATGGTCTTCTCCTCAGCGCAAGGCCTATATCGCTGTTCACGCCCAATGGGTTGACGAGGCCTACAAACCTCGAAAAGCATTGCTAGGGCTACCAAACCTCCGCCGCTCTCACGCCGGCGCGGCTATGGCACCTCACTTGATGACGATTATCCGACAGTACAACCTAGCGCACCGAATCGGCTACTTCACTGGGGACAATGACGCAAAAAATGACACCTGTCTCCACCAACTTGCTGTTGAGCTGTCGCAAGAGTACGACCTTACACTTGATCCAGTGTCCTCTCGAACGCGGTATGCCGGCCACATCATTAACTTGTCCCTTCAAGCCTTTCTCTTTGCAACTAGTGAGGACGCTCTGCAGGCCGCAATTGCGCAGGCGCAACACGAGGCAAATGATGTAACAGTTGCAGACGCATTACACAACCAGATTCAGTCGAACACTTGCCACAAGAGTCACGACAGGCGCAAGAAACGCCATGACACTGCCGGCTGGCGGAGCATCGGCCCAATAGGTAAACTCCACAACATTGCGGTGTTCATCCGTAATTCCACAGTGCGCAACGATGCATGGGATGACATTGCAGGAAAGGCGCTTGGAATTGACAATATCACCTGTTGGAACTCATGGTTCAAGTTGCTTGATGCGGCTATCAGCCAAGAGGGTCCATTGTCAATATTCCTCAACCAATACCACAACGAGCTGGAAGACGACATCCTCACGCATGATGATTGGCAAGTACTCAAAATGACTCACGAGTTCTTGCAGCCGTTTTACCAAGCGACCTTGGAGCAGCAAATAGAGTGGGCATCAATAGATCAGGTGCTAGAGAATATAGATATTCTTTTCATGCAGTTTGAGAATGCCAAGATAAGTCATAGACAGCCAGTACAATCTATTACCAGACCTATACTGATATTAAAGCAGGTCAAATACGCCAGCAATATATATATGGTTCATTCCATTCACATGGGCTGGTGGGTTCTCTCGAAGTATTATGAAGAGAGTGACAGAAACCCAATATATGCCACGGCATTATTGCTCCATCTAGAAAAGCGCCGGAGGTACCTTGACCGCCACTGGGCAGAGGAATGGAGACACACCGCCATTGCTGGTGCACAGCAGCTTTAGGCGAAGTACAAGGACCGGCCACTCCCGTCGGAGTCTGCGGCTCGGCTGAACGATGAACGACGGGAAGTAACACCGTATGAGCGTATCAAGCAGTCAATGAGTGTCTTGGATGAACCCGGAGATGAGGATGAATTCGAAAAATTCGTCAATTCTCCGCCAAGACCTATGACGACAAAAACACCGCTGGAATGGTAGTGCCGAGAAGAACAGAGGATTGAGTATCCACGTTTACACCAATTGGCCATCGACATACTAAGTGTACCGGCGATGTCCGACGACCCGGAACGGGTATTCTCTTGCGCAAGGCGGACAATTTCTTGGGACAGGGCGCGGCTCTCGGCTGATACTATCGAGAAACTTCAATGCCTGAGCAACTGGGTGAAGAATGATTTGATCCGCAAAGTCTACGTGGCAGTAGATGACGAGGTCATGGAAGTCGCAGGCGACGACGACAATATAAGTGGGCCCTCAAGTTATATTAGGAATAATTCATAAGCTTAAGAATAGATAAGAATATAAGGGCACGGCTATGAATACATAAGAATATGGCAATATTATGTATTTATTCATTATTGGGATGTCTGCAGGGCACCCTCGAATCAGTCTGGCTCTGGGTGGTCGGTGCCGGGAAAGTGGGAGGATCTTCCTGCGATTGTGCGGAGAGGAAGGCGATCCATGAACGGCCTGGTGGTAAGTAAGCCCGAAAAATTTACTTACTTTACTTATGTAGAAAGCTGATGACGGCAACTGGATATCTCGAACCAAATGTACTCCTTCCCTGGAGTGGATGATTGGTTCATGCTCTTTTAACGGGACGACATGGCCACAAGATGTCATGCCATGACATCTTGCCAAACTTCACCTCGATCAAATACATCAGCACTCGACACTGAAGCCTTAGATGCCTTGGTTATATACATGACGGCTATCCCATGGTATATCTTTAACAACCAAATTGCCATCGTGGATGATACACTGGACGCCCTGTACTCTATCCCTACCTCGGAAGATTTTGGCCACTTCTTCGGTAACATGGCTCATGCGATCGTCTCGATCAGCACAGCAGGCTACTTTAGCACGTCGGAAATTCCAACACTGTCTCGTGTCACAGAACAAGTCTACATAGTCCGAGCCAGTGTTCTTATTGCCGTTATGCTGATGCTGGCTCTGGCTGTTGCGGTCAGCATCCTCGACATTGCCCGAAACCAGATTCGCGGGTTGCCTTACCTCCCAGCTGGATTCTTGGCAATCGCGCATGCAGTACGTGGGCCGTGGTGGGAGCGCGAATTGGAAGGGCATCTTGCGTGGGACAGCATCAAGTTACGGCAGTCTCATGCTTCCACTGTTATGTTTGGCGTTGATTACTCAGATCCGAGATACATCAGACTGGCTCCATCCGTCGTACCAATCCATCGATAAACCCTCAAAGGGATCTTCTCTCAGCTATAATTAGCCCCAAAATGAATCGAATTCTCCAAGCTCTGCACCCAGGACCCTCTGCTTAGTGACCCTCCCATTACTGATCCCGGTAAGACGGCTCACTTCTATAGTGAGATGTGACCGGGTGCACTCAGGGACTGAGAAAGTCTTCCTGACGACCAGTAACGGGGGTGAACTTGACTACCTGTCTTCGTCTTCAGCCTCATGCCTGCGAACGAGACGTTTACATTTCGTGTCTGCTGCTATAATTTAGGGACGTTCTGGGCATCAAGCTACGATAGATAGGTGGCCAGCAGGATGTGGCTGACGCCCTCCGAGGTCGGATTCCAGGCCGGCCATATATTTTGGGGCGGTTTGTTTATCCAAGAAGGTTCGATATTTGGCCAACAGGGCTGTGGCTGTCGCCCTCCGAGGTCGGATTCCAGACCGGCCACACATTTTTGAGTAATAGAAATGGAATAGCGTATGACCAAGGTCTTAAGTCAGGGTCTCAGACCTCGTAATGGCAGCTAGGAATAAAAACCAACAACCCGAATTTGAAGCTATCACAACGGCGCCAACGGATTAAAATGCTAGTTGGATTGGTGGCATTTGGTCGTTTCTGATGAATATTGAGTCCAAAACCATGCTCCTTGGCCACCGAGCGGGCAGCAACAAGGGCGGTCTCGTGGGACTCAAATTTGCGGTTGAACAAGGCATCCGTAATGATGATGGATAGAAAATGGGTAGATGAAGTGATCAGAAGGGTATGAATAGGTGGGCATTGCTGTTTATTACTATGTACGGCTCTATGTTATTGGTATGCTGTAATTTCGTTCCCGGCGCGTTGTCTAAGACATCATGCCGTCCTTGATTCACCATAATTTATTATATACCCGCCGACATCGCATGTCTCAGGGTTTCTGTGGCGTCAGCCACAGCCCTGTTGGCCAAATATCGAACCTTGTTGGATGAACAAACCGTCCCTATCATATTTATACGATATTTGAACGACCTTGCACTGTATTACACGGTTTACGGTATTGCTTGCACTGCACGGTATAAAAATACCGTGCAGGCAATACGATATTGAATATGATGTCGTTTTATTTACGGCCACACTATTTACTTTACTGCTTGGATGGTCATGGAAGCCATACGACTGAAGAATTCATGTTGGAGTGTTACATCAACAAGATTTGTTCTCTTTTTACCAGCTCATTCATCTCATGTCCTTCAGCCATTGGATTTGGGCGTCTTTTCTGCGTTGAAAAGGTAGGCGTGCCTTCACAATCTCGGCACTATTCCATTGCAGCCCCAATCCTGGCAAGCAACTGTTTCTTCACGCGTACCAGCTGGCTAGAAAAGAGAGGCTGATATCAGTCAATATTCTAGCTGGCTGGCAGGCCAGTGGAATCTTTCCGCGGAACCGATCCAAGCCACTGAACTTAAGATTCGTGCGAAGAGGTGATCCAGGCGCAACTTCTGCACCTACATCAGCATTTCCAACGCCACCTGCACCAGATTTTGCTCAAAAAATGAGTGCGGTAGATGTTCAGACGCCGAAAAGTTCCCGAGACCTTGTCAAACTCAAGCGGTCACTTATGGCTGTTGATCCAGCATTTGGTCAGTCTGCAGCGCGTTTGTTGTTTCGGAAGGTTGGAAAGGCACTTGACGATAATATCGTCAAATTGACAGCTGCAGAAGTTCAAACTGACCATCTGATTACTGCTCTAGAAAAGGCAAGACCTCAAAAACGACGTAGAGTTATTCCTGATCCGAACAAGGACTTCGTTGAGTTGCATGAGGTCCAGACAGAGAAGGCAAGGTTGGCTGCAGAGGGTGGTGGAGGAATCGATATTCATTCGGACCTGGAAGGTTCAACATTGAGCGATTCGGGGTCGGAAAATCTAGCGAAGCAGAGGATTGTATTGAGGTGAGAAATCCTGACTTTGGAAGCACGTAGTTTAATACCGGGTTGGCAATTCTTGTATTTACTAAGACGGTAGGAAGAATGAGATGCGATTTTTGGATGGCGCGTTGTGGGGGTGGTTCGTTGTTGGGTGCGTTGACATAGGAAATTCAACCTCAAGGCGGCCACTTGCTGCCCAGCGGAGCTGCTGCTCCCTCGGCACCACCTGCTCGCAGCAAGATCCCTCCCTACACGGGGACTTTGCCGCATACCACGAAAGATTCAACCACGATGACGCACGCGTGATCTGCTCGTGCGGCCGACGCAAAACACCGGATCATTCAGCCCGAAGGGCGTTTTATTCAGCCCGAAGGGCGTTTTACTCAGTCAGAAAGAATTGAGCATAAAACCTCCTCTGATTGGCTCATTGGCCTGGCCTGTACTCAACTCGTGCACGAATTGGTCCGCTGATAACGCCACCAAATGAAGGCCGTACAAACCCTTGAGCGTTGGCCAGGTAACTAGCTAGCTTGGCAAGCTCTCCAAGAGCTTTCAGGTTCTTCTTTTCTTCAATGCAATCCTTCCACTAACCTACGTGACGGCTGCTTCCCTGTTCCGTCGAATCTATCAAACCCATCAAGTTGCTAACGGTATCTAGGTTCACATATCACCTCCCGCATCGGGCCTACCTCTCAAGTTTCCCCGGTTACCCTGCCTCCGGGAAGCAGTGCAGTTCCTCCCTGATCATTCAGACCTGACCTAACTACCTCAAAGACAGCCACTCTATCGAGTTCTATCATGATACTGGACGTAAGCCGTCGCGAAGACTCCCTGCCCGAGCGATATCCAGCAGTCTAGGTGGGTAAGAGGTGGACATATATACGGCCAGATGGAGGACGATATACCCCAGGCAGTTCGAAACTGCCGTACCTGCAAGCAAGACCTGCCTGAAGTCGAATTTCGAAGCGTCAAGGACCCTACGAAGTTTACAGGAGAGTGTGCTAGCTGTAGGGCACGCCGAAGGGAACGGGAAGCCGGATCCCGAGCCGCCGTTGCCGCCATGCGGAATATCGCCTTCAGACTATCGCCACGCAGAGCCACGAAAAGGACCGATTCTCTAGCTAACCTGACGCCTCCAAGGCGGACTGCGCCAGCGCCTGCGTCTGTGCATGGCTTACAACCTCCTGCCACACCTGCTTTATTCCGTCGCCTGGCGCCTGCACTCCAGGGACTGCCTAGACCTCTGCTGGGGCCATCTACCCCAAGCGCGGTAGAGGGACCTTTCCCTATCACTCCTACCCTTAGCCTGCCAACAGTAGTCCTGGGCACGCCGATTCCTCAAACGCCAATTCCTCAAGGCACTCTTCCAACGGCTCCTGTTGTGCTAGGCACGCCTATACCACAGGAATCGTTCCCTACCACACCTTCATCACTGCCACAGGGTCATTGCCGCGGCCGCTATACACGTCAAGCCACCTTTAGCCCACGGCCACGGCCAGAGCCTCAAGAGCGACAGTTTGATCAGATAGTTGATCCACCATTTACAGGAGACCTTAACTTGCCCGCCCTTAGCGAGGAGGATCAGGCCCTTGTGCGGGAGTTCTATACTGCCCTGAACGACGACAAGATGCATAGTTGCATTCGCTGCCGGGAGCATTGGTTCGATATGAAGCGAAATAGCTTGCAAATCTGCAGCCGCTGCATTAGTCGAGACAAGAAAAGAGCTCCTGACGAGCCCTACTTCTTTAGCGCTACGAATAACCTTGACTTTGGGGAAGTCCCCAGCAATCTACCTGATCTAACGATGGTTGAGGAGATGCTTATTGCTAGGATTCACGTACACGTAAAGGTCCTACAGGTACGTGGCGCTCAATATAAATACCGCGGCCACGTTGTCCACTTTCTTCGCAACGTTGGTAGGCTATTTGAAGAGCTCCCAGTCCTACCTGAAGAGCTAGATATCGTACTCCTGCGGCCTCCTAATATGGAGGGCGACCCTCGCTTCCAGCAGCAGTTTGCTCGCGATTTCCGGGTACGCCGCTCATGCCTGTTGATTTGGCTGCATTACCTACAGCGCCACCACCCGGGCTATCGCGATATCGTTGTGAGGCAGGATCGCTTGCAACGGCTTCCTCTTGACGGCAGCATAGTTGCTTCCATTGCATGCCAAGTGGCTGACATACATGACGGCGAGGTCCCCCAAGGCCCGGTTGAGGAGGCTGTAGAAGAGGATCCTAGCGATGCAGACGCATCGGCGATCCCGAATTTGCAGGTTACCGATACCGAATTAAACGCCCTGCAGTCCCGATTCCTTCATAGTACCCCTGACCCTGAGCGTATGGCCGATCTTGAGCATATGCCGCCTAGCGCGCAGGCTCAACACCAGATGCCACTACCTTCCATTCGCAGGACTCCTATCAACGAATTCAACCGTTCCCAGCCGCTGTTAACGCTCGCGTTCCCTACTCTCTACCCTGACGGCAAGGCGGACTTCGTGGAGCCTCGCCTACGGAGCATCACGTACCAGGACTACCTTGCCCATGCGATGAGATGGCAAGACGGACGTTTTGCCCGCCATAAGACGTGGCCTTTCGTCGCCCTCAACACGCTGTTACGTGCGCAGGTCAGAAAGCGAAGCAACTACTTAGTCAAGCAACACGAAGGCCGCCGTCAACCTCTTACGCGCGCTGACATAGAGGAAGCGATGGCTAAGCCTGACGAGCCAGAGGCTCAGGCCCTGATCCAGTCGATCACGCGCCAAGCCGCCGTAATCAGGGGCACCCGTCCATATTGGTATAAGCAAAGGAAGGAATTGGAGCAGGGCTCCTAATAGTGCAGACCATTTAGACTATTAGTGCAGACTGCAGATCAGGGCAGGGAATACGGACGCCCGGTGTGGACGCTAAGTACGCTAGGTTGTTGGCATGGTGTTACAAAACCAGGGTACCCATGATTGTTGCTGTGCCAACCACTTTGTTTTGGATATTTCTGATCAATTCACTGGTGCGATCCGGATCAACAAGGCTCGTTTCAAGGGGCGCATCATCCTAGTCGTCAATCCACGAACGCCCGTCGTGGATTGATTATTGATCTTGGATTGTAGTCTGCACTAATAGTGTAAATGGTCTGCACTATTAGGAGCCCTGCCCGGCAGTACAGGTGGAGGCAAAGAATCGGGGCAACGGCGCAGGGCAGGCGCCAAGCGACAACGCTGGCAACCTATCTAACAGGTTCCCTGTTGCTAAAGGCGCCAGAGTGATGCTTACGACTAACCTATGGCAGCCAGCTGGCCTAGTTAACGGTGCCCAGGGTACTGTATACGACATCGCCTGGAACGCAGGCACCAACCCATGGGAAGAACCCCCGGCGGTTATTATGGTGGATTTCGATAGCTACGACGGGCCGCCGTATCTAACAACGAACGAGGGCAGGAAAATCTTACCCATCCTCCCAGTCACGCGTGATTTCCTTGTGGGCAACGAGACCTGCGCTCGCACGCAATTTCCCCTGATCGTGGCGTTTGCTATCACTGTTCACAAATGCCAGAGCCTAACGAAGGATCAGATAGTTACTGACCTCGCCACACGCGACTTCCAGGCTGGTATTAGCTATGTTGCTGTCTCACGGGTAACCTCGCTGCAGGGCTTACTCCTTGAGGCGCCTTTCGATCGTCAGAGCCTCTATAACCACACGCCCACGGAAGGTTCATGTGCCTGTGTTTCCTACGTGCTGCGTTTACGGCTAACTATAAGGCAGGGATGAAGATGCGCCTCGTTGACCAACAACGCCGTCAGGCTCAACAGCTGACCGAGCCACTGTATCCACCACTCTACCTTGACTAGATGACGTCTTCCTATAAGCTACATAGAAAGGGGAGGTTCGATATATGGTATATAGTTAGATTCGGCCTCTCAGGAAGCGGTAGAGGAACCAGCGCTGACTTCAATTCAAGTAAGTCAAGTTCGGGGGTGTAACTTGATTACTTGAAATAAAATCGTCCGTGAACTTACTTAACTTGATTTGAATTGATATACTTGAATTGAAAGCGCTGACCTGAGGCCAGGATGAAGTTATTGGTACCCTCACGCCTCTCCTCCATCCCAACCTATCAGGTCCCCACCAAAGCTGACGACCTCGCCTACAGTGATCGCTTGATGGCCTAGCCAATTCCGTAGGCACTGTATTTCCTCTATTATCTCGGGGCTTAAGTTGTGCCTTTGCGAGCTTACTGTCAACTTGGTGACACTAAACGTCCGCTCAGGATCGACAGACATAGCAGGAATTGCCAGGATGTCGAGGGCAAACTTGCTCAGACGTGGATATTCTTCTTGGTGATCCTTCCACCATAGAATGGGGTTCAAGTTCTCTCGCCGGACTGGCCCTTGCCTCATATAAACTCCAAGCTCATCTTCTTCCTCCATCATGTACCGATCGTAGCTCTGCATCCACTGGTCGAATTGACTGGGCTCGTCTTGCCGCATCGCTGTTCCTATCACGGCTCTCGCTGTCTCGGACTGCTCCTTACGTGGATACTGTTGTTCAAAGAATTCCCGGACACTGTTCTTAGCGTCCCGTAGCCACACTAGTTGCTCGTGGCTAGTCCAGTTCGCCTCAAGCCAAGACACGTTCCAGCGCGGGTGAAGAATAACGGCAGCCGGGTAAAGTGGCGATTGGCCAAGTAGACTGTAATACTCATCAAGCTTTGACCAACAGTTATTGATAGAGATTTGTATGCATCGTCGGTGGTCATCATCAAGACTCTCAGCTTGCGAGAATGCACCGGTATATTCGTCTCGAGTGTGCTGTGGCAAGTGTTTCTCGCGTCCGCGACCCTGGTCAGCTCGTGGAGTACTATATCCTGCGAAAGTATTAGTAAAATAGACATAAGAAGAGCGAATGTGAACTGGAAAGCTGTACTCGTGGTTGCCGAGCTCTGGCAAGCCGTAGCTCATCAGCAGTATCATCCGGGGGCGAGAATATCAGCTTTTGCTCCTCGAAGAAGTTGAGCAAATATTCCATTCCGATCATCACTTCCCACAAGGCGCCGTAACGGCCTTCTTTGGCCCAACCCTGGCACCTCATGGTGATCTCGTAGAGTGGTTTTAGTAGACTCTGTATCTCCGCCAAGAGAAGCCAGTCCTGCGGTGAAAGATGATCTTGGACAGGCACCCGTTGTCGGGGCTCTGCTGCCTTCGTGTCGAGATATGTGATGAAATGGTCAATCTGCTCTCGTTTGCGAATGGCACGCTGGATCATTAGAAACGTCGAATTCCATCTGGTTTCATTGTTCTGCATCAGTTCGAGATCGATGGCAGCTCGGTCCTCCTCAAAGAGTTGATAAACGTCTTCATCGCGCTGGCTGCATGCCAGAGATTTCATCAACTCTCGCCGTTGCGGAGAAGCCCTGACGAACCGGACGATGTTATGCAGCTTGCCCACTGCTCCCCGTTTCCGCCAAAGTCGAAGCTCACGCTCTTCAACTTGGAAAGCCGCCTCGGTGAAGGCTTCTCGCTCAAACGAGTCAGGGTCTTCCCCCCAGAGGAACGCTCGAGCTGCAAGGTTGACAATATGCCCAAAGCACCGTGTTCGATGGTTTCTAATATCCTCCTCGGCCATCGCAGGAGAAAGTTGACGATAGAGGCTCGCCAAGCAGGTGTCATTGGACGAGACATTGTCGCAGACACCCGCGCCAATCCGATCTCGTATCCCGTACTCGCCGAAGATGTCATATATTGTCGTTGCTTGGTTATCTCCGGAATGAGCTCCCCACACACGGCGCAGGGCAAGAAGTCGCGATTGGACTTGATAGGAGGCGTCGAGATAGTGAGCGTGGAGGCCAAGGAAAGCGTACCGGTTTGGAGAAGTCCACATGTCAAAGCTAAAGCTAATCCTTGTGACTGCCTTCTCCAATTGACTCGATATTGCTCCCTTCTTTACCTCGAATAATTTCCGCATGGTATCACGCACCGACTGCCGGCTCCACGGCACCTCTTTTGCCAATGACGCATCGTGTAAGTCAAGCATTCGTCGCAAGTACGGATTCGACGGTGCCGTGAAAGGAAGATTGGCAGTGACGATCCAGCCGACCGTCAGCTCCTTTGCTTTATTAACATTGGATCTTGCAGTAGGAAGCTCCAGGCAGCGCCGTTTCGAAGGGGGGTGAATGTCAGCGCGAGACGAATCTTCGTCTGCATTGCCGTCCGCCTCAGTGATCATATGGGACCTATATCCAGTAAGACGCTGAAAAGAATACATATCGGACTCATACGGATGCCATATACCTTCGGAGATGCTCAATTGGCGACGTGGTGTTTGTCGCGACGAACAACGAGCTCTTCCCGCGTTCATCACATTTCGAGCAAACCCAGTAGGTCTGCAACGTCCGCAAATCAGGGCTGACTTCCGTGAGGAAGAATCCATGGGCTTGAATCCAGCTCCGCCGGCCTTTGCGATTCTTGTTGGCAATATACTCCTCTGGTACATACCTCTTGCAGCCGATCTGGACCGTTGGGAGATCAGCAAGAGTCGTTCTCCCAGATTCAGCCTTAATGGACGCAGCGTCAAGCTGCTGTTTCAGCGATTTGCGCTGACTGCTAATCCCCAGGAGCGTTTCTAGCGACTGCTGTTGTGCTGCCATAGCGGATCATTGGCGGATCGCGGATCGTGGATGCTACTCACAAAGGGACTACTTGGGTTCTGAGTCAGGTGCGACGCGTCTCAACCACGCGGGCGAACAAACAATAAATCCGCGCCACCCCTGCCGCGTCCCTGGATTATCATTGGTGCAATCAGCTGGGAATGGCGACACCAATTCATTACCCTACACCTTGGGCCGACAAGCTCGGAATGGCCTCGGCACTCCTAGGGCCGTCGCACAGGAAAACCCATAAAATATAGTATTTCAAGTAAATCAAGTTTGGGGCATCATAGACTTACTTACTTGAAATATATTGGGCGGTCAACTTACTTGACTTACTTGATATACTTGACTTGATACTTGAATTGAGGTCAGCGCTGGCTGAGTGAGCCAGTTGTGTCTGGACCAGGCAGGGCTGAGAGGCGGTTGGGGAGAGGAGCAGGTCTGAAAGTGGATTTGACAGGTCAAGGAGTGAGCCGGCTTGGTAATTGACAAGCAGAAATTTACGGGCAGGGTTTTGAAGGAGGGGAATCCAAGAGAATGAGGGGATCGCGAGAGGATTGAGGGAGACGGGACCCCGCAAGCCCACATGCTACCTGCTGTAGGACGCCGGGAGGGGAAATAGACTTTTCCTATGAAAAGCTCGTGATTCAGACATCTTTCTGCAAGGCGATGGGGTCAACAAGCCCTCAAGTCTGAGTTCACGGAATTCCGATTGGGCCACCCTAGCGGAATTGCTCCGATTGCATTGCACTTTCGAGCAGCTCGTACATGGCAGCAAAGGGCAACAACCAGATAAACGAGGGTCTAAGCGCCGCAGTATCTCCTTGCGCTGCGGGGGGCCTTATCGGGCACAAGAGCTCCAGATACATCATACAATGGGGCCGTGGGGAGAGGGGAACCGGGTGCGGAGGCCGACAGGGTGGACCCTGGATCCTTGCCATGTGGAACGCCATGAACTGGGAACTGGGAGCTGCGAGACGAGGTGTGTGCGTTCTAATTACCGTATCCAAGGCTAGGGGACAGTGGCGTTTGCGGTCCCCTCCTCCTGGAAGATGCAATGGCAAGTGTTGCCCTCTCCAGGACAAGCGTGAGGACAGGTTTTTCGCGGGCTAAGGAACCACAAGGATTTACAGCTCCTGGGCTTGACGCCTTGGGATCCCAAACTACAAGACGAGGCTGTAGCACGAACTCAAGCTCCAGGCACACGGTACGGAGCACGGTGAACTCCGTTGAGCTCGGTTCCTGCTGCGGGTGCAAGATGGATTTCAACGTTCAAGGATCGATCGCGGTCCTGACCAGCCACGGTTAGAGAGTTGAACATGAGCTGCTAATGCCAGCATCACTCGGCCGAAGCTTTGCGCTCCTCTGGGTCGTCGGCAAGAAAGCTTAGCGGTTGGGACGGTTTGGACCTGGAGTGGAGGATGAGGCAACGTAGGTTGCCCTGCAATGAGCTCCATGCATTGTGACTGGCCGGAACTGCGCAAGCTTAGCTCCGATCTAGCTAGCAAGTACCTCTTGTCGTCGATCCAAATCAGAGCTATGTATCAAGTCGGATGCTGGCTGGCGCAAGACGCACAGCCCTCGACACCGTGGTATCATCAGACGACAACGTTGGACAGTTCGGATTTACCTGGCCAAAATCCTCCAACGCGCATCTAAGAAAGCGGCGGTCCGTCTTTCACCCTCCAGATCCCGGCCGGTGGTGTGATTCAAAGATTTGGGGCTTGGGCTAGGCCCTGATATGATGATATCAGCATTGTGGGGCTCTCAAGATTTGCCGACCCGGTCCGGGGCCAAGAACTCACCGGTTGCAGATCTAGAGGGGAATAAATGGCGTCCGTGCTAGCTCTGTCCCAGGCGCAAGGATCTTTGTTTTTCAACAGCTCCACCCCTTCCCACAGGCAGACGAAGGTGCCCACACTCGGCGTTCCGTTGGAAATGGCGACGTTGGAGGATACTGGGCCCCCTCCGCAACGACAGCGAGCGGAGGACGCCAGCCCATCGGAGGCTTCCCGAGGACGGAATCGATCGTACCAACTCGAATAGTCGATTCCGACAGTTGCCTCCTTCATAGCCCATGTGATCAGTTTGAGCCTCTGCAGAAACTGAGCGCGCTCATTGGTTGTTTCCGAGGGGCAAACCGGTGCCGGCCCGGTCCCAGACGCTGCTGGGATGCTGTGTAGAGATACTTCCCGATCTGTGTCCTCTTCCTTGGCCGTCTTGACTCTGGAATGGTGCCGGAGCCCACCCAGGGCCCGAGACCATCTGCCTCAATCTGGTACGGTGACATCATGGTGTGGGCCCTCACATGTGAAGAGATGGACAGAGAAAAATGGGCCACGCCCAAGCTCCCAGGAGCAGCCTCACAACGTCAAGTGTGGCCGTGCGCGATATTATTTAGATCGGCGGAGTTCAGCGGCTTGTCCAATTTTATTTCCATTCATCGAACTTCCATTTATCTCTGTCGGAATCAGAGCCCACAGCAAGAGCGCCCCTCTGCTGGAGGCATGTGCGCTGTAGAAGTTGCTTCAGTGGCTTGACCCACCCGTCTGAATTACGCAGTAAACGCCCCCGCAGTAGCTCTTCTCAATTGTGGGCACCTGTTCCCGCCCCGCGAATGGAGTGGAGATATTTCGGCTTCAACGCGATGCTCTCCTCTTCATCTTCGACTGGTCCAATGACATGTTGTACGCTCTCAATTCCTTCTCTGCCTTGGCCGATACCCCGGCATCTTGGGCTGGCGATGTTGAAGGAGACTGTGTGATATGCGTAGAAGGCGAGCTCGAACTGTGAATCGACGCTGGCGTCTTCTCGTATTCTGACAGCCGACAGGAATCAGAGCAGTAAGTTGCTCCCTCTGTCTGGGTGCCACAACTGAGGCATGGATTATACGTCCATTCCAGACCTGACGACATATTGGAAAGTGCTTGAAGGCATGCAGATGTTGGGAGTAACACAGCGACGGCAGGGCTGACGCATTCTTGTATTACAGAGCTCTAGGCTGTTGTGGAGCAGAATTTGCTCTCTTCAGCCACTGACGCAAGAGGCAATGTGCATCAATCGCCTCTTCAGTCAACCCCGCCCACATGAAGAGAATTTGGATACAGCGAAGGCCTATGAGTCATGCCAAACCCCTTTGTCTGCGACGATGAGCCCTCACCAGTCTTTCTTCTGGGCCTCTGTAAAACGATAAAAATCTGGTTCCAGCTTCTGAGGTGGCCGATTCTGGAGGTGCTGATTCTGGCCGGCCACGACGCGACAGTTGCTGTTTTCGGCTCCTGACAGGGTCCGTAAAGAAGGATCCAATGGCTATTTTAGGACTCAAATGATCCTTGTAAAACCCTGTACCCCCCACGGTGGATGGATGTGCCACCGAAGCTCCAGTATCCGCTGACGGAGAAGGGACTGACGAAAATCATTAAAATTGGATTACCCCAATGAGAGATATGTTGCATGGGACTTGTAGATAGGCCTAGCGTAACACGCCCGATATCCCCAAAGGGATGGCGTCATTAGGACGCCGAACGGCGTCAAAATACACACACACACACCCTGCACCCCCCCTCATGCATGCGCCAGATCAGAGGCCACCGAAGATTCTAGAAACGTAACAGCGAGATAGATACCTTAACTTCTTCTACAAACTCCGCCCAATCACTCGCCCACACCGTATTCACACTCTTCTCGTATGTTGTTCGGCCCAAAAATGGGATAGGTCCCAGTTTTAGAGAGTAACCTGCCGAGGTCAGCACGGCTGGCATGGAGCTAAGCTCTGAGGCACAGGTGGCGTTGCTGAACCGATCGGTAGTGGTAGTGTAGTGGTAGCTCTTTGGACGAAGCAGTCTAATCGTGGGATGTGGGTCCGGTAGAACTTTGCACTACGCGCGCGGGCGATCAGTCCATGCCGACCTCGGCTATTGTTAAGTTGCTGAAGGAAAATGCTATTCAACTATACGAAAGTCACATAAAGTAAAGGATGATCCATTATGTCATTTTATACATCCATACAAATTTAGACCGATCATACAAGATGGTGCTTTCTATTGATCCTAAAGACGCAAGTTAAGATACAGTTCCATAGACCCGCATGGCATGATTCCGAAGGTGCATCTTGTGGTCGACCGACATGTCACAAACCTGACATTCGATCTCGTCGCCGTCCCGCAGATTCGACAAGTGTTTACGCCGGAAGTGCTTACTCAAATCCCCGGACGTGTAGAATTCATGAATGAGGTCTTGTGCTTCCGGATCATCCGGTGCCAAGGAGAGCGCCTTTCCGACACAGAGGAAGCATCTTCTCGGTCTCTCCTTCTCGGTCTTGACGAACACGGACATCACCGCATATCCATAGGGTTTTCGGCATGAAGATCGGCGGTGGGAGGCCGCGCACTTGACTTGGACGATGAGGAGCGCTGACCACGATGTCGTCCAGACGGATATCATGCGTCAACCCCAGCACGAAGTACGTACCCCCGGGGCAAAGCTCCGTCAAAAGCCACCACCAGTCTGCTGCAGCACGCATCTGCATTCCTGCAACTGAAGGGCTGGCGTATTTTATGAGGCGTTGGTCTAGGGGGTAAGCGGCACAGGCATGTGCGCCCATGTATCCTTGCGGCCTAGATGCTACCGTAGTGTGGGGGATTTGGTCGCCGCGCTCTGAGATTTTGGGCTAGGAAGCTCCAGTTTGAACGATATGGCCCATAACAGCGGGAACTATCACGTCAACTCAGCTGTTTGGCTCAAGAGAGAGGTGGCGATACACAGGTTGGCTTTGATTGCCACAGGCAGATGCCCCCGAGCGGCGATCTTTGCTTGTTACAGCTCGTTCGGCCCCACGAGCAAAATCAGCCTTGACCAACCCATTCCGTCATTCTAGGCTCTGTAGAAGAGAACCGGACCTGCGACCAAGATTTTGATTGGCATCGCAGGCCGGACTGCGAACCTGGTGGATTCTATCGCGGCGAAGGGTAAGTCTGGGGTGCCTATAGGGAACCAGTATGGCGGGCGGGGCATCTTCGATTGAGGCCGTTGCATTCTCTTTACTCCATCTGCCCTCTAGATTTTTGTTCCATCCAAGTCGATGATCGAGCTAGATCATCCCCGCCAGAGTCTGGTCCTGGTACCAACTATCTCAACGATCGTATATTTATATTTTTTTGTATCTCTAACTGTTTCACCTGTTAGCAAGAGTACGAGTAGTATATTAGTTATCATGCACTTCCTCTTCGCGCTCATATTCCAGCTTCGGTACTCGCTCGGCCTGTGTCTCTTCCGCCTCGGTTGGAGCTTTGTCCCCCGAGGATAAGCTATCGGATGGAGGTCTTTCATCAACGAACTTTTCCAGTGCCATCAAGAGTCGTTCTGCAAGGGATGATTCCGCATCCTTCCCATCGAGACCAAGACTTCCATTGGACGTGACTGGATTCTTAGCACCGGTTGGCTTCTGCAGCAGGGGGCTGTTGGGGGGAGTTGTTGGTTGCGAAGGGGAGGGTTGAAATGAATGGACCGAATGGGGAGGCATGATGAGGGGGGGTGGAACAAGAGATTAAGTTAGAAGCCAGATCAACGTTGTTGGTGTTTGGGTAGAAGATGGAGTTTGTGGGTGAGTACCTTTCTCACGGAGAGGGCATCTGGACCTTTTGGTGGAGAATCTGGCATTCTTTTACCTTTTGGAGGCCCTGCTCCGCCCTCCACGTCGCATTCAGCGGAGTAGCATCCGTTGCTGCCGCGGCTATGTTCCGGCCCTCCTTCTAATGAGGTGCTTGGCGGGCTTTCCAGCAGGAAATGGTGTGCGTTGAGAGCTGGAAGCTCGGTTACCCCCTCGAGGCGTAGCAGTGGCTGCTAGTCTGCGTCATGCATGTTCACAGCACATGAAGACACCATGAGCCATTTCAATTTGAGAAAGGATCTTCACAATGCCCATCTTCATATAAGGTGTCAATATTTCTTGTTACGTCAGAAAATTCCATATCTATTGGATAGAATGACTGATCGCTGAAGGTACTGCCAGTCTTACGAGCCTCTCATCGCTGCCACAAGAAAGGGTCGGTCGGAAGCAGCTTGGTCCTTCACGGTCTAAAAACACCTCGAAAAGGGCAGGGCTGGGCTGGAATCGGCTCGTCAGCATGTAATTGGTAATTGAAAAGCGGGCAGGGCTTTGATGATCGCGATGCTACGTCGGTCATCCTCATTGGTAAGCCACTGATTGCCTTGCAGGAAATCCATCCACCACCCACGTAGCGCCAATGCAAGTTTTATCATATGAGTTTCATACCTGCACTTGGGTGATCCATAGCTCTCGTCATCTGAATGTTCCGACCCATCCTACGCTGGTGAAACGAACTGACGCTGGACTAAAAGCGGCACATTCTGGGGCCGTGCATGCGGCCTTGCTACGCCGCAGTGACCTCTACTGTCTCCCCACATGGCACTTCTTTATTGGTGGTGGCCACTTTGGTGTTACAACAGCCCTGTCGCTGATCCACGAGGGCGGAGTCAACGTCAACCGTTGAGCCGCTTCTCCTCCGGGATGACGACTAGGGGGGTCTCGACATTTCACTACAGCTCAACCCCCCGTTCGTCCCTCACGGGGGGGTCGTTGACTAGCCAAAAGTCCGGCGACTCAACAAATACCCGTTGGTCCATGTGTGGGGCAAGTACGGACGGCTATATCTAGCACTGGGTCAAAACGAGTTTCTGGATAGATCCACGGCGGCCGTGGGCACGGACTACTACTGGCTAGATGCAAACCGCTAGTCCAAATTAAGCAATAGCCAATACAATCTCTTTAAATTTTAGGAACTGTGGATCCCCTACCGTATCCCAGCTTTTCCACCCCGCGCCCACACAATACCCTCTTGCTGCATACCTTTTTCGCGTTCAGAACCGTCCAGAAATAGGCTATCGCGATCGCGTCCGTGCAGGCGCTCAATTGCGACGGTCAACTGGCCTACTCCCTTGCCTAGCAGTCACGTACCTGGGCGCCTGCCCGGCCTTTGTTCTGGTTCTTGCCTTTCTGACCTTTTTCAACAGTTTCCGCAGTTACCCAAAAACCGGTTTTTGCCCCACCTTCCACGCGAAATCCACATATCGTACGGTCCCGTACGGCTCCTTCCGGCCTCCACCTCAACTTCATTCACATTTTTCGTACAATTTTCCGTACGCCTCCGCTCCCGAACAGCCCCGAACGACAATGCCTCGCGGATCTCGCTCCGGTAAGGAGGGCAGAAAGGGTGGAAAGGGCACGTCCGGAACCGCTCCAGCCCCGAACGACGCTCCGGCCCCAAACGGAGGCGGCTCGGCCTCGAACGACAGCGGACGCGCCTGTTTGGAGCTGCCCGACTTCCAGCCCTGGGTTCCCCCCAACCGTCCTAGCTGGACGCCCCCAGACACTCGCGTTCACGGCCATCGGCTCCCGAACGCGGAGCTAGAGGATGACCAGCCGGACGAGACCGTTAGCGAGCATTTAACCGCCTGGGTCCTTAAGCGTACGCTCCCGTTCTTGCCCGTTTTTACCCGCTCACGCCAGTTCTAACCCGTCCGCCAGACGTCTCCAAGAATGTTTCCGCCGCCGTTCGTGCGCTCGCCCAGAACTACTTTAAGGTTTTCGCTTCCTCCCGTAGCCGTATGGCATTATGTGATAACGTACGCTTACGTTCACGTTAGATCAAGCGCATCATGCGCGTCCGTACCCGTCCGGGCGCGGACGGAACCGCTTACTACAACACTCTCAACCTAAAGCGGGGTGCCAATTGTGACGCGGCCTTCCACCATCTGTACGGCAACTTACGGTCCGGAACGGACGCGTGCGGCCCGTGCCAGAGGGGTTTGGGCCCGTTCGACAGCTGCGTTCAGATCAATGGTGCCTGCGCGAACTGTCGCTACAACTCCGCGGCTAAGCGCTGCACTCTCTACGGTACGTACGCCCCCGTTTGCCCCCGTTCTTCCCCGTTCTAGCCAGTTCGCTCCCGTTCTGACATATTTTTTTAGTCAAGGACGGAGATGCTAAGCCTAGGGGTAAGAAGCGCGGCCGTAAGCGTAAGGCCCTTGATGATGACGATGACATTCTTGACGCCATCCGTTCCGTCCCCCTCAAGCACCTCCGTACGCTCGCGGACGTCTTTAATAAGGTCGCAGACGATGTTGAGGACGAGAACTGGTATGTACATCCCCATCCATCCCCGTACGGGAGCGTGCAGGCCCGTACAGCTTTGAACGGAGGGCTAACTTTTTCCAGATGAGTCTGATTCTGACTAAGTCATTTTCGTTGGCGTTCAGGACAGTATACCCCGCGACCGGCCCCGTCTGGCTTCGCATGGTCGGTTGGCATCACGTTTTTGGAAAGGGTTTTTGACATACCGTTCTTGTCTGCACACTTTTTTTCTTTTTGGGGGGGGGGGATGGACGAACAGGCCTGTTCGGGAATGTGAGCTCCTCCTGTTCATTCATAACCGTTTTGGTCTTTCGGTATTTCAGATAGTCCGGCTCCGTACGGGGGGTTTCGCCACCGTACGGCCCAGAAATGGACCTTATGCTCTTTATTTTTCCTTCCCCTACGCATTTGATTCTGTCTTAACATTTTATTATTTATTCATTGAAATATCTTCTATACGCCCCCGAACGTCCCCGAACACGCCGATCTAATGCCACGACAGAGGATAGATCTCGAGCCCTACCGAGAACAAATCCGTGGGAAATGGCAACTACGCTGGACGAACGCGGCCTTATGCGAATGGCTCCGGACGGATTTGAACGTTCCCGTTTCCGATACTACCTTGAAGCGCTTTCTTCGAATCTGGGGCTTCCAACGTGAGGGCCGTACGGAAGTGACTGACGCCCTCCGGGACCGTTTACGCTTCCACTTCTTCGAACACTACCTTACGGACGAACGGTTGCTCCAAGTGCTACAATCTGAGGGGTTTTCTATTACCCAAAAAGGCCTCGTACGGCTACGGCAAGAGATGGACCTCCGAAAGCGGCATACTCGAGAGGAAAACATTACCCTGCGAGAACAAGCCATCGGTCGTATCGCCCAAGCGGTTGATCCAACGCGCCGTTTGGCAGGTTACGGGCGTGAATACCTCCGAACGGAGCTGCGCCAGCAAGGATTCTCTACAAGCCGAGATGTCCTTTACTCTGCCTACAAAGAAGTCCACCAAAGGAGCTTCCGAGACCGGCTGGACGAGTTCAGACGGCGCCGTACGGGCTGGACCTGCCCTGGGCCTAACTTTATCTGGTCTATCGATGCGTACGATAAATTAAAGCCGTACGGCTTTGAGATCTACGCTGGGATTGACGCCTACTCGAGATATATCCCTTGGTTTTTCGTTGGCTTTAGTACGCACACGTCTATCGGCGTTGGCCTCCAATACCTCTCGATCATTCGCGAACGTGGCTTTACGCCGCGGATTATACGGGCTGATCGTGGGAAGGAAACTCCGGTTGTTGCTGGCCTCCATTGGTATCACTCGAGTCACACCGGGCGCGAACGGATACAACTGCTCACGGGCGAGGCCGTACCGATCAAGTTCAAGGACTGTTTTGTATACGGCAAGAGCATCCACAACGTCAAGATCGAGAGCTGGTGGAATCGTCTTTGTAAAGGCCGTTCGCAGTTCTGGCGGGTAAGATACTATTATACGCCCCCGAGTACCCCTAAACGCCTCCGTACTGACATGTTTAGACGGTCTTTGGAACCCTACATACAGTAGGGCTTTTCGAACCCAGTCATATCTACGATCAGATTGCCCTTCTCTATATATATATGGAACCCTTAGATACGGACCTGCGCGGCTTCGTACGGGTATGGAATAACCATTACATCCGTAAACAGCCCAACCGACCTCATGTTGTCCCTGGGGTCCCGTACGTCCTCTTTCACCACCCCGAACAGTCCAGTATGGAGGATTACGGGGAGCCAATCATTCCAGCCGTACTAGAGGAGATGGAGGAGCTTCTTGGTCATAGATCATTCGATCTATCGTTGTATCTCTCTGCCGAGGTATTGGCGCTCTGCAAGTCCGTACTCAGCCGTTCGGTCAGGGATGGGAGCGAACAGCGCCGTGTAAATGGTGTCGATATTCCTCTTTATCGCTCGTACATTTACTTACGTGAACAACTTGAAGATCACCATAAATCCGGAGTCGACCCACGATTACACCTCCAGGAGCCGCCAACTGGAGGTATTCGACATCCAGAGGACGAGCCGAGGACACGAGGATTTGATCTGGACGGGCATGTTCGTGGGGGAACGGACGATTCCGATAACGAATGGGATGTAAATTCGGAGACAGGGTCAGCTCGAAACTAGCTATCAAGCGAGGTCTGTAGTCTCCAGAAAGGCCTGTTCAGAACCTTTCGCGTGCGAACGTGTACCCTTGAATACTTCGAAGGGGTCGGACTGCAAAGGGTTATCCCCAAAGGGATCTTCGCAATCGTCGTCTATACTACATCCTTCAGATGTCCGCCGAACAGGCTTGTCCGTTCCGTCCTTGACCTTTACCCCCCGGACGGGGCCGTTCATCTCCGCTTTGACTGAATCCTGTTGAGTTGACCCGCTGGCCTCGGCCTTGACCGGTATGGCTACCTTCTTGTTGACCTTCTGTACTGGCCCATCCGCTTCCGTTTTGATTCGTTTGGCTGTTGAAGTAGACCGTTTCTCGACCTTGACTGTAATACTAGCCAGTGACTCGGACGTATTGCGCTTACGTCCTTGTGGCTGGGCCAGTACGGTCCTTTTCCCCTTCGTACTGACCCTTTCATCCCGTTCTGGTTGTTCGGCCGAGATGCCAGTACGTAGGTGTAGGCGGATTTCCGACCGAGGTAGAAGTCCTGTCTGCAACAGGAATGCCCATAGCTGAGTGGACTCGTACGCCGCCTCACAGAACCGAACGTTCAAGTTCAGGCTTAGTGGCTTCCCATCGATAGGAATAGCTGTCCACTCCCGTTCAGCTAGTTTCGCCCACTCCCCCGAGTTCGAGAAGAACCGTTTGATGATGGCGGACATCAACTGCTGGTGTGTATCCGTTTCCAGGGCCGTACTGAACTGTACGGCCATCGGAAACCTATGTACGGCCATGACGTCGAACCACTCAAGAGTCTCGATACCACCAGACTCGGCCGTACAGTAATTCCCAGCGTACAAGTACAACGAAATCCCGATCTTACGCGGCTGCATAAGCTCCGTACTACTCCGTTCGGCCTTACTCTTGTCGTTCTGAATGCTAGTCTGGCGGGCTTTATCAGCTTCTCGAAGAGCAGAAGAGAAAGCGGTTGCGCCGGCTCGATGAGTAGACACCGCGGGCGACTCGGCGTTTGAGGCGTACAGTGCCGGTTGGGGGCGTTCGGTCGCTTTAAAGGCCTTTCGGGTTCGGTCGGGTAGGTTCTGGAAGTCCACCTCTTCAAGGTCATCGTCAGAGGAAGCGTTGGAGGGCTTGTCGGCTAGGAGGGTGCCACAATACGGACAGGAGACCCAAGAGGGGTTATCCCGTAAGATCGTGGCATGTTGAGTACGGGCCCGGCCGGGGCAGTACAGAAGAGTTGGGGCCATAACGAATTATGATAAATCTAGGACATTGCGTTAAATGAAGAGGGATAAATGTGCGAGCGGCCCGTCTGGGGGCGAACGGCCACGTAAATGCTCGTCCGCGCCCGGACGGGCCGCTCGCACACATTTTCAAATACCTTTAGGTAGTAGGGTGTACATGGATATTGATTAATCCATATACTCAGGGGGGGTCGGCGGCAAGGGTGGTGTGGGGTGGGGTCCCTGTATTGACGAAAATGGATGGAAAATGCGTTTTGACCCAGTGCTAGATATAGGCTTCCGTAGGCAAGCCCCAAGGCGGACCAACTAAGCAAGCTTAGTTGGCCACAAAAATCTGGAACAGTCACAAAAAGCTGGAACAGTCAATTACCTGCCCATGACTTAATCCACGCGCATTTCCACGCGCATTTCCCATACATTCCGCCCGAAATCACGACACCAGACAGTAGAAAATAGCGACTTTCAGATCAATTCATTATGCCCGCGTCGGCTAACCTTAGAGCCGCAAAAGAGGTCGCCGCATCACGTGCCAATCAAGCCCGCGCTCCTCGTCGCAATGCAGCTTCCTACAGCAGGAAGCCTATCTCGATCCGCGCCGCCTGCGCCAAACACGAAGGCGCCTCTGTTACCTCTGTATCGCGACTCGTTAAGAAGCTCGAGAACCCTGATTCTGACGTATCGCCGCCAAGAGGGCGCCCACGGTTGTTGATAGTCGAAGAAGACGAAGCTATCGTCGCCTTCGTCGTCTGGATGGAAAGATCAGGGTTTCCAGCCAACAAACCTGAGATTGAAGACGCTGCCAACACTCTCCGCCTCCGCAGAGATCCTTTAGCTAAGCCAGTCAGCAAGATGTGGCATCCTCGCTTCGTTCAGGATCACCCCGAACTCCGTAAGACCTTCCTTAAGGCCGTCGAGAAGTCCCGTGAGTCTTGGGAAGCCGGCGGCATCGATGACCTCAAAACCTTCTTCAGTCAACTTACTGAAGCCGTCACTAAATACAGGGTTAACGCCTCTGAGTGCTGGAACACCGACCAATGCGGCATCAGAGTCGGCTGCTTGCGAGAGCGGGTACAATGCCTCGTCGTCCGCACCAAGAGACAGACCTGTGCTGAGACTCTCGACCCGTCAAATCGCGAATCCTGCACCGTTATCGGTACGGGCAGCGCTGCAGGTGATACGATTCCGCCCTGGGTAATCTTCAAGGCGTTCCCAACGCTAGATTTTGCGTATATTGAGGCCGATCCGCTGATGCGGTTTGCAATGTCTGAAACTGCGTTCTCTAATGGCGAGATCACATTCGAGTGGGCACAACACTTCAACCGTCACTCTTGGGAGAGGTCAACTACGGCTCAGAGGCGCGGAGTCACTCTGGAAGAGTGGTTTGGCTGTGACGAGTTCCTGCGAGATCCTCTTCTCAAGCATATCGAATACGACGCTCCACCGATATCTCACGATGAAGAAGACAGCATTTGGCGGCTCCTTTTACTAGATGGCTTCACTGGACATGGCGCCTTTGCGTTTAGAGAATACTGTATCAAGTTCAATATCATCGTTGCTCCTCTCCCTGCTCATTCAACACATATCCTGCAACCGATGGATGTAGGAGTCTTCCAGCCTCTAAAGAATGCTCATCAGAAGATCCTCCGCCGGGCATTACGCAAGGGCAATATCTCTTTCTCTCGGCATGACTTTATGAGTAGCTTTCAGGTAACTTAATACGCTAGTTTCTTCTGAGTTTGTATGCTAAATATGCAGCGGAACAGGAGGTTATTGACGCCGGATTCACTGCGAAGAATATTATATCTGGCTTCAAGAAATCCGGCATCTTCCCCCCCGATGCCAAACCGGCTTTAACATATATCGCCAAGAAACAACTGAAAACAAAGAAAGCAGTTGATCCTGCCTTTCTCTCGCTCCTGCCTCCAGAAACACGCTTCCAAACCGCCTCTGATACCGCGAAACATATCACCGAGAAGTATCACCATGTTCTCAGCTCTCCAACGCGCTCTGGGCTCCGTCAGCTCGGCAAGGTAGCTACGGAGGCCGCCGTCCTTGAGGATACGGTGACGATGTACGTTGACGACCGGAGAACGCGTATTGAGAAGCGTTATCACGAGAAAAAGAGGGGAAAGAGAGCAAAGCCACAAGGAGATTTCTCACACAACGTGAGTCTCCAAGAGCTCCGTGAACAGCAGGAAGAGGTCATCGCCAAGTCCCGTAAGAAGGAGTATAAGGCTCAGATTCGCTCCACCCGGTCTATTATCCTTCGGGAGATAGAGAAGCTCAGAGAACAGTGGCGAGAGAGCAAGGAGGTCATCGTCGATAGTATTAAGAAGAACCTGCGGTTCAAGAAGTGGCTTGAATACACAGGCAAGGATAAAGAATATCTCTCTATGGATACACAACGTTCTGAGATGACTCAACTCCTCAATGAGAAGACTGACGGCTTCATGATAGATACACAACTGCCCCCAGAAGTCAAGGAGTCAATGCGTCAAGCAAGATACGCACCGAAGCCACTGAACGCAGTGGATTGGACTGCACTGGCTGGAAGCGATGATTCTATTCATGTCAACCTTGGCCAGCTACCCACCGACAGCGAGAGCGAAGAAGAAGAAGAAGAAGAAGAAGACCTCGAGTTCATCGATTTAACGCAAGTTCGAAAGGCGCAAGAGATACCGCTATGGCAGCGATCTTCACCACCGGTTACGCCCTTATACGAGTCATCGCCCTACCCGGAAATTGCCTCCACGCCGTGCCCTCCACAACAACACATTCCAGGGCACAAGAAGATACAACAGATCATCAGAGAGACAAGGGCTACGCAAGAAGCAAGCTTGGAAAGGCCAAGAGACGCTGATACTGCTTGATTTGTCTGGCAGGTGTCTCTTACAATAGCGAGACCTGGGTACACAAGCAGCGGCGTCTGCAGCAATATCAGAATGTCATATCTCCCGGATCGCCAATGGCCTCAGTCTTCCTTCGTTTGTGCCTCAAAAATTATCTTGGACTGCAATAGAAACCTAGAATATGAAGAGGGAGGCAAAACACAGCGAAAATCGGGCTCCGCCGATGTTCCAGCTTTTTGTGACTGTTCCAGATTTTTGTGGCCAACTAAGCTTGCTTAGTTGGTCCGCCTTGGGGCTTGCCCCACACATGGACCAACGGGTAGGTATTGGTTTTGATGTTTCTTAGAATAAAACACCGCGACTACTTCACCATGAAAAAACCAAGACACTGGCCTAACCCGACTCCTGATTACCATCATTGATGTTTGGGCCCTACAATGCACAAGGTCCTGGTCCGTTTTTGCATACCTGAAGTCTATTATTGTCCACTTCTTCCCCCCCAAGCGGTCGGTGGGTTGCATCTCGTACGATATTGCACCGTTGCTAGCCGACAGGCACCCCGGGCACTCGGCTATGTTGGGGTAACCGATGGTGTTCTTCGCTGTCAGCCGAACAAGACTGTTTTCTCAGCGATTTGCTTACCCTGTGACGGTTCATCGAGATGCGTTCTGTGGGTGTGTGTCCACCAGATGGATGGCTGCATGCCAAGTATGTTGGCGTTGTGTCGGGGGGGCAAGGATCCACAGAACTGCAGGTTGGTCCTGATTAAGGATCGTCCTAACTTCCAGGGCTGTGGTTGCGGCGTTTCAAGTGTACCTTGCTTCTCGAAGTCGTCAGTTGTGTGAGAACGAGCCCGCTAATGCTGTGGGTGGTTTTTGTGGTTCAAGTCGGATATAGTGTAGAGAGTGAAGGTCGAGGCCTTGCAAAATATTTGAAAGGACTAGACATAGCAGACGTTGGCCCTATGCAAGTCCAAAAACAACATCTTGCACAGTGAGGCTGAGAGACGGCCGCAATACGCGCGCTGCGGCTAACCCCCCCAACCCCCCCGTCCCTGCATGAGATCACGTAATCCGAGATCATAGCGCATCAGACCAAGCTCTGTGGCCCCGCGAGAAGCGACTTGTCATATGCTAGCGTAGCCAACAAATCCAAAGAGGCAAGCCGGGGAGACGACTGCTGATAACGCCTTCGGTTTCGAAAGTGGAGGAGACAAGGGAGACATCGACAATTTACACATCCAACGAGAGCTTCCCCACCCCTGCTTCCAGATTTTACTACGCAAATCCCTCTCATGGACGCCGCGGAGATACGAAGGAAGGCACGCTTCAGTGCTCGGAGGCGCTGGAGTGCGCTGGAGTGAAGAGGGGCGCGTCACTGGCGCTTGCTTGCTAGGGCCAAAGGCCCAGGACAGCTAAAATTATTTCACCCCCGTCAGCATCACATTGCGTCTCTGTTGGTGGCATGCCACGGATTCGATTCATGACGTACAGTATATTTTACGCCCACCTACTCGTCTCACTCCCATCGCCTCCCCATCACCACCGCCGCACCTCGTCCTCCGCCCGTCCCATCCAGCCGCAGCAGACCATCCCCCAAAATAACTACGACACCTCGCACGTAGCCGCCGCCCTCGCCCACTCCTGCAAGCGAAGCTCCAGCAGAGACCGTCCAGCGCCCCGGGCAAGGGGCCCCTATCCCTCGCGGCCCCATCGACGCAGCAGCACTCGATCCCACCACCGCCACAATCCCCATCCCGACATGGCTCCCTCTGCCACCGCCGCCGCCGCCGCCGGCAATGGCACTGGCAGCCCGGCCGCCCCCAAGCGGCAGCAGCATGGCTACGCCGATGCGCCGCCCCGGGCATCTACCTCCAAGCACGCGAGGTCGCGCACCATCATCCCGACGCAGTCTGGAAAGTGGATCCTCGGCAAGACCATTGGCGCCGGCAGCATGGGCAAGGTCAAGCTTGCCCGAAAGGAGGATGGCAGCGAACAGGTTCGTCTTCGCTTCGTTGTCGTCGTTCACCTTCCGCCTCCCATCTCCCATCTCACTTCTCTCCACACGGCCTCCCCCTGCGCACAAAGCTAACCGTCCCCTCTTCCCAGGTCGCCTGCAAAATCATCCCCCGTGGCTCGACCGACGATGGCCAACAGTCCCGCGCCGACAAGGAGCGCGCCGACCAGTCCAAGGAGATTCGCACCGCTCGTGAGGCCGCCATCGTCTCCCTCCTAAACCACCCCCACATCTGCGGCCTCCGCGACGTCGTCCGCACCAACCACCATTGGTACATGCTCTTCGAATATGTCAACGGCGCCCAGATGCTCGACTACATCATCTCCCGTGGCAAGCTCAAGGAGAAGCAGGCCCGCAAGTTCAGCCGCCAGATCGCGAGCGCCCTCGATTATTGCCACAGGAATAGCATTGTCCACCGGGACCTCAAGATTGAAAACATCCTCATCAGCAAGACGGGCGACATCAAGATCATCGACTTTGGCCTGAGCAATCTGTTTGCACCCCGCGGCCACCTCAAGACCTTCTGCGGCAGCCTCTACTTTGCTGCCCCCGAAATCTTGCAGGCGAGAGCATACACAGGCCCCGAGGTGGACGTCTGGAGCTTCGGCATCGTCCTCTATGTCCTCGTCTGCGGCAAGATCCCATTCGACGACCAGAGTATGCCTGCGCTCCACGCCAAGGTCAAGAAGGGTCTCGTGGATTATCCCGGATGGCTCTCGAGCGGTAAGACGGCCACCTCTTCCCTCCGCGTCTCGTCCAGCAGTCAGCGCTGACCCAGCGACAGAGTGCAAGCATCTCCTATCCCGCATGTTCGTCACCGACCCGAACCAGCGGGCGACCATGCGGGAGGTCTTGAACCACCCTTGGATGATTAAGGGCTTCAATGGTCCCCCCGAAAACTATCTCCCCGTGCGCAAGCCATTGACCACCCCGTTGGACCCAGAGGTTATCCACGCCATGGAAGGGTTCAACTTTGGCTCCCCGGAAAGCATCAACGCAGAACTCACCAGGCTCATCGAATCTGAAGAGTATCATCGTGCCGTGAAGCTGTTGCAGCGGGAGAAGAAGCTCCCCCCGCCGGCCAAGGACGCCGAGAAGAGGAGACCGTTTGGCTTCGACTTCTACAAGCGGAGGAGCTCAGGCAACAGCCGCGACACCCTGACCGGTCCTAGCTCTGAGGCCCTACAGTTGGGCAACGACCCGATGAATGCCTTCAGCTCCCTCGTATCTATCTATTACCTGGTGAAGGAGAAGCAGGGTCGAGACCACGCTGAAATGTTCCCGCAGCCTCCCGCCGGGGCCCGTGAGAAGGAAAAGGAGAGGGAGAGGGAGAGGGAGAGAGAAAGAGAGAGGGAACGTGATCAGTGTGACGTGCGTGATCGGGAAAAGGCCAGGGAGCCGGAAGTCTTGCCTGAGATCGCTCCCCCCAAGGAGGCCCATACGAACTCCGCGGCCTATGAGATGCCCGGTGAGAAGCCGACGGGTGGGCGAACGAGGCCGCACGCCCGCACCCATGGAGAGGACGATATCCCCGAACCTCCCAAGCAGACTCCCCTGCCTCCTCCCGAGACCAAGGTCGAGCAACTTCAGAAGAAGGAAGGCACTGCTGCTGATCAGCACTGCTGCTGATCTCCTGCGTCGCTTCAGCACCCGCAAACGCAGGAACCCGCGCGGCTGGATAAGGACCGGTCTCACCCCTCTGTGGTACAGGTCCATCCGCCGTGGCGGCGTGAGCGAGACGAGCCACCCGGAGCCGCGGTTCCGCTCGGGCACCAGCCAGCCACAACACAGCGAACTCCTCAGCCCGCCCTTGTCTGCCGGCGGGAGCAGGGATTCCCGGCGGACGGCTCTGGGGCGGTCGACGAGCGTCAATTCGGCAGAGATGAGGCGACGCGACGCCAGATTTGGCAAGGATCCTCCGCCGACCAGCGGCTCCGACCAGTCTGTCCTGCACGAAGATTTCCTGCGCGGACACCGGACCCACGGGCATTCTCGCTCGGCCAGCATGAGGGTGAAGTCGATCGCCCATGCCCGGCGAGAGAGCATCCAACAGCGTCGCATGAGGAGAGAAGCGGCCTTGGAAGCTAACGTGCCGTAGGAGACGGACCGGCTGGACAGCACCGAACTGGCCAAGTCGGCGTATCTCAAGGGACTGTTCATCGTGTCGACGACGTCTGGCAAGTCTCGTTCGCATAGGCGGCGTTGTTCGCAGAGCCAACAGCGGCGCATGAGGCATGAAAGGCATAATTGCAAGAGGATCTGAGACGCATCTTCTCCATATCCAAGATCAGCCTACTGGAAGTAGAGGCGTCGCTGTTGACGGCGAGCAAGGCTCGTCGTCATTCCGCCTCTGCTTCTTAGTAGTCAGCCAGGACGGCGATCTTGGCGAGCAACTCAAGGCTGACAGATCTGGGAACACGTCGAGTTTAGCCATGCATGATGTGCATCAGTATTAGCAAAGCGTCTGCGTCCCAGTTATCTGTGTGTATGACGTGACAGTAGTCGGACTGGGAGCTTTCAGCATGGAGAAGCCAAAATCAAGCGCATTCGGCCTCCACACACGCCCAAGCAGAGAGCAATAGACGTAGTAACTCAGCCTAACTCGCTTATTAACGTGTGGTTCGGGCAGACGGAGGTTGATGGCTTGGCGGCCAATTCGCGGCTGACGTCCCGGCCTGGCAGGGGAGCATGAGCAATTGTGCCCCCAAATCGCTTCTCCGCAGCACAAGTGGAGTGAGATGGACTCGACATCAGGCCACGGCACGAAAATGCTCGATGGAGGCACAGGGGGGCTGGCAGTGGGATCCTGGGGTTGAGGGGGGGACGGCATCTCTAAATGGAGGGTCCACGAAGGGTCCAAGAGGGGTCTGTCGGCTTCATTACGACTATGGAGAATGTCACTGAGCTGCGGATGATTCTCTAACATGATACCCAAGTTGGCTATAGCAGCCCATCGTCACTGCTCCAAAATTGGTCGCTCGCGCCAACTTGGCCCGAGAAGCGGATGCCGCTAGTTCCCCAACAAGCAAAATGCCGGGCCCCGGCATCCACTGACAGAACCCCCGGGTGTTTTTCAGTGGGTTGGCACGGGCTGCGGGGAACCTGGAGTTGCATTGCCCTTGGACCGGGGGCACTCTCCGCGCTGTGTCACGACCACCTTAGCAGTCACCCGATGCCGTGTGGACGTGGGCGGATGGGGCCGCTGGTGGTTGGCCGTCAACTGAATCATCAGGAGACTAGACATACCTGTCCAGGTTCAAACATATCAGGACGCTCGATGCGATAACCTATGAAAAGAATGAGTAGGGTAATTTAATTTTGTCAAAGGCTTATTACGTACGAGGATCTAGCTGCTCTGTTTCTTCAACAGTAGCGGCTGTATGATATTGAGAGGAACCGGCGGATATGTCCTCCCGCCGTTCTATATCCTCGTAATTATTATGGCGTCCGGGTTCTTTGCCTTTGGAATCGCTTGAGTGCGCAACTTTTGATGTATTCCCAGATACATCCTGTTCAGAGTTGAACGTTGTCTGTTCGTTGATTGCGATACGCCATTCGGTGTCGAAATTGCCTGTAGAGTCTGTAGTTAACACGAGATATAGCGGTGGGGGAATTTGGAGGGATGAAACTTCCAGCTGTGACACGAACCATTGGCATTTTGGCGCTGGCGATAGTATCTCTGATAGTCTTAACTCCAGATCCAATCTGTCCAATCTCCCCATTGCTTGTTTCTATCAGTCTCCGCGGGCTCAATCTCGAGTTCTGAATCGAAACTTCCGCGACTCAAAGCCTGTATATCAAGTGACAGGCCCTCGGCGTCGGATGCGCAATAGTCGTTCGTAGCAAAATAGCCCACTTGGTTCCCGGCGTCTCTCCTAGCTCGGGAAGCTGCTAGATCTCTCAACGCAGTTTCTGCTCTCTCCCACCCCCTTTTTCAGGAATCGGTGTTTCCAATTTTTCGAACCAGTCATGCATTAGCCATGGGCGCAACGATGCTGTTGGTTCCGTTGGCTTCAAGGGCTTCAAGCAGCTAACATTGTACATTTCAAAGGTCGCAGATCTTTGAAAATCGCCAACTGGGAGGTCTGCCCAAGGAAGCGAACGAAGCGCAAAGCTGTGCGTATGTTCTAAAACATGATTAATTAAGCTTGGCGCGTCTCGAGGCCCCGTCTCGTAACATAGAGGACAGGATATTAGTCCAAAGAAGGGACTGGAAGGCCATAGGCGCACTGTTCCGAGAATACTTGCTGGGAATGAATCCATGTGCTCTTCGCTTACATGCTCAAGAAGCTGGTCGTCGGTGTGGAAGACCATATTACCTGGCATCTAGGCTCAGTGACGCTAGATTTGTGCGCGTGATATGGCCTGTGGCTGCAGGATGGATGAGAATTTGAAGTATGGAGAAAGGAGATATCACATTCCACGCCATAAACTCCTAGTTTATGCAAATTGTGTAAAGCATACGCAATATAACACTGACATTATGTTCCCGCCTCTAGCCCCTCCCACGGGGCCGTCCACGCTTGGTCTTAAGGGAAATGGGGGGGGGGTCATAGCGACGGGCATCTTGGCTTAGTGGCTATTGCACTTCCCAGCCGAGGCAAGAGGTAATGCGCACTTCACTAATGCATCGCGGTAGACCGGCTTACTAAATGAGACAGTGGCGCTAGATTTGTGCTTGTGACACGGCTCGTAGCTGTGCTGTAAAGGATAAAGCGTTGGGAAATGAGACGTCACATTGACTAAAACTCTTAGTTTATGCAAGCTGTTCAAAGCATAAGCAATGACCCTGACATGACGTTCCCACCTTTAGACCCTGTCTGTCCACGCTTGGTCTTAAGGGGAAAGGGAGTAGACGAAAGCGCGATAGAATGAAAGCCACGCTATGTTTCAGAGAGCTGGCAGCTCACGCGTGGGACGTTGGGAAACAATCAAGGCTACGAGAGCATGACGACATCATCGGTCGACCAGCGCCGTTTTACCAATGCCGACAGCTTTCCAGGCTTGAGGTTCTGAGCCTTGTCAAGTAACTGTGAGGACAGAGTGGTCTTGATGAGAAATACCGTAAAAACTCTGTCAACTCGCGCAGCCTAGCTTCTCCATAAAAAGAAGGAGAACCAATACATTAGGCTGTTTGTGACGTTTTTACGGTTAACAGTGGGAAAATGGAGACGCTAGGCTGCGAGAGTTGACAGAGTTTTTACGGTAGTGACTGCTGAACAAGTCGGTGCATTGAACAGGACAATCCAGAGTTAGCGCGTCGATCATGTTCTGGTCTAACCTATAAAAGTAACCACATGGTGATCGCGGGTGTTCCGTCCGTCCCAAGCCCAAGATGTCAAGCCACGGCATGGGCCGAGGCTTGCGCAAGGGCGAGCTAAAAGCCCCATCGCCATGATGACGAAAGTTGGTTCTACGTTGCCACATGGACATCCGTAGTCTCCATTGTGGAGAATATCCCGCTTTGCCCCAATCGTGAGCCATTCACTCTGCGGTTATCAATGGGCTCGTCAAGGCTGTGAAGAAGTCTTTACAATCTCTTTACGCTGCAGTGCAACGGCCCAGCAAGCACCCACCCTCCCCGGGGGTCACAGAGCACAATGGGGCAAATCGGCGTTGAGTCGACACGGCCGTAAACAAAGGACACGTTCTCAGTAGTCTTCAAGGAAAACCAGGTGTGTTGATCTTAGCTACTTCCTCTCGGCATTACATTATCTGGCCCCGTGGTGGTCGAGCGTAAGCCTCTCGCTGCAACTGCCCTGGAAAGGCAATGCCACGGGCGCTGGCCGCAAGCCTCCGTCTGAGCGTCTAGGGGAGCTGGCGCGGCCGATGACAAACTTGCTAGTATGGCCAACTGTCGGAACTGGTGGGTTGACAAATCGGGGAATTATGATCCCTTTAAGACAGCCCTACTTCGAAAAGAGCCAGGGTCAATGCGGTTGGGGGAGCCTGGAGTGATAATGCCCCTTTTGATTGGGATCCTGACTAGATTAGCAGATGTGTCAAGTGCCAGGATAAGGGGTTCTCGACTACGGGATCCCACTCTTCGAGCTGTCCAGTTTGAGCTTGTTTATCCACGTGGTGGTGTGGTGTTCAAGTTTCTCAGACCTCTCGACCCCATCCCATCGGCAATATATATGGACGTCGTCACCTCCCCTTCCGCTTCCGGGGCTGCCTGTTGCGGAGGCAACATACTTTCACCAGATTAATTACCTACCTCTTCCCTTTCCGAGAAACCTCGTTGCCTTTTTGACTCCCGCTTCCACGTTTCTTCAATCGCAAATATGGCGGAGTCGGGCTCGGCGGAGGCTAAGACCCAACCTCATGCCAACCTCGATGGCCTCGGCATCTTCTGGATCGTGTTTGCCCTCTCCTGGACCTTGATCGTCGCAGGCGGCATGATCTTTCTATGGCGTTGTCGCGACATGCCTATACTGAGGATTCGAGGTCTACCGCTGTCATTCCTTGCCATCACATTGCTCCATCTCTACTGGGGCGCCGTCCAGACCGGGTATGTCTATTTCCGTCTCACTACACCCGAGGTAGAGTACTGGATCATGAGCATTTACCTCCCCTGCGGCATCGCTCTATTCCACGCCTCCAACAGCCGATTTCTCCATGTCGCCAAAGCCCAGAAGGAACTCTTCGCCTCGGACGCTGCTTCGATTAATAGCGAGCGTGCCGAGGCTAAGTCCCTCGTCGGCCGCTTTCGATCTCTCAACTACACCAGAAAGATCCTGATCCTTGTGGGCGTGGGCATGAGCTGTCAGGTAACACAGCTTGCACGTGGTGTCCCCGTACAATTACTGACCCGAAAACCAGTTCTTTCTTACAGTCTTCATGTACCTTATTTCGAGAAAGTTCCATCCCTCCTTCGGCATCCCGGGCACCGAGGTTACGGGAACCGAAGACTTTCAGAAGTCTCAAATGGGCAGGGGCTGGGAATGGTAGTACCGACTATTTCCCCAAGTAATCCGAGTACTAATATTATTCTAGGTGGCCATCTGTCTTTTGGCAGTTCTTCTGGGCATGGATTGTCGCTCCCTACATTCTCTGGCACGCTCGTGGAATCAATGATACACTAGGATGGAGGACACAAACTATTGCTTGCTGTCTTTTGAGGTCAGTATCCTTTAACATAAGATGGCTGACTCTATGCTCACTCTCAAGAAGTCTTCATGCTACCCCTATGTGGCTTATTGCTTTATATATCCCTGCCATGTCGGTAGTTAACAAAGTCTGGGTTCCTCCTCAATGGTAAGCTATCCTAATATTTATGTGTTTATAGAGGATATGCCGAGCTCACTCTAATTAAGGATTGCCATCTCGATTATGATGCTTGAGATCTTTACTATCTTCTTTCCTTGCTGGGAAGTCTTTAGACACCAGACTCTACGCCAAGAGACCCTCGACTCTATCAATCAATGGCAACTTAATAAGAGTGTTGGCAAGACCTCGGGGTCTATTCCCACAGGCTCCACGAAGGTGGCTGGCTCATCACTGACTGTATGGTCTAAGGGTGACTCTATCGAGAGCAGTGTTGGCGAGAGTATCCTCACCATGGAAGCTCTCGAGTGCGTCCTTGAGCGAAATCCCGAGCCTCTTCAGAAGTTCTCTGCCCTCCGAGATTTTTCTGGAGAAAACATTGCCTTCCTGAGAGCCGTCGCTGAGTGGCAGTCTTCGCTTCCTCTTGTGGTTCTCGACCCGGAGAAGATCAAGGATGACGTGGCCCAGGAACTTGTCTGCGAACGATTCAACAGCGCTCTCAGAATCTACATCAACTTCATCAGCTCCCACCATGCCAAGTTCCAAATCAACCTTTCCTCACAAGATCTCAAGAGGCTCGCGTCTGTTTTCGAGCCGTCCGCCCGCATTCTCTATGGCGAGAAGCACGAGATTGATCCCGCTACGCCCTTCGACTCCTTTGAAATGACCAGCAAGGCCAAGTCGTCTTCTGGGTCATGTCACGGCTCCGAGACCGGCATCATGACCGGATCGATCAACGAGACGGAAGCCATTGGAGACAAGGCCCTCTACTGGGGTGACATCCCTGATGGCTTCGATGCCACCATTTTTCATGACGCTGAATCAAGCATCAAGTATCTTGTTTTCACCAATACCTGGCCAAAGTTTGTTAAAGATCGACAATCCTCGATCAACTCAAACGGTAACCTTGAGGCAGGAAATGCCATTCCCGCTACCCGTTGAGCGTGGTTATGAGTTAGGGAGGTAGGGTCATTTAGGCCTTCTGGGACGGATCTTGACGCTTTTATGTATGAATGCAGCTAAACTGATGAATCGATACGCATTTCTCTCGCCGTTTCTGATTCCCTCCGTAATTCCGTGAAGTGTGTAACTCATGATGCCCTTGAGTTGTCTAAACGGTCTTATTCTTTGACGTGGCACGCAGCCCTACCTTTGCTTCCCAAGACGCCGCCATCTCTGTAACTGTAGCCAATGCGGTGCCTGGCTTGTGGCAATGATTGTGATGCGAAGTACTCGTGACGGTATATTATGAGTCTCTTCTCTTAGAAAATTCGTCCTACATTTCCTACGAAGCAAGGCTCCGTCTGTGTGATTTGCTGGTCATCCCGCAGAAGCGACGATTCCTACATGGCTTTGCGCGTATCTGTCGGATTCTGTGAGTTTCCATGCATGCTTGTGACGACAAATAAAGTGCGAAATGACCAAGACACAATGCCATCAAAACTGGCCAAAGATCAATAATTCAGGATAACTTGCTTACTCTATCCAGTGTGTTGAGACAGCTGGACATACTGCTCAGCCCCTCTCTGAGAGCTAAGGGAAGCAATCAAAAAAACTTAGAACCTAATTGCCCCTTCCAAGTCCGGAAATCCCTTTCAGCTTCAACACACTATTGCTACATACTCGGCTTATACGCACCATTTACCCTCATTTTCAAGCAGAGCTCTTTTGGTGTCAGGCATTTGTTGCAGGCAATCGTGTTGCTAGTGCCTGTGGTATTAACAAACAGGTCGAGGTCGTTATCGCGCAAGATGTTTTGGACAACCACGTTAGCTGCGGCTACAGTTTTGGTGCGAAGACGACTGCATGAAAGGGAAAGATCAGGATTAATACATGAATCGTCGATAATAGCCAGGCCTGCAGCGAGGCCGCCATTGGTCTGTCGCTCGATGAGGTTGTCCCAGACCTTAGCATTGATGGCGCCGTCGAGGATGATTCCGTAGGTGCCAAAGGCAACATCTGTCGGCAGCTGTCGACGGCTAGGATTCGTCGCGCTGACATGGTTATGTGAGACCATGACGCCATCGAAGCTAGGATCGACAAAGACGCCGATGCAGCTGTCGCTGACATCATTATATTGCACGTTTGCGCCCGGGGTCTGGACACAGAGTGCGACGTTGTGCTCCGAAATGTGGTTGTTTGAAGCCTAGACACCGGCCATGTCGTCCATGCAGATGCCGATGAACCCCAGCTTCGTCGATGAGACCACGGTGTTGTCGACGACTCGGGTGTTGGTCGAGCCAGCCGTGAGGAACCCGTACAGGTGGCCGTTGGTGAGCCTGTTTCCCGTCACCCGAGCGTTCTGGGCCCCGACCACGGCTATGTTCGCGCCGGAGAAGTTGCTGACTTGGAAACCCGTAATTAACACGTCCTTTACCGGCTCTCCTGCTGAGAGGACCTTCCGGTGTTCGACCAGGAACGGGGCCAAGTCAATCTCAGACCCCATTACGCAGATGCCCGCCTCCGTACCGGGACCGGTCAGGTTAGAACAGTGATTTGTAACAGCGGTGGTAGGGGGAACGAGGATGGCGCCCAACCCGACCAGGGCAATGCCGTCTTTCTCGATTGTCAGCTGCTCGGCGTAGGTGCCGGCTTCAACGAGGATTCGATCCCCCCGAGAAGCCGCGTTGATCGCGTCCTGAATGAGCTGGCCAGGCTGGACGTGTATGGTGCGGCAGTCCTTGTCATCATGGCGTTCCTTACTGGCTTCATGGTCCTTGCCCTTGTGTTCCTTGTCCTTGTCCAGATGTTGGCAACGCCCTTTTCCATCCCAACACGCCCATTATCCTTCATCCATAGATGACGGTAATGCCCATTTTCCCACTTGCATTGGCAATCGTCCCTGACTGAAGATATTAGCAGTTTATGCATTTGATTTTGAGAAAGCAGACAGACCTTGGAGGCCGGCAGCATTATCAGGGTTTTGAAGGGGGGAAGCAGTCACAAGGCCAAGAAAAACGCTCCCAGCAACTCCCAAGTTCAGCTTTATGGTAGCTAAATTTATAAGTAGACGAGTGATGCGTGGTCGCGTGCAAGCCTGTCAACTCTTGAGAGGGGGAAGGCGGGAGACAAACGTGGTAAATAATTAGACTTAAGACGAGATGTCTTTGGCTTCGGAGGCGGCTTGCCTAGCTCAAGAGCAATATCGTGACGTGAATATTCCCTCGTAGTGCTATTCTTAGTGATAATAGCTATCGTCTGGGCAGCGATGTCCCCTACGAGCAGCAGCGGTCTTCCAGATCGGGGACGGTCAATAACGTACGCCTCAAGCACTAGCTGCCCTTCTACCCATCCTTTCTCCCTGGCTTTTCGGAATAGGCAGGTCAATCGACTTGGTAAGATGCCTGTAATCTTGAAGATCTCGTCCCTAGTGTATCCCTCGCCCTTCAGGACTAGGGCTGAGGTACGGGTGCTATTGTTGTGGTTCTTAGTCTTTGGCATCGTTAGTGGGGCCTTGCTGCAGGTCTTGGATTGTGTCTTGGGTCTCACTTGTATGGTAGAAGGGAACCAAGAAACTCGCACACGGGGGACGTAAAACTCCCCCAAAAATCAGGGGCAAAGTCCCCCAATGACAATAATGATGAGAAAAAGCAATATACAAAAGAGATAGATGAATGAGGTTGTATTAGTGGCTTAAGCTGTGTTGAATGCGCGATGCTCATACTGTTGCACTGTGGCGTTTAGAGAACGCCATCAAAATAATCTAGCATCCAAGTCGGCCACAATGAGCCCGACGGCATTGTCACTGATCAAAGGGGCCGTATCACGCTGTGAGTGTGCTTTTTAATCTTAAAAGCCGCCTTTTCAGTTTTTCTCACCTACTCACTCATGGCCGATGCTCCGCAGGGAGATATGGCTCATGAGCCGGGGACGCGACACGCTGAGGCGTGTTGGTCCGCTCTAGGAGCCCTCGTTGTAAGGTGGTTGCGTCAGAAGTGTTGTTCTACACGGAAGCGCTGCTCCACCCGGAACAATGACCCACCCCGAAGCCTGCTCCACTCAGAAGCGGTGTCCCATTCATTTGACCGGGCTTCCTGTACGAAGGTTGGCGACAAAAGTTATGCTCACCTTGTTAACCCACCAATACACCGGATAGGCTTAGCGGCTCCCTCCCCCTCTTCTGCCGCCTTGCCTATCGTCTCCGTCCCATCCACCATTCACTCTTCCATCCCTCATCCGCTGCTGGCGTCGGGGATCGCACGGTTGGTGCTGATCCAGAGGTCGGTTGCTTTTGTTTACCTGTCATTTTCTCTCCTTGCAGTGCACTTTCGAATGGGGTTTCCTGGCGTTTCGTCGCACGCCTTCCTGTCTTACCGTAATTTTGCCAGGTAGCTATTCTAGGGCTTGGGGAGTATAAAGTGTGAACTGTGAATGGGAGGGTGCGGGGCCGAGTGGGACCTCCCGCAGTGGCTGAGCTCACTGAACTGTCGGCACTGGAGGAGCCTACGACTCCCAACTGAAGCATTCCATCTCTCCCTCCCGCACAGTGAATAATCCCTCGCGTTATTTTCAACATCGTCTCCTGGCCTTTTCATCTCTGCATCTCCATCTCTGCGCTTTCGTCCTGAAGAGCGAAGAGCGAGAGTCCTCCGACATCGATCGAGCCATCCCCTCCCCTCCAACTCCTCTCAAGGCCTCGAATTGTACCCGCACCAAACAGCTGAGCGACGAGGTCAGCTGAAAGTGCCTCGTCAGCTGTGATTGGTGTGTTCCCAAAAGATTCATTTGCATGGCCTATTCCCTGCAAGGTTTCAGGGACTAGCAGGGCTGTGCTGGAAATGGCTTGACATGGGTCTTCAGTTGAGGCTGTGGATACCTTGAACTCGTCGGCCGCTAAGTGCAACCAGCACCGGGGATCAAGCCAGTTGTGACCTCCGGCAATCTGAAGTGCTGCTGGAAGAAACAAACATTAGGTCACACTACTTTGTGATTCCACGGTCAGCCCAACATTTCCCATTGTATGCCCACGCTGGGCGACCAATCCAAAGTTTTTATTGGTCTTACCATGAGGGCGACTTCAAAGTCACCGCCAAGCTGAACAGGCAAACATGCATCAGTCATTCCGTTTATTGGATACTAGTTTAGAAATCGAGAACTTCAACAAAAGGTGGTGTGAACAATACCACTCACCGGCATTCCCTCGATAGCCGCAATTAAAGGCTTGCGCACGGCACTCATCCCCGCGCAAAGGTTCCCGAGGTAGCGGCAATCCCCGCGGCCTCAGCGTCTAGCGCTGCGATCTCTTTGATATCATATCCGCACCTGCTGTCACAAGGGCCTGTCAGTTCAACTGCCGGGGTCGCCAAGCTTCCGTGGGGCATTTACCGGGAAAAAACGTGTTGCTTCCGGTGACAATGATGGCCCGCACAGCCTTATCCGCTGCAGCTAGCGATAGCTTGTCCAGAAAGACTGAGATAGCTCGCCAGAGAGCCCATTTCGCTTCGTGGGTCGGTTGAGGGTGGGGACTCGTACTCCTTCAGCGGGAGTGAAGTCTCGTACCAATTCTTGACTCATGGTCAAGTCCCGAAAGAAGCAAAGAAGAAAGATAGCGTGTAGAATGCTGAGGGGGCACCCGGAGAGTCAGCTGAGGCGTGGAGCTTGGGACGGCTAAATTGCCAATTGGAGATGACTTTTTGAGGATACACCAAGGATCAACTCTTATCGGCCGGTGTCTGTTGGCTCAAACACTTGTGCGACCTCCAAAATTCGGCCTCAGAATGTCGATCAATTGACACGTATTAAGGCCAGACATGTCTTTGACCGACTCGGCATACGACATGTACACGGCTCGGCGCATACAGCTGGCGGCACGCCACGAGGCTATATGCTCGACGTGCCGTTAATTAAATTGAAGGATTTTGGCGGAGGAGGTTAGTCCGCCGTATCCGCATTACTAGAGTAGGAAATGCGACCTGTCTCTATTGGGTTAAAGCGGGTTGCTATTACCGTTAGTGAAGCTCGTCCTGTCGCGGCGGTGACGGGCGGGGGGGGGTGAACTTGTCACGAATGGGCCACATCGAGCAATCTCAACCCCTCTTTGTCCAACTAAAAACGTCACTAACCCCTTCGTATTCCAGCTATCCCGCTTCGTCCGGTTCGTGCCTGAACAGGGGCTGGAGGAACTAGCATTGACAGGAGGGTCCGGCTGACAATCGCCGCGCTAGTCGAGCCGTGCAGTTCATGGGCACGCTAGCCATTGTCAATATTACGCTAGTTCAAGAGGCTGCACGTTGTCAGAGTACATCCATGCACGATGTTGCAGTTCCCGGGCGTTGAAGATGTCTATCAAGTCTTCTTGATCCTGGACTCGTGAGGCTACTATGATCCATGCGGTTAGTATGGCCACTTGGCAGTCACGTACACGCTAAACCTCTAGGATGAGAGGTGGTTCCATTCATTAACATTGTCATGTGGCCGGTGTCACTTGCGCCTGTTTTCCACTATCGAGTTAATGGCTCGCCATGTATGGGACAAAGGCAGTGACGACAAGTCCGCATGAGAGAACGAGAAAAGAGAGAGGCTAGAAAGCCATGAGTTACACCACTTAAACCTGGTCCGATGACAGTGAAAAAAGTTCTAGCCAATCTGCCCAAGCTACACTCCTACACTCCCCCAAGCTTATCTTGTTAGTCCACTTGATTTTGATACCATCACCGTTAAAACTGCAATCTTAATTTCATCTCACCTTGGCCTCTCTAAACAAGAACGAGGCTTCATAATATGCAGAACTTCTCAGAACGGCTTGAGCCCGGCATGAGGCCCATGCCTCTCTCCTTCAGCTACGGGGTGTTGGACACCCCTCGCTTCTCAACAGTTACCGCAGCCTTCCAGCATCATGTAGCCGTGAGGGCTGGTGCCATCGCTACTCGGGACCTCTCAACCCAGCCTCCATCCCATATCACGTATGGTGAGCTTGCCCCGAGAAGTGCAAGTCTTGCACGGAAGCTGCAAGGTCTGGGCGTGGTACCAGGACATCGTGTACCCCTTGTCGTCAAGAGTGGTATCGATATGCTCGCAGGTATTATGTCCATTCTTAGCTCTCGTGCTCAATATATGCCTCTTGATGGAACGGTTGTTTCCGATGCAACCCTGAAGTTTGTTTTAGAGCAGACCCGAGGGCATACTGTCTTGGCTTTACGGTCTACCCGTCATCGGCTATCTCTTATTGATGAATCCAACGTTGTCGCCATTCACGATTTGGAATATGTCGATGTTACTCGCCAAAATGTTACCAACCTCGTCTGTCAGTCACTCAGTGATCTTGGTATCGCACCTGGTACACAAGTCGGTCGGGTACTCAATATCAGCTTTAATATGGGTAAGTATTCCAAGGTTGTTGTCAGTTGTTCACAGTGTCGACTCATACCATTACAGCCGCATGGGAGATACTCGGTTATCTTGTGAATAGAGGCATTCTAATCCCTCGTGGCCCAGGCTGGCGAAAAGCCCTACAAGAGGTAAGACAGATTGACCACCAGGAATTCATCAGAAGTTGACGTCTAATCACGATGCAGGTCGACGTCCTTGTATGTGCCCCAAGCATATTGGCCAAATACAACCCTGTGCACTATCCCAATAGCAAAGTTGTGGCTACAGCTGGCGAGCCTTCATCCCAACGGTATATTTCACTTGAATCATATTTCCTGGTCTAGGTCTGCGTCTGCATACTAATCCTTGCCTAGACTTGCTGATCTATGGGCCTCGCACTGCACGTATTACAATTGCTGTGGCCCTTCAGAGACCTTCATTGTCAACACCATGCACAAGCACCAAACCTACCTGCCATTGTCTATTGGCGCGCCAACACCAAACAATAATGTTCCCATACTCAATGATGACAGCCAGCCAACCGACATTGGTGAGATTGGTGCCATGTGGGCTGGCGGGTTAGGGGTCACCCGTGGCTACGTCAGTTTGCCAGAGACAGCCGAGAGATACGTTCACGATCCCTTTATGAACGATGAGTAAGTATATGAGATATACGGGCGGATTTCCCACGTGCTAACTGGGGTAGGTCTAAAATATACAACACGGGGGACCTTTGCAGCTGGAACGTCGATGGGTCCGTTCACATCCTAGGTCGCGTTAACGATAGAGTCAAAGTCAAGGTAAGAAGAATTGAAATGCATTAACTACACTTCAGAGACGCTAAGACTCAATTGCAGGGACTTAGAGAGGAGTTTGATGGTGTAGTCGCTTCCATGAACTCCTGTCCAGCCGTCAACCGAGCCGCAGCTCTGCTCACTGGGGGAGAAATTCATGGTTTACTGACTCCAAAAGACTGCGATCTTGGGAAGGTAGTAGATCATGTCAAGAGCCGTCAACCATACTACGCCATCCCAACTCATTTCCACTTGCTGGACACATTCCCCATGACTGTTAATGGAAAGATTGACAAGAAAGCCCTCAGAGCTAGAGAGTCCTTGGCTGAGAAGAGCTCTCCCACCGAGGAGAAGACCTCTACAGAAGTCATTGCTTCTCCTAAGCCTGCGGTCATCAGCCACTCGCGATCCGACTCCTCGGCTTCAAGCCTCACACAATTCAGCTATACCTCCGAAAAGTCAGAAGCGACTGTTGTTGAAGAGAGCATCGACGTCGAAGCGGCGCTTCCTGAAAAGAGGCAAAGTAAACGTATGCGGGGTCTCCGACATCGCATCCTCATTGTGTATCGCCGCTTGTTCACTCTGGTTGGCATCTTCAATATCGCAGCTGCTCTCGCAGTCATTCTCTCTGGTGTCCAAAGAGAATGGCTAGGTACAGTTCCAGCGATCAACCTCGCCCTTGCCGTTCTTATTCGACAGGACTTCATTATCAATGCCCTATATACGATAATGTGTAGTATACCCAAGTCCTGGCCACTCGCTATCAGATCTCGATGCGCCAAGATTTATCACCTTGGTGGCGTTCACTCTGGCGCTGCAATTAGCGCCGGCGCCTGGCTCCTCGCTTCCAACATTGGAAATGTTGTGTGCATGACTTCAAAATGCTCTAACTGGGGCCATCAGTCGCTGGCTGTAAACATCATCTCTTGGATGCTTTTGGCTCTCTTCTTCGTCATGTTTGTGATGGCGTATCCATCAGTCCGAAAAACACACCATGATTTATTTGAGAAAACGCATCGCTTTGTTGGATGGGGCATGCTTGGTCTCTTTTGGGCCCAAGTGGTTCTTGCCTATAATGATACTAAGGACTTAAGCACATCTTTGGGCAGCACCTGTGTACAGTCAGCCTCATTCTGGCTCCTCACTATTACCACTGCCAGCATTGCTTTGTCTTGGGTTTTTCTAAGAAGGGTACCTTTTCAAGCAGAAGTCCTCTCTGATCACGCCATCCGACTTCATTTTGACTATACAGTCCCAGTCAATGGGTCATTTACTCGCTTGTCTAAGCATCCTCTGCTCGAGTGGCATTCCTTTGCTACCATCCCAGCTCCAGAGCCTGCAAATAGCCGCCCTAAAGGCTATTCCCTCATTATCTCAAACGCAGGCGACTGGACTAAGGCAATGATAAAAGAGGAACTGACTCATATTTGGACTCGTGGAGTTCCTACGTGCGGCGTTATGCGTATCACTACTCTCTTTAACCGTGTTATCCTGATTGCAACTGGATCTGGCATCGGACCTATGTTAGGCCACATTCAAAGTCCTTCTTGCCCGATACAGCTAATTTGGTCAACATCTCGACCAGAGCAAACGTTTGGAAAGGATCTGTGTAACGTTATCAAGGCCCAGATACCTAACGCAGTTATCCATGACACCAAGAGATTTGGCCGCCCAGATCTAGTCAAGATGGGTTATAATCTTGTGCAAAGTTTCAAGGCGGAGGCTGTGATTATTATTGCAAACGAGAAGGTTACTAAGAAGGTTGTTTATGGTCTTGAGACTCGGGGTGTTCTTGCATATGGGGCGATTTGGGATAGCTGAGGTGGATTATTAGATGGTTTAAATGCTTGATTTGTTGTTGTAGAGATTATAATCATCCGTGATTAAGAATCACATGCAAACGATGACTGGGATGAATTCACCCTTAATACACTAATACAACGCTGGCCTATATAAAGCGACATTGTATGATGCGAATATATCGCGGAGGTCACATAAAGTGAGGTTGTCATGTAGAAGTAGAAAGATGGATGACGAGCTAAGACTACAATTGAGGACGGGAGCATAAGGTCTCCTTTCTCACGTGATGTTACATATAATGCCAGTCTTAAGCACCAGGCCCAAGACTGGTTCTTCACGTATCAATAAATATATAATTAGAATTATATGCTTAAGGTTAGTATCCTTACTGAGTTTTAGACTTACTGGATCTTTAGTGGTTAGGAAATGGCTAATTGCTATCTGCTTGATAGGTTAATTGACAGTTACCCTATGTTATGCTAGCGCGTTTTGGTTTCCTACTTAAATTTAATTGGTATCTACTAGATGTCGCAGCACATGGTCTCAGGGCAAGTTCTGGTTTAACGGAATTGTGCCGGTTCCTTACCCCATCCCCACACGACGGACCTGTTGGCAAGCTGCTGTCTAAGTTGAACAGACATCCTATGAGGCCAAGCCACATGCATTTCATGTTTGAGAAGGAAGGTTGGGATAAGTTAATAACGGCTCTATATCTGAGGGGTGATCCCTACGAGACGTCAGATGCCGTGTTTGGTGTTAAAGAGTCATTGATTGTGGAGTTGGGTCGAGTGGATAAGGACATAATGACTAAGTATCCGGGAACTTACGAAGGGATGAGATTACTAACCTATGATTTCGTGCTTGTGACGGATAAGGAGACGGCGCAGTTACGAGATCAGAAGAGCGTTGAGGCGCTGAAGAAGCTGAAGATGTCAGTCAAGATTGTGGACGGTTTGCCGGTCCCTGACATTTACTGAAAAGACATACATAGAAGACATAAAGATGAGCAAGGAGAGGATATCCATCCAACATAGTTTAGCATTCTACTTGAAAAATACCCCGACCAGTGTATCCAACAACAGTCATCATTGGTTAGAATTCCAGAGCAAAGACTGTGAATTCAGTATTCATCAGGCTTCCAACCCATTCGTGACCAGGTCCAGCCCAAGAATGAAGATGGCATACCGAGGAGGTACATCGGAGTTGCTGGTCACTATTTGCTAGCGTCAAAATTCATGACACCAGCTGAAGCGACAGGGGAGGCTCGGAAACCGTCGGATTTCAGTACAGGGTGGTTTTCGGGTGGGTAAAAGAACCTCACAGGGTGGGTAAGTATTGACCACCTTACTGAGTGGAAAGCCCCCACAGGTGGAGCGGGAAGTTCTCTCGTCGCTAACAGCCGGGAAATATAATACCTTCTCGACGTAAGGATCCTATGTCAACTTATCGCTACACCCTTAGCTAATAGACAAAGACGAAGACAAAGCCCAAAAGTCTCAACTGACTGTTCAGAATGGAGTCTTTCATATACACAGCAAGCCCCAGTCGCGTCATCCTTGGGCCTGGAGCTTCTTCTAAGCTCCCTGAGGAGCTTTCCCAGCAAGGGCTTAGAGCAGCTCTGATTATCTCCACACCTTACCAGACTGAAGAGGCCAGTAGGATCAGAGATCTGCTAGCCTCGAACACGGTCGGCGTTTTCTCAGAAGCAGTAATGCACACGCCTACCGAAGTCACCGAAAAGGCTCTCGAAGTAACACGGAGCCTAAAAGCCGACTGCATCGTATCCGTCGGAGGCCGCAGCACAACAGGGCTAGGCAAGGCCATCAGCATTCGCACTAGTCTCCCCCACATCTGCATTCCTACCACTTATGCTGGTAGCGAGATGACTCCAATCCTAGGAGAGACAGCCAACGGACTCAAAACGACGAGAAGAGACCCCAAGATCTTGCCTGGAACTGTCATCTACGACGTTGACCTCACAATGACTCTACCTCAGGGCCTTAGTGCAACAAGTGGTGTCAATGGAATCGCTCACGCCATTGAAGCCCTCTATGCACCAGACACCAACCCAATCATCAGACTGCTGGCTAAAGAAGGCATTCGCGCTTTGGCAGAGTCATTGCCCGTCATAGTCAAAGACGGCAACGACAACTTTGCCAGGAGTAAAGCTCTGTATGGCGCCTGACTCTGTGGCATATGCTTAGGCAGTACGACAATGTCGTTGCATCACAAGTTGTGCCACACGGTCGGTGGATCCTTCAACCTTCCTCATGCGGAGACTCATACGATTTTGCTTCCGCATACAATCGCGTACAATAGCCCAGCGGTGCCAGAGGCCAAGAAAGATTTGGCCGATGTCTTGCCCAGTGCCGGTGGTGACGCTATCAAGGGTTTGAATAGCCTTTTGGATAGGCTGGGCGTGAAGAGGGCGTTGAAGGAATATGGTATGAAGGAAGATGACATTGACAAAGCGGCGGCTATTGCAATGAAAAACCAGTATGCCAATCCTAGAACAGTCGAGCAAGAAAAGATCCGGGAATTGATAAGGCGAGCTTGGGCTGGCGAATCTGCAAGGACGGATTTGTAGCTAACTTTTCACCCTGTATGCCACTGTTCATGTCCATAGCTGAAGCATTACAAACTCACTACTCCTGTGGAGCCTTCAGCAGCGCAAGAGAGCAGCTTGGTACGTATATTCTATGACGATGCAATCACAAGTTCATTCAAATACCTCCTGAATCATCAGTACTTAGCGGCATGGATCTCTCAGGCATGATGATGTTCTGATATCAACGCACGTCACTCATCGGTGTTACCTTTGCTCAGCTAGATGAGTCTATTCCTTGCATCATGATGAAAATTGATGTTCGCGTTGAAAAATATGTCTGACATGAGGTATTAATAATGGTGAGATCAGCGAAAGGGGAGTGGATGAGATGCATCTCCATTGTCTTAAGGTCTTCATAATTTGTCTCAACAATTTCGATGCTTCCTCTGACGCAAGAAACAATCAGTTTGTCGCCATTGGGCAGGATGTAAACAGAGGGGTAATTTCAATTGCTTCACTGCCATGCAAGCTCATGAATTGTAAGACTGGGTAATAGAGTTTCAGCCGGAGAGCCCAGCTGCCGACACGAGGTAGTGCGGGCACCAATTGCGTCCCCTCGATGTGGCGATGTCAGCCACGAAGCATTGAAGTGTCCGCACTATGCTTTTCTGGAGTAGGGGGCTCTCGTCTGATGGCGTTTTGATGACGTGTTGATGCTGTTCGGCTAGGTCGGTTACCAAGAACGGAAACTACTCGGGTCCAGCACGAAACCTCCACGGTTGCTACTATCAGGAAATCAAACTCACTTCCTAATACAGCCGCCCCCGGCCGGAAATATTCTAGTTCATAGGCTCGAGTGCTTTATATAGTGACCAATAGCTATGCGGCGATGATATCACCTAGCAGAATCCCGGTTGCAGCTTCCAGACGGATTCCCTATGAGATTTGATAATTTAAAATTATCGCGAAAGTGGATTGAGATATAGCAGATGCCGTCATGGCGATTGGTATATCCCCATTTGCCGAACAACAGATCCACTAAGCCCGCAACGTAGAACTCAAGCATAGTTTCGGAGCTGACGACCACATAGCCGTCTAAAAAAAGAAACTCGTATCGAATTGATTGTGCTTCTGCATGATCTGCTGGCAGCATGACTAAGAAAAGGTCTCAGCGAAAGTCAACGAGGCCCAGTCAGAATTCAGCTCAACAACATTCAGTAGGAAGCTCAACAACATTCCGTACAACATCATGCATCCAAAATGACGAATTGATGATGATGTGAGGCCTGGGCCAAAAGGCGGAATTGTTTCAGCCTAGACAACACACAGGAATGGCCACGTCATGTCATTTATCCTTTGCAGATGCCGAGATGGCTTTGAGATGTATCATCTGCCGGAGCTGGCAACACGCATCTTGGCTTCGGTGTTACACTTGGTGAAGGCTAACAAGGAATTCATGTAATCTTGAGACCAGATCTGGGAGGCATGGCGACATGAAGCAGCTCAAGTCATCTGGCTTTGTAATGGGAGAGCATCTGTGAATAAAGCCGAGGCCTTCCCCCTCATCTTCAGGAATGAATCTTCATCTCTATCTCCCAGTTCATACAGATTGAATCAAGTTTGACTTCTCCTGACAACCGCGATCTTCTCTTGGTATACCTCTTGAACGAACCCTTTGCAATTCCTACTTCTTCAAACATCCTCTCACCCATTTGACCTCAAAATGAAGCTTTCCCTCATCGCCCTCATCGCCGCTGCTGCCCCGGCCATTCTGGCAGCCCCTGCCCCTGAGGCTGAGCCAGGTGCTCCAGCAAAGTACGGCGATCATCATCCTCCCAAGGGCGGATACGGTAGCTACGGTGACAAGGGTGGGAAGCATAAGGGCAAGGGAGATGACGACGATGACGACGACAAGTACGACGACAAGTACGGCTATCCTTCCAAGGGCGGAGACAAAGGCTACTACAACAAATATCGCCGTGGCAATGATTATGGAGGTTATGGGGACGACAAGAGCAAGGGCCATGGAGGTTATGGGGACGACAAGAGCAAGGGCCATGGAGGTTATGGGAACGACAAGGGCGGAGACAAAGGCTACAACAAAGATCGCCGTGGCAAGGATTATGGGGACGACAAGGGCCACGGCAAGGACCATTGGAAGGACCACGGCAAGGGCCACGGCAAGGGCCACGGCAAAGGCCACGACAAGGGCTGGGGCAAGGGCTACTAGGCCACTAGCTTCCAGGTCCAATCTTGGCTCCGAACCAGTCTCAGTGACAGACGATTTAGGATTGGGTATGAGAAAGCGACGAATGGTGAATATGAGCCTGACTGGTGACGAGGTATCGAGAAGGGAATTGATGTGGATGAAGACCTCGAGTTTATGGTTTTGATTGGAAATATTGACACACTCCTTTATGCTATGCGAAGGCATCGGAACGATGTACTAGTTGACAAGCCAAAACTGGCCTGAAAAATATTAAATACAATGTCTGTCCTTTCCGAGTCTTTATGAAAGTCCCAGCCACTGTCTCAACTAGAAAGTCGGAAATTTACGAGCTTAGTAACAGACATGGCTATATTAATATTCAAATAAGGTCTTATATGAATATGCATGAATATATTCATATTCATATCCATATAATTTATGAATATAATATGTACTTACCTATCCATATTCATGCATACCATCCAGGACCACCTAATGGATAACCCCACCTAATGGATAACCAAAATTTCGCTCCGCCCACACAAAATCCAAATTTTGATGCGTGCACAAAACACCAGGTCATCAATTAAAAAGCGAAGCTTTGGAGAGGGACTCTAGAAAATTGATCAATTTTTACTCTCTGCGTGGTTTTTGACCTCCCGACCGCTGCGTGTGCGCTGGCAGTGCTTTGTTACGACCATAAAGTCATCACTTTCGTCCTCTGACCTGACACCCACCTCAATTACCGACTCGACCTCCTCCTCCACATCCACCTCTATTTCTGCCTCCTTTGAGTTAGGAAGAGCTTCTCCAGCCGCTAGAGCCTCCGCTAGAGCCATGAATCGTCGGTTCGGGTTCGGTACCGCCTTTCTTTTCTTCCCTCGCCGCAGCCGGTCCATTTGCTCCTCCAGGCCAGTAATCCGCGAATTCTGAACGGCCACCTTCATCTCTAAAGCTTCCAACCCCTTTGCGATCTTACTGTACTTCCGCCTGGTCGGAGGACTTCGGTGTTTGGCCAAATCTCTTACCTGGCGGCTCGTTTTCGGCGTATCATCTGAGTGCAGTAGGGGAGGGCTGGGCGTCTTGAATCGTTCCGGCACTTTTTCTTTGTCCGGTTGAATTTCCGGATGTATTAGAGCTTTGTGACGATTTATTGGCCAATTTCCAGTAAACCTCCAGCCGGATAAGATAATCTCCTTCCTCATGCCCGCCTCTCTGGCTTTCGCATATTAGTGATGTTGTACTTTTCGTACAACACGGTTGTACATACATACGTACAAAAAGAAAAAGTACGTACACGTACTACGTACATACAATGAGGGTCCATGATATTCCTAATAAGGGAATTTGTGGGTCACATCGTACAAATACGGGGCTGTACAAAAACTCTGCTCGCTTCGCAGCTCAACGCACTCTGCCATTCTCGCCCAATTGAAGGTATCGCCAAAAAGATGGCGCCCACCAATGCTAACGCTGCCTTCGTTTGGCGACAGTTTATCGACCTCGGCCGCTCTAACTCCAAAAAAAGCAAACGATACAGGTGCCGTCACTGCCAGAAGGATTTTGCAGCGACCTCTATTGGGAGGCCGAAAGAGCATCTCGCTGCGTGTGAGAAATGGCAAGCCAAGCAGCGACAAGAGCGTCAAGCTCAAGATAACGCTGGCTATCTTCCCTCATATTCTGAAGCTATACAAAAGAAGATAACCGAGGTCGGAATTCAGCATATCTCGCAAGATGAGAGTCACAGTTTCGCCTATGATGCTGCCGCTGCCGTAATCGCCGGCGGCCGCCCCTTCAGCCTCTTCGAGAGCCGCCGTTGGCGTTATTTCTTCACTCGCATTAAGCCTGGCTGGAAGCCCCCTAACCGCGCCGTTATCACGAGAATCCTTCCCGACTTCTATCAGGAACTCTATGACGAGGTTTTCAAACGCATTATTAGCTCAGAATGGTTCAATATCATATTTGACGCTTCCGATAATGTCTCGGGCCACAGAATCGTTAATATCTCGGTACAACTACCAGACGGCCCAGCCTTCTACTGGAAAACGTTTGACACGGGAGACGAACAGCACACAGCGGAGAATTGGGTGAAGTTGATATGGGAAGAAATGCAGCAACTGTGCGGCAGTGATCTCTCCAGAATCAATTCTATCTGTACAGATACCGAAAATACGATGCGCTCTGTACACGACTTACTAGGGAGATTCCCAGAGCTCTCACATATCAACTTCTCTCTATGCGATTCTCACGGCCTTCAGCTTCTAATCAAAGATATCCTTCTTCTTCCATTCTTTGAGGATCTCTTTAACAACGTCAGCACCCTTCTCACGTTCTTCTCACGGTCTAAATTACAATTGCAAAGATTGAGAATGTGCCAGCGCACGAGGTGGAACGGAGTAACTCGCGCGCTGATCAGAAGGTACCGGTAAATCGCCAGCTGTGACTGAGAAATCACTGTACTAATTCGCTCGTTCCGAATAGTGTAATTACACGCTGGGGTTCTCAGTACAATTCTTTCTTCTCCCTCCTCCGTTCCCGAGACCCTGCCAGAGACTGGTCTATTCGAAAAGATGTACGAGATGAGCTGCAATCTCAAGATTGCCTCGTTCTCCTACCCGAAGTGGTTCGAATCATCAAAGACAACAGCTTCTGGCTAAAACTCGAGGCTGCGATCGCTGTGCTAAAGCCCGTGAACCAATTTCAACACGCTTCCGAGGCTGATGGGGCGGGAATCGCACACGTTGTAAATCGCTGGCTGCAAATCAAAAGCAAATGGGCTGAGATGAGAGAGGCTGATCAGTTTCCTGATATTCCGTGGGACGATATTGACGCTATATTCAAAACCCGGCTTGATAAGCAAACGTACGATATACATTGGATCGCCGATGCCCTCCGGCCTGATACAACAGGCCCAAATTCGAAACTGCCACCTAGCGTCTTTGCGCGCGTACAAGAGTATTTGCGGAAACAGCTGAAAAACGACAACGAATATCACCGTGCCATTTCCGAATTCACACACTTCCGAATGCGTACAGGTGGCCCAGACGGCTTATTTAATAAGCACAGCGCTGTATACGACGATGGCTTCAAGCCAGCAATGGCGTGGCAGTGCCTCCTCAACCAGGGCTCGATGCTGGCTAGAGTAGCTGTGAAGGTAATGAACACGCTTGCGAACTCTGTACCCTCAGAACGAAGTTTCTCTGCTATTAGTTTCATACATACGAAAGCTCGGAATCGGCTTACGCCCATGCACGCTGATATGCAGGCCTTCATTTTTATGAACGACCGCGTATTAGATCGCCTTAAGGATCAGAAGTACGCCCATAAAAAGCGCTGGGCGGATCTTGAGGAGAAGGACTGGCTAGAACTCGAAGATTCATATCTCGAGTTATTTGTGAATGCGCAGGGCAAGAAGGTCTGGATGGATGACGTAATGGCCTCTACCAATGGAGATTTTGAGTGGGAGGGTGTATTACAGTCGACGGGTGATATATTGAGGGTTGGCACTGAGGTGGAATCTGAGGTGGAATCAGAGGTTTGAGGCTAGAATGGCAGAAGAACAGGACCGTGAGAACCCTACTACCAGTATTGCCTAAAATGGAAGGGGGAAATTTGTATGGTACGTATTTGTATGTACAACCCCATTGTACGTACGTACTATGGCTAAAATACAGTACGTACGTACATACGTGTACAATAAATTGCATCACTAGCCGTCGCGGGAAGTTGAAGACAGATGAGGGGTTTATACCAGAGACGAGAAGAAGTAGGATGGGCAGGCTACATCAGGGCATACGGGCACCTAAAAACACGATGCGAAGGAAGGGGAGGGTGGGGTGCAATACGGCGCGTGAGGCGTGAGGTGTGAGGAGGTGGTGTGGTGAAGGATGCGGACATCAGGGCCCTTAAGACACAAGTGCCCGAGATGAGACGCTGCGCTGCACTGCCGCTGGCTGCCGTGGGGTGAGCCATCGTCGCCCTGGCCCATGTCTGGGGAGCAATGACGCTGCTGCCATATGAGACCGGGATGAACGGCAGAGAAAACATGTCTAGGCGACCCGGGGCATGGTCTGGTCTTCCCGAGTTTGCTCAGTCCTGCCAGGTCCGGGCCAGGTACGGTAGGACCCACGGGGTTCGTCAGGTCGAGCTGGTGGGTGGGGGTGCAAAATTAGGCCTTCTCGGCTCCCAGGCTCCTTCAACTCTCGAACGACTGGGGTCAAGCGCAAGCGCAGCGATGGTATCAGGAGCCGACATACCCGCGCGGGGCCCAGGTTCTGGCCGGAGCTCCGGGCTGGGTAGCTCTGGTGGGCTCTAGTGGCGCTGCCTCTGGTTTCTGGCGCTGTGCTTGTTGGACGCTGGGCTCATTTGGGTTCTAAATGCGAGTCTACCATCGACGTTGAAGCCCATCAGCACTCGAGGGCACACACCATCAGCCCGCAGCCCTGGCTCTGACCCCTTGTCCCACGCTGCCTGTGCACAGGAAAGAATACAAAGTCGAATCCATCTATCTGCGTATATCCTTTCAAGAGATGAAACTCAATATTAATAGGGAATTTGGCACAAGTAAAGAACGAATCAGTCGCAAACAGCCCTCAGCACGATCTCTCCCCAGCACAATCTCGGCCCTCGCGGGTCTCCTGTAAAACAGTTCCCAACCCCAAGATGATGGTACAATACCATGTCAAGACGCCCTGGCTCTCAACGACGGCGGCTTGCGCCTGGTGCCCATAACGACCGACGCCCTGTGTTCCGGCCTCGCCTTGATCTCTCCTTCAAAGGCGTCCTTCCGCATCCTCCGACGCCGCGCGCGGCCTTGGAAAGTCGATGTTGAAGCCGCCGCACAAGCATCATGATGAGTTTCAAGGAAACCATATGAAATGTGACTACCGCCCTATGATATGGACGGCCATGTCAATGCACCCGGCAAGTCTAACCAGTAGCCACTCTTCGCGCAATCTATCAAGTTCCGTGCCTTTGATCAAATATTAAAACAGGCATTAATAATCCTTCACCAAGTGTCGACAATACCAGAATCATTATGTTACCACTTTTCATCGATGTTATTGCAGCCCAGAACTGGATCAAGGCTACTTTGCATCCTTGGATTTCTGTCCACTCCAAAAATGCATTTTGCTGTAGGCATGGACACTGCAATCTTTCATTGCCTCTCGACACTCTGCCAAGAAGACCTCCGTCTCGGCGCTCGTCCAGCCCATTTTGGGAAAATGCCGGGCAGCGAGGGCGGGGAAGAACTCTTTGCAGGCTTCACGATAAAACTGACCGACGTAGCGCTTCTTTCTATGATGCCATTCGGGTCAGCAATTCAGCATCCTGCTCTGCAGCTCTCATTTTCCTCCTATGTTGTTGAGAGGTTGAGGGTTCAGGCCGTTTACTTATCGAGGGGCCACGGGCCGAAGGGCAGCTTGACGTAGTTGTGTTGAATGTTGATGAAGCCCGCGTTGGTGAGATACTCTCCGCCAAGATCGGCAGCGCGGGCGTTACCACCGAAGCGCTGAAAGGCATCAACCAACAAGTCATATAATTGCGTAACAGGCCAGTTGTCGGGTATGGTATCATCATCTGAGTGGCATTGGTGGTCGATGTCTTGGAGCTCGATCCAGGCGCCAGGCTTCATGTGACTATTTAGTTATAAGTAAAGCAACAATCAGTCAAGAGTCGACGAAGCGCTCTCTTGAGAAAACAACGTAAAACGTACCAGAAAGCCTTCTTCAAGACTTTTTCGGGTGATTCGAGGTACGGCATCACGTGGCGGAGGTGGACAAGGTCAAAGTTGTCGCCGTTAAGCCATTCGTCTTCAATGTCGTCAACAATGAAGGTCACATTGGGCGGCACCACGTCGGGCTGGATGGGGCTGAGATCGAGGCCGATGACCTGTGCACTGGGATAATCATCGGCAGCTAATACCAATAATAGTCAGTCAAATCCAACAGATAGATATTCATTAATCCTTACCTTCAATCGCCCATATTCCCGTCCCTGTTCCCAAATCCACAATATTCTGCGGATCCTCGTCAATTAGCGCATATATTAACTTCCCATTCGTCGCTTGAAGCATTATTCTATGCATCATATCCTCACGATCTTGCTCCCTATCGTCGTTAGGCAATGGGTAGCGGCCCGAGCGGAAATTGTGGTAGCGGCGGCCATTAATATATTCGTGCTCCCAGATGCTAGGCGTGATGGAGGTCGTGCTACTTCTGGAGATGCTCACCGCCGAGTCGGCATCGCTGGTTGAGAGTTCGTCGTTTTCGTTGTTGATGCCGGCTTCGATGTGGCCTTCCATCGTTGAAAGCATCGTCGATGGATCGCCATGAGTTTGCCACCCGTTGGTCATGGCTGTTGTTGCTGCTGCTGCCATGTTCACGTGTTGTCGCAATCAGGGATGGACGGATCCGTGGCGGCAACAGGTCTCATTTTTTGACCGGAGAGAAATGAAAGAGAAGGGGTGTTGGAAAGCCAGACGGGACCAGTGTCGTCTAAATAGGATCCAACTGGGGAGACAGTGATAGAATAAAACCACGCACGAATCCGCGGAAGAGACATCGAGGGACTCGTCGTAATAAATGAACTGACGTTTTCCCCAGACAGACCCTATTCCACATCCCGTCGAGCAACCCTGGCTGGCACCATGCTGCCACACAGGCACATCCAAGCCGTCTCTTGCAAGGAATCGTCTCCGTGGCCAGTCTTTGATTAGTGGCGAACCGCTCCGTGGGTCGGGTGGAGACTCGCCACCGAGGAGACAACACGAAAGCTTCTGACTTAACTTGACCAGTCTTCACACAACATGGCCCATATCCACGTCTGAACATTTTCTGAGTGGCGCGAACCTCGATTGACTTTGGGTCTCTCGGGATAAATACGCGTTAGACAAGTCGTCCGGACGATCCTGATGTCGCCGGGGGAGGGCGCGACACAACGGTGCCCCCCTCCCCGGTGATCCCCTCTGATGAACGTGGGTTTTTATTACTGTCGCCAGGAAGTGATGTTGGCTTATCCTCCACAAACTCATCTCGTGTTGTTCCTCCCAAAGCTGCGCCGCGGAGTTGACGTCAACTCCGTTGAAACCACCACTCATTTCAAAACCGCGCTAGTGATAGCATGGGGTCAACTCCATTGAAACCACCATACGTCAACTCCGTTGACATTTTGGACAAGTAATTTAGTAAAAATGGTACGTATACTTGGTCGTATCAGTGGCGTTCAAAAAAGAAACGTTTAAGAACAGGGATAAGAGGCGTAACCTATTCGATCCATTTTCTACCCAAACTTCACCTGCGCCAGTGGAGATTTTGAGTTTCAAGTGGCTCCCAACCGGCGACGCGGCAGGGTTTGTTTCCCCAAGGCGGCGGGGGAGTAAGATTAGTTGCCCAATTGAGATTCACTCCCAGCAACCTCGAACCAGAACCAATGGCATCTCAAAGTTCTTCCGTTCTATCCAAGCTTTTACATTCTGGAGAATACTGTAACGGGTCAGGCCCACTTGGCTGGCGGCTCTGCCGCCAAGCCCGAATTCTTCTCCACAGCGCCATCGAGTTGATTCTCGAATCTTCTATATTAAAGAAGATATAACGCGTCTTCACGCACCCAGTTTGTATTTAGATTCTTTCCTTTCTTCATCTTGAAAGTAAACAGCATAGGGACTAGTTAGTTGAATCAACTCGCTAGAGGCCTTTCACAAATACAGCGACTTTACTCTAGCTTGCCAGGGGCAGCAGTTTTACCTCCACAAAGCCATTGTTTGCTCCGGAGGCGCCGGATGCTACAACAGCAGCAGCAGCCTGATACCTTACTCAAAGAGCTTGACAGATAATACAAGGCAAAGCTTGAGGTCACGGACGACCCCATTGGGTGGTGGTGTAAGAAGAAGAGCGAATATCCGGCACTGTCACAGCTTGCCCTCGATATCTTAGCTATACCAGCGATGGCTGCTGACTGTGAGAGGGTCTTTAGTCTCTCGAAGCTCGCGATGACCTCACAGCGTCAGTCAATGCATCCGGAGACCCTCGAGTTCTTACAATGCCTCAAGAATTGGAGCCGGACCCGCGGCATACGGTTAGGCAACCTCCTCGCGGATCCCATCGGGAAAGAATGCCGCGAGGACTGCGGCGAGCTCGGATGATGCTCAAATAGGGTCAATTCGGGTCAGAAAGCTACTCTTACTGTCACATTAGGTCAAGTTGTCAAGTTGAATCAAGTAAGTCAAGTTCAAGTAAGTTGGGGCTCGTGAGGAGTCAAGCAAGTCAAGTTGGGGGGGGGGGGGGGGGGGCAACTTGACTTACTTGACTTGGCGGCAGTGCTGGTCATAGTAGTGATCCTTCGTCTCGTTTATTTCTCGAAGAAGGCAGTCCAAGGTTGAAAACCAGTCAGCGAGAGACGTCTTCTTTCCCTTCAGAAAGCAAAGTTGCGGCGTAGAAGTCTTTTAGAGCAAGTTCAACCTTTTCAAGCTCGAACCAGTGCTGTCCATCTAGTTTGAAGTTCGCAATTCCTTGAGAGCCTTTCCCAGGTACATGACGAGCGGAGAAGAGCTCTAAACGTTCCCGAACATTCAATGCACGTGTAATTGAATGAAACCATGAATTCCAGCGTGTCGAGTTGTTCTGGATAAGCTCGAGCCCATCGAATTGAGAGAGATCTCCGCCGATAATTATTGCAGCAAACTCCTCACGGCGTTGTGGAGTAAGCCTAATGTATCGCACGAGATTGTGAAGACGACCCAAACATCCAAATTTCTTCCAGAGCTCTTCTACCTTCGTATAGTCTTCGCGCTGATAGTGCTTTTCAAGCTTTGCAAGATACTTCTCAGAGTTCCGGCCCATGAGAAACGCCTGGCAGCAGAGATTGATGATATGACCCAAGCAGCGCAGCCGGCGATGGCGACGTTGTTTTGATTTCATCCACGGGCAGAGCTCTTTGAGTATGAATTCAACAGCGGTATCGTTTGACGAAGCGTTATCCAGCATGAAGTATCCAATCTGACCTCCACTAATATCGTATTCTATTAGCAATTCAAGAACAACTGATCCAAGATTCTCGCCAGTGTGTTCGCCGTACACACGTCGTATACCCAAAACGGTAACTCGTCGCTTGCCGGTAGCATCAATCCACATGGCGATGACGCCTAGAATAGCGTAAGGGTTTGGCGAAGTCCAGAGATCAAAGGAGATAGAGATTCTACTTCGTGAGAGCTGGAGATCCTCCCTCAGCTGTTGTTCCTTTGATATGAAGGCATTCATCACCCAGCTTCGAATAGTTTTCGCTGCTTTTGGAAGGTGACTGAGAAGTGCCAGATTCAAAAAGAAGAGTAATTCTCGGAAATACTGATTTTCTAATTGAAAGTTGGTAGCAGCCTCGCCGGTCTGTTGCTCGAGTACAGACTTTCGTGTCCAACTATGTCTCTTGACACCGCTCTGGGGATCAATCTGATGTTGCGTTCAAGATGATTTCTCACTCCAGACGTGCCGTTGATAACAAATAGCTCTTGCTTGTACTTTCCGACTGCACACTCGTGGCAGTAGTACACCTCTTTTTCATCGCTGCCTCGAATATAATGAAGACCGTACTTCCATACATGTGATGAGCCAAGACGTGCTGTCTTCTTTGTACCATGCCCCACCACCCTTTCGGACGCCCCACCCTTTCGGACAGCAAAAAATCCACCAGCCCATATAAAACTCAACCACATCACTTATAGAGATTAGGCTCAAATTTGAAGTTATTCGCAAGCCGTCGCCTTCAACGATTATAAAAATGACTGGAGATCATTATACGCAATCTTTTTGGTTGATTGGGACTCTGGGGAACGTGCACACCCTGTCCTGCAATATTGGTTGACAGCCACCAAATTTCCTCCTGAATTCACTCGACTCTCTTTCTCCCAATCTTCAACAATGTCATCACAATGACTCGTAAAAGGCCTCGACACGTTTATTCAGAAGAAACGATTGCTAATACTATATCAGACGTCACAAACAAGCGTCTATCCCTCACCAAGGCTTGTCAGAAGTGGGGAGTGCCAAAGCAGACCGTCTCCGATAGACTCAACGGACAAGGTGCCTTAGCCGATCAGATTCAGCCAAAAGCACGTCTCTCCAAGAATCAAGAAGCTCATTTAGTCTCCTGGATTCTTCGTCAAGAGTCTTTGGGTTATGCTCCCTCTCACAGTCAGATTCGTGCCTGCGTCGTGGCCCTCCTGAATCAACAAAATGACAAGGGGATATTGGGGGCCAACTGGGTAGCCAGATTCATCAATCGTTATCCAGAGATCAAGACCAAGCGTGGAAAACGTCAAGAAGCCAACAGGTTTGACTCATTCACTCCTAAAGCCGTGAACTGGTACTTTGATATCCGAGAAAAGGAATATGGATGGATCAAACCGGAGAATACCGTTAACATGGACGAGGGAGGTATTATGTCCGGTTTTGGTGGGTATTCATGCCTTTATTTATGGATGTAACTGATCAGATTTATTCCATTAGGCCTGGACAGTTTGGTGGTTGGAAGTGCAGAGCCTAAGAAGAAGGCATTTCTTAAGGGCTCCCAATCCCGTACCTGGACCTCATTTATTGAGGCTATTACCGCAGACGGGCGGTGTCGAGGACGATATCCCCAACAACATTGGCGATGCCGCTAAGCGCCGTCGTCATGCCGCTCGCACCGCCCGCCGGGCCGCACAGCGCCAGCACTCTACCCACAAGCGCCAGCTTGGCAAGCTCCTTGGCGGGCTCTTGGGCGGCGGCGGTGGCAACGACGCCAAGGGAGAGAAGACTGAGCAACCTGAAGAGACTGCTGTTGCTGCCGCTGCTGGCGAGGGTGCCACTTCTGGTCTGCCCACTGCCTCAGACGATGGTGTCGTCACTTTGATGTACAGACAGGTGTGTAACTCTCACTCGAGAATGGCTTTCAGCGACTGACAGACAATCCTCAGATTAACCAAGACGGCGCTGGTCCCCTCACAGCCGACATCGACGGCACCTCTGGCGGCTCAGACGCAGCTGCCTTCAAGACGGCCGAGGTTGCCCAGGATGTCCCCGGAATCGGCTTCGGCGGTCTGTCCCTTGCCACCAACACCGACTTCCCCGTGCAGGTCCAGATGCCCCAGGGAATGACCTGCGACGGTAGTGTCGGCGGCGCCGACAATGTCTGCATCGTCCGCGTCCGCAACAGTGCTGGTGCCGGACCCTTCGGTGGCTCTGGTGCCTTCACCCAGTCCACCGCTGCCCGCAAGCGAGCCATTGCCTACCGCCTGAAGAAGCTAATGGCTGCGTTGAGACCTGCAGTCTATACTGAGAGCTGCAGCCTATGCAAAGAGATGCAGCCTAAGCTGTCACATATTACACTTACGGATATCAGCAGACTAAGACGGATTTCCTTACTAACGGATCCATCAAATCCGGCCTCAAAGGTCGGAATCCGGTCTCAAGACCGTCAGACCTTCTGTCTCAATGACCTCATAATAGCCCCTAGGATGACCAGGCCTCTGTATATAGGAGCTATCATGAGCTCTCAATTAGATAGAAATCAAGAGCTGTCATCTCAGATCCCCATCACTAAATGCGATATTGTGAAAGGCCTCTAGCGAGTTGATTCAACTAACTAGTCCCTATGCTGTTTACTTTCAAGATGAAGAAAGGAAAGAATCTAAATACAAACTGGGTGCGTGAAGACGCGTTATATCTTCTTTAATATAGAAGATTCGAGAATCAACTCGATGGCGCTGTGGAGAAGAATTCGGGCTTGGCGGCAGAGCCGCCAGCCAAGTGGGCCTGACCCGTTACAGATATAAGCTAACGAGCAGCAGCCTAAGCTAAAGAGGCCGGATGTGACTGGTACCTTTCACCTCCTACATTTATTTTAATGAGGGGAAAATTCTATGTTTCTTGGTTCCTCATAACTAACTATTCTAACCAGTTTGGTCTAAGATTCAGCCACTTACCACCCACCCACCTCTCTATCTCCACCTATTTATAGCCATACCGGTAAGACCTGGAATACCGGTAATACCATGGTATTAAGATATCCTCAAACCATACCAGGTCTTGGCGGTACATACCACACCAATACCAACTCATACCAGACCATTCCGATCACTGGGACAGAGTGCGTCCCCTGCTGACTGTTCCAAACGAATGGCGGAAGTTGAGCTGACATGTGGCGGATAGTCATTGACAAGTCAGAGCGTGTCATCGCTAGCAATGTCTTCCAGGAAGTGGAATTCCCATCGATGGTCCAGGGCCGAGTTGCGCTTCTTGGCGATGGTAAGTGTACCGTATTCTCGCTTCTCCCTTGGTGAACGGCCTAACTCGGGCAGACTCTTAGCTGCTCACAGTATGGCGAGCTTTTTCGGACAGTAAGTGAAAACATAGCCTCTCCGTGCCGATAGGGAGCTCATAATTTTCCAAGGGGTGGTTGTCAAGCCATCGAAGATGCCGCAGTGCTGGGGAACCTGCTCGCCGTCAACTCGCGGAATCTCGAGAGCCCAGCCCGCATCCTCACCGCCTACGCTGCGGAGAGGGAAGGTAGAGTGCACAGGTTGTCGAAGTTTAGTGACAATTTCGCCATGCTGCACAATGCCCGAATGCCTTATGGCTTGGGCCCATTCCTGCGCTGGCTGCTCTACACGCTGATGCCCACGTGGTTCTGGATCAGCTATCTGAAGTGGCTTTTTGGCTACCAGCCCTTCATTGAGGCCGGTGCCATTATAAAGCGAAAGGGGGAGAAGGGTTCTATGCTCTGATTTGTGGTGATGCTTTCGCTTTGGTTTATTTTTGGTTTCCTTTTTGCGGCGGCCGCGCATCGTATTTCTCGTTTTTTCTCAGACACACGGAGGTTAAAGCGACATGTGATAATTCATTCGCGAAAGACTTGAAGACGGGGACTTTGATAGACATGCCCGAAATAGTTGCGACAGTTTTCCAATTTCCTAGGTATTATTAGTGCGAAATGAAATTGATAGCACCCAAAGTTCTGATTAAACCCGCTTCTTCTCTACCTATACTTAAGCTGTCATGTTAGCCTGTGAGACGGTGAGCTTTTGAGACGGTGAGCCTGTGAGCCTAATTACGGGCCCGACGAAAACCCGACCAGAAATTCCATGGGGCTGTACCACGTGTGTTTGCCAAACAAACCGATCTCATAAATCACTCATCTTATCAAAGACAAAATAAGTCTCAATAATAGCAGCGGCCATTTCGGTGACCTTTTGCTTGCTGGCTGACACAGTGACGATGTTGGGGGTGCATGCATGGCGCCGGACAGACTCCAGAGTGATCTCCGATTCTCCATCGCCAAACGGCCCCAACAAGCACACGAGCACCAAGAGATCTACAGTACAAACGCAGAGAGAGGCCCTGCGCCGTCTTCGAAATATCCCCCCATCTCCGATAATGCGGCACAGCCTCGCGGCACGTAGATTACCACCCTGCCAGCAGCCAAACGCGCGCCTGTGGGATCCAACGCACGCCCTACCTAGCCCCAGTGCCACAGGACTCTCCAGGACTCTGGACTCCTCCCGCAAGTGACAAGTCCCTCCCCATGATTTCACGGAGTACCAGGTACCGCCCTCCCAACACCGCCACTGTCTAGCCAGGACAAAACCTTCCGCCATGTTACCCCCTGGCCGTACTTGTGGCGGAACGGCCAGCCATCCTCATGGCTACATTACTCCGGCCTCCCGCCCGTACATATCAAGGCAACAAGCTCCATCCCATTCTACAAATACCACAGAAGCCCATTTAGTGGCTTGTTTTGACAGTCGGATTTATTTTACTTATAGGGACTTTGGCTCCTGACTCTTCCTGCACTGGGCTGGCTCCACCTGTTTTCGCCACCACCTTCAGCATCACTGGCGAAGGACAACCTCCCTCCCATATGCTCCCACACCGCCTACCAACACAAACTTGACTGATATCATGGCGTCGAAGCATCTCTTGAGGCGATCCTGTGCCTTCTGTCGGGCGAGGAAGATCAAATGTTCAAACGAGACCATCTGCGAGGCGTGCCGCAGACAAGGTGCCGACTGCATCTACGACTTCGAGCCCTCGCGCCCAAAGACAAGGAATCTAAGCCAGGACAGCACCAAGTCGACCCTATCGGTTTTCCGCAATGGAGACGCGCCTATGGGACACACTCGCCAACGGTCTATCTCTGTTGGCTCTCCCAATTCCACCCCACCAAGTACTGTCATGGAGGAGGTCGCGCCCCAGGGCGAGACTGGCGAAAGCGTTGCCATGGCCCTTGAGCAGAGGTTCTTTGAGAACTTTTCTCAAGGTACCGATGGACCACGGAGCAGTCCATGGCAAGAACGCATCGCAGCATACCACCGAACGCTTCAGACTAGTCTCCGTGACCGACCCGAAAGCGTGGCCACCAAGTTCAGCCCCAAGAATGTGAGGTATACTGGGATCCTCTCGCTGTTAACACACGACCTTGTTGGTCTCGTCACAGATCAGTTTGGATCCTTGGGCTGCCATCACGTCGAGGAAGGCGGTGCTCGTTTCTTCTTGTCTGGCTTGGCCAGCGATGATACGCAAACCATGTTCGACAACCCTCCGCTCGGCAGCAACCCCCTATCGGAGTATGGCCAACGACAGCAAACGCAACTGATCGACGTCTGGTATTCGGTGCACCCTCTATCCTTCCTTGTCTCCAAGACCCTGCTTCTTCGAGAGCTACGCGACGGTACGCATGACGAGATTTTGCTGGCCACGATGCTAGCCGACGCCAACTTTAGCATTGGAGACGAGGGCTCCATTGCCCGTGGCCATGTCCTCCTCCGATGGGCCATCGCCCAACTCCACACGAGGCCTCTTCGACCAACCCAAAATTCTTCCAACGGTGGCAGCATGTCTTCGGGCATATCGACAAGAATATTCAGTGGGATTTCCACAGCGCAAGCTCTCATGTTGCTCGCGTGGAATGCCCTTTGCTCTTTTCAGCTGCGCCGGGCCATCTGCTACATCGGACTTGCTGGCAGGATGGCCTCGGAGATCAAGGACCAAATATCGAATACACTGGCACCCATGACTTCCAGTCGCATCAACGGTATAGATGTGTTTGATGTTGAAAAGGAGATCGTCGCCTACCTCTACTGGACAACATATTCGCTGAGCCTGTGGGCCTTCATCCAGATGGGGAATGGGCACTTTTCAGCATTATTACCGACCTCATTAAGTTCAATCTTCCTCCCCGTGACAGAGGCTTCATCTGTCATGATCCAGTTGGATCTGGTCTCGGAAAAATTCAGCACTTTGCAGAAACAAAAGAGCGTCATCAGGGAGATGTGGCCCCTGGCGCACATTGCGAGTGTCGTCGCTTACATCTTCGCCCTGTACCCCCAAGATTCAGACACATCCGAATCGCCCACAACAGGCTTCTGGCAAGAAGCCCCGCTCCTTTCTCTGCAGCGAATACAGCAAGGAAAGCCCTCTAAAGATATTGGAAGCGTTTGTCGAGAGATTAACCGGGTTTTGATGGAGAGTCACAGAGGCCTCTTCGCGGAGCCTCGTTCTTGTTGTCTATCATGCCATGGCGATACACTTCCTATTTCCGGAGCCTCAACCCATGCAACTTGAAGAACCCGTCTCGGCCGATGTTGTTGAACGATTCTGCTCCTCGTCGGAGGACATCCTTCAGCTTTTTGGATCCATCTCCGAACAACCACAGGACCTTTTTGGTCTCACACCATCCCTCCGTAGCTCATTCCCTGACGTCTTTTGCATGTCCCTCGATACCTGTGCTCGGGCCCTGAAATCCATTCACGCAAGGTTCAATCCTAGCGACACATCCTTGATTCAGGCCTACGAGAGTAGGCTCCAGGTGCTTACTCGACGCCTCTATGTCATGAGCCAGAACGATTTCCTCAACCAGGGGGCATCAATCCGCCTAGTTAGGAGGAACTTGAAGAGCTCTGTGCGAATGTTCTGCTCCTCGTCAGCCTCTAACTCCTCTGGGGCGTCGTCTCCTGACAACGCTCGAATGGCCTCTACATCTGATTCCCCTCGGCGAAGCCCTCGAGGCCTTTCTGCTTCCGATTCTGATCGTCTGTCCGCAATCCCCAGAATCGCTATTGATTCATCATCGCCCTATGGCTGTGTCGGCGATACTTCTACCATGCCGTCGTCTATGCCGTCGTCAACAAGATCTTCATCTGGGGCCTCGACCACCAACTCATTCACTCCCTTTGAAGAAGCCAGCAAGCCGGAATGGCAGCCTTTCGATGTCCTCTTCCACGACGTCCTGGACGCCAACGCTCTAGGCGCTCCAACCGGAGAGCACATGAGCATTGCCGACTTGGTGGATTTCCAGAATTCATGGTGCCCTCAGATGCCTACAATGATGGACTTCGACATGGCCGGTCCCATCCCTATTCCATGTGGGCAGTGGGACTGGGCAGATCCGAATGCTAAAGGAACTACAGTTGGTCCTGACATGGATTCGGTCTACTCTTACTTCGATCGGGCAAACGGCAAGCGGCCTGTGTAGGCGCTATCAAATATTCATACCCACAAGAATGGTGGAGACATGTCTTTGGAGTCTCGTGAGCGATGTCTTTAAATTGCTAGCGTTTAGGATCGGTACTGTTTTTCTTTGGTGTTTTGACGAGGCGGATTCTGGGTGAGACTTGCAGAGCAGGCAACAAGCCCCCCTCGACCAACCTCGGGGGAGGTGTACACGGTGTGAAAGCGGCACTGTGCGGCAAGCTGCCTGAAGGCACGTTGGCTGGCTACCGTTGTTCTAGCTGCTTGCTTGGTCGGTGACAAGGAGGGCATCGCCTGCCTACGCTCTACAGTCATTACGGTACCGAGGGATGTCATTATTCTCTCCATGGCGCCCTACTTTTTCATGGGCTTGCAAACAAGTGGTCGGGGTGGGCCAAAGAAGAAAGGAAGCCCATTTTGAGGGTGCAGTGCGATTGGGTTTGGCGGTTGTCTTTCATGTCGGACTGAGCAGTATCGCCTCTCACACCAATAGCTAGAATTAGATGACGAATCAAGACTCATGAATGCCATCATCCCGCGTGTCTAGAACCCCTCAGCTGAAACCCGCCAGACTGGATGCCTTGCGTGACTTTTCCATCGACTTGTAGACAAACAAAAGTCGGTTCCTTGTGCTTGCTGCATGCGACGATGCTGTGGCCATCCATGGGAAACGGGTAGATCCATCCAGCGGGAGCAGTCGATCCAACTCACCTACTGTGGACCACTTGATCCCTCCGTGATAACACTCGGCACACACTCGGCACTCACTCCGGGCAGTGAAAAGGGGAATGCCTTCTACTCTCCAGGTCAAGGGGAGCAGAATCCTACGACATCAAACGGCCCAAGCCCACATGCAAGTCTGCATAAATGTCTCAACAACACACCATCTCCGCAAGCCATTCCAGCAGCAGCGGCCCAAAGGACTGTCATCTCAGCAGGCCGCCAATGCTAAGGCACCGGATGCCGAGCCAAAAAAGAGGCGAAGCTTCAAGCCGGCGGCAATAGGCTGTTGTATTTTTGTCCCGGACTACCACTTCGGTTGGTTTGACCCCTCATTTTGCGGCTGCGTACTTAAAACAACACGCAGGCAGGGTCTAGCAAGCGGTGATACGGTGAGCGCCGAGGAATAAGCAAACGCCTCCACGGGCCAATAACTATGCGATGATCCACTCGGGTGACTGCCAGAACACTCATAACTGCCGGTCTTAATTGGGCAGACGAGGGAATAGCACTTCTTGATATTGTGTGTCTCAGCCCGACCATGATACCAGCCGTCACTGTCAAGCACTTCGGAGTAGAGCCAGCGTTCCTAATAGTCCAGACCGTTTAGACTATTAGTCCAAACTGCAATCCAAGATCAATAATCAATCCACGACGGGCGTTCGTGGATTGACGACTAGGATGGCGCGTCCCTTGAAACGAGCCGTGTTGATCTGGATAGCACCAGTAAATCGTACAGAATTATCCAAAAGAAAATGGTTGGCACAGCAACAATCATGGGTACCCTGGTTTTGTGACGTCATGCCAACAACCTAGCGTACTTAGCGTCCACACTGGGCGTCCGTATTCCCTTCCCTGATCTGCAGTCTGGACTAATAGTCCAAATGGTCTGGACTATTAGGAGCGCTGCTTGCAATAGGAAGAGACTTCGACAAGTTTGTCAAGCTGGCTCTGCGGCTACTGTTTCTCAGCCGCGCCTGGTCATCCCGCTGACGGGTAACAGGCTCGACACGATGCGCCTTTGAGCCGATGATATGCTGGATAGTGGTCTGATTTCGCCTTTTGCAGAAAATGTTTTTCGTTGGGGAGGACTAATTTCGCGTCGCAAATGACTAAGCCTAACCCCACCTAATGGCATTATGTAGATTGTAGATTAGGATCCCTAGCTCAGCACGTCCTGTGCCTCAGTAGGGGAGTCTACGGGCCTAACGGCCCCCCGGACGAAAAATATACATACATACATACATACATAGCCATCACTAACCAACTCGTCAACACAACCAACTCAATATCGTGATGTTATTAAGTTTGTTGATTAGTAAGAATAAGCTCCGTTGAGTTGGATTGAGTTGGTTGACATCAACCTGGTTGACAACCTCTTGATTGACATTACGTTAATCGCCACCCTGGTAATACACCTCTTTCTTATCGCTACCTCGAATGCATTAGAGGCCATACTTCCACGTGTGTGATGAACCTAGACGAAATCCCTTCTTTGCAATTGTCGCTTGTTTCACGTATGTGATACGGTCCGATACGAACTCATCTAGAGGTTCGTGATATTGAACAGGGGCAGGTGCCAGGTGGTAGAGTAGGGGTAGGTGGCGATGTAGGGACAGGAGATGGTGTAAGAGACGTTGAATTTGGTATCATTATATTGAATAGGGACGGTAAGGTTGGAGTTGAAGACTCCATAACAATAGCATACAAGCAGGTTGTTATGGACCTAATTGTTTTATGTGAGTGGAAAACTCAGCTGTTCTCAGGGGTTCATTCCGTACTGAATGTTCTAACTGCATTAGTCTAAGATTCAGCCACCCTGACCTATTTATAGCCAGACCGGTCCAGACCATTAAGACCGGTCCGACCATGGTCTTGAGAAATCCTCAGACCAGACCAAGTCTTGGCGGTCTAGACCAGACCAAGACCAAGTCAGACCAGACCATTCCGATCACTGGTGTCCAAGGAACGAGCACGTAAGACGTCGATTAAATGCAGGCCATCGGCAGAATCCGCTCACAACTAAACTGACCAAGTGAATACGATCACAGGGATCCCGCCCCGAACGCCTTTCCGTCCCATACAAGAGGTGTCAACAACGCCACCTCCGCTTTCACACGCCGACTTCTCCAAGGTACTAACCAAGGCCAAGACCATAAATCGCTAAGAACAAGATTCTTAAGCAGAGAAGTGGCGGGGGTAAATGGTCGCTGGCGGTTTCTCTGTGGTCTTTAATCGTCAGAAGATTTGCTGCTCAGAGATGTCGACGGCCGCGGTCAGGGGAAGGTGACTAAAAATTAGGCTAGAGATATTGATTGTGAAGCTGCAGATAAGGTGCCCAAAGTAGATAAATGCTATCTTTACGGCGTGTTTGCTTATTTGTCTGCCAGGCAGCCTGGCTAAAAAGATATCTGACTATGGAGAGGCCACCCAAGCAAAGCAGTAGAATGCCGCCATTCAATTTGTAAGTCTTCTAAAGAACAATTCCTTTGGCTAGTGTACAGACCACAACGTCCCCGATGATATTGGCCGGATGATAGTCGCATACATATCATGGCTGGTACCGACCGAACGCATGCTAGGGCGGAGGTGTAAGCTAACCGAGCCACGCGGAGAGGTGGATGGACTTCTGGTGCCGCTCCATCTCGTTATTATTCTTGAAGCGGTTTCCGCAAAATGAGCATTCGTATTGCTTCTCGGCTTCGTGAGCACTAGATTTGGAGTCAGCCATATGTTTCACGCCTCTGGGCAACGCATGACGCGTCATCCAGGTCGTGCAGCATGGGGCGGTTAAGAAGGCCGGCTTTAGGGCTCATGAGGCTTCAAATCTCACGCGCATGAAGCCGCGCGGCAGACTACGTGTTTCCTTTATTTACGCAGCCGCAAAATGAGGGGTCAAGCCGAAGTGGTGGCCCGGGACAAAATACAACTGCCTTGAAGCTTCGCCTCTTTTTGGCTCGGCACATGCTGAGCAGCAGCTAAGCTCCTGGCCGCGCCAGGCAACAGCGCCACTGGCTGGTTGAGGGGCCTCCGGATTTAGTGTCGCATGGCATTGGCTCAGCTGAAGTTATGAGCCGATTCTCGGGACGCCAGTGGAGTTAAGAAACTGCGGAATGTGCAAGGCACCCAATCACTTGGCTAGACAGGATAAAGCCGCCAGCCTGGTGTAACATACGAGTGGTGAGTGCTAGCTGCTGGAAGGCGGGGTTCTACCGTAGCGATGTAGTGATGTCGCCACCAGCATATTTTTGGTCTCGCGCCAGACTCATTCCCTAGATCGCCTGGTTGAAGCAGAGAAAAGTGAAGTATGCGCTGCTAGTAATTGCGTGAATCGCATCTCTTGCTCAAAGTTGGCTTACAGAACACGATATTGTTGCTCGAGAATTGTTGGCCGATAAGAACGGGAAAACTACATAAAACCAAAGTTAAACCTGATCGCTGTAGCCAATGCTGTTATCAATTCTGGTCTGATTTGGTCCGTAGTGCTTGGCAAGCTAGGCGAATTGTCCAGGAAAAAGGGGACTTACTGATTCTAGTAACCAATGCGGTCGTATACGGGTCTGCAGGATGTCTTTGATGAAATTTCGGACCATTATCCAAGCGGGGTGCCTGTCCATACGGTCAGTGACGAGAATGTCCTGGCTCGGTGGGACCTGGTGGTACAACGGGTGAGACGGCATTTCAATCTCCGTTTTCATGCGGCGAACTTGTGTAATACAAGGCTTGGGGAGAGAGTGATTGGTTGAAGGCGAGTGATAATGTCGCGTCGTGGCAGATCCCAGCCTTGCGCATTTGTTAAACAAGGCCGCCCATCCACTCATTGCTAAGCAGAATGACGCAGGGCGACTCAGATCCCAGCTGACCGCTCTCTGCAAAGCAACAACTGCGCAGATCGCTGACCTGGCAATTCCAATTCTTGTCGTCATTGGCTTACTCTCATTTGCTGCTTCTTGCCTTGCATGTCGCACACTGATTCTCTTGACCATTCAATATCCGCATCTGCTCTTGGATTCAAGCCACTGCCATACTCAACTAGACACTTCGGGTCTTTGTCTCACAATTCTCTACCGCACCGACGCCCAGAAGCGGCAGATTCGGACCAGCTGAATGAGACGGCAGGTGGCGGCTGACCCGAGTCCAAAATGTGAGATTTGACTGAGCCTAAAATACGAGATTAACTAGTATCATTACTTACGAGCTCCTAGGTAAGGATACAAGTCTTGAGCGAAATTATAATCCTGATGAACTCGAACTTCAAATGTGTCTCACGCATATCTAGCATTTCCTAATTGTTTGAGAACATCCCGAGGCTCCTTCTAGATATTGTCCAAACCGATGGATGGTAAGTGTATGATGAACAGAGGTACTCATGAGATCTAGTGCTACATTAGAGCTAACGGCACTAAGAATAGATACGACTCGAATTGTAATACGATTGCCTGTACCACCTCGTATTTCGTTGGAATGCAAGCCACGAAATATAGACTCAACCTAAAAAATAAGCAATTCCAATAACCGGCCATTTCTTCGACAGTCATGTAGCACTCGGCTTGCCTTTTTGAGTCAGTGGCAGCCTTGCCTTGCACACTCGCAGTGATTGATATCCTGGACTACCAAAGTCCTGGCCTTGCCCATATATCTATGTCCATGGCCCTCCTTCTTTTGAATCACTCACCGGAATCTCTGGAGGTCTCTTTCCATGAATCACACGTGCCTAGCAGATTCGGGATATCAATACGATTAACCTCTTTGCTAGACGACTTATTACAGACTCAACTATTGCCATCACATCTATCCAATCTTCAGAACATCTTCAAGATTGTCCTTAACAATCCGCCTGGCTCTCCAAGTCTCACCTTCACTCCAATATGCTATCTCGGCTTTTGATCTTTACCTGCTTCCTGGCCAGTGCCCTGGCGACGGATAGGATCTTCAACCGACCCAAGGGCAAGTCTTTTATCACGATCGACTACCGCGTCGGATGGCCGCTCAATACTACTACTCCGGGCGGAATCATTGCCATGGTTCCTGTCTGGGGTGGCGACATCAAAGGCCAGTTCAATGGGCACATTGTCGAGAACATTACTTCCTCCTATGAGAAGGCCCTGCCTTCAACAAGTGGAGAATATACTGTACGTTCAATAAAACCCATGAAACGAGACCAAAGAGAGCACATTTGACTAATAACGATAAGTCTTATGAGAACCAACTTCTTTTCGAGAACGATAGCGGCCAGCGAATTCTAGCCAAAGTCACTGGCACGACAACCTACGGCAACATGGCTCTTCATGGATTTGGTTATGCGTACGTTCCTCATCAATCTGACTTTTTGCTCCTAACTGATCGTCATAAGCACCCTTCTCACGGATATTGATGACTTGGATTGGATTAACTACGAAATGTTCATCGCTGAGTGGCAGGCCGACTTCCAAACTGGCACCGCTGAGATAGAGATCTTTTCGATCACTACTGGTGGCCGCAAAGATGGCAAGCCGATCAAGGCGCTGCTCCCTCCCGGTGGGGTTTACGCTTAGCAAGATCAGGTATAGAGAGGTGTCAAATTCTAGTGATCGAAGGTATGCCACTCTCTCACCTGTACTGAGCTTCTGAATATAGAGGGATGTATACATATACTAGCTGTTCAAAATATCGCTTGTTGGCCACGATAAGACGGAGATCTTTCATTGCGGCTTGTTGAAGTGACGACGTAGATGTTTTGAGAGGCAACTGTCCATTTATTATGTTCGCGTAACAGTGGCTGGACAGTAGCTGGCATACATCGCTATTATGATCGGAGGAGCCCGTGTCCGAAAGAAGCCCGAATATGAGCAATGAAGCGTCCAATAGGTCGATCATAGAGGTGTGTTGACCCTGTTTTGGCTTTTCCAGAGTCTCTACTTGCAAGTGGAAGCAGGAAAATATTGTAGGGGCCCAACTCTTATTCAGGTGACAATGATTCTATCCATCAAAACGCGCCACCACGAAAGAGATTGTTTACTGTCTATATTCTATTGGAGAGCAGAATTATTCCGATACTCTTATTATCACATACTATCAATAGTACAGTCTGCAGCTTCGCAAAGCTGCTAATGGCACCTGCCGATGGCTCGTCGAGCACGAAACTCTGATCCAATGGACACATCAGAATCGAGGTCTCCTATGGATCAAGGGGAAACCTGGGTCGGGCAAGTCAACCATGATGAAGTACGCGCTTCGAGAACTTCCTGCTCATTACGGGCCCGACACGCAGGCGTTTGACTTCTTTTTCCATGGCCGCGGTCATGAACTACAGCGGACACCAGGCTTCGAAATCGATCGATTTGATCGTCGATCGGGTGGTAAGTCGGAGAGGTGCCGGGTAGGCGGCCCTGGATACTGCGTCCGAGTGGATCCTAACACATGAGCGTGTCCCACAAAACATCCCGACAAACGCCATTGGTGGAGAGACATTGCATGCTTCCCAAGGAGGAAGGCAACCCCCCACCTTCCTCTTCAGGATTCTGCGGGTTCGAAGCTGACCGGTCCGGTGAGGCTCTGTGATAGCTGTTGACTTTCTTACGGTAGCTTCGTCGTCACCAGAAATGGAGAGGGACTCATTAGCTTGATAGATGATACTCCATTCGGATTACGTATACGATGCCATAGTGTGGTAATGGCTTTATTCTAGCGGTTCCGGAGTAAAGCGGGCATTAATCACCCGTCTTCCTCATGGTCTCCTCGAAGGAGACAAATGAAGGCAAGTTCTTTGGCTCATGGGCAAAGTCATGATGAGGACTATCTTTGATCGATTCGATCGTTGATCGATATCGATCGATCGATTTCAATGAGTGATCGATCGATATCGATCCACTGGGAGGGCCGCTCGATCGATATCGATCGATTGAAGATGACGATCGATATAAATCGATCGATCAGGGCTCAGAATCGATCTATACGATCGATTTCGAAGCCTGGCGGACACCACTTGGCCTCTTCCGATCTCTCCTACATCAGCTGCTCAGCTGTATGCCCGGCGCCTTGTTCGACTTGGTCGATGATTTCGACGCCAAGCGGAAGTCAGTAGGAGAGCCAGGAGAGAAGTGGCAATGGCATCTACAAACACTACAAAAGTACTTCGAGTCTGCGCTTCTGAGAATTCTGAAGAGATTTCCAGTCATTCTCTTCATCGACGCCCTCGATGAGTGTGGCCGACAACCCGCTCTAGAACTGATTCAGTACCTACGGTGGAAACTTTCATGCCTTCCTCCAAGTGATTTCAAGTTTGGCATTTGCTTCTCCTGTCGTCACTGCCCTATTCTGGAGCTCGACGGCGGCTTGACAGTAATACTGGAGTCTGAAAACCAACAGGACATCGCCACATTCGTTGAAGCCCACATCTCCACCAGTCACCTAGATACCGAGGTTGGAAAATTGATTATTCAACACGCTCAGGGTGTTTTTATGTGGGCACGCCTGGTCTTGAGACAAGTGCTACTACTGGACCATGACGGAGCACCAACAGCTGAGATCATAGCTGAAATTGAGCGGATACGGGAAGACTTAAACGGCGTCTACATCGAGCTCGTCAAGGCTGTTACGCATCGCTCGACCACCTTCAAGCTGATGCGATGGATCTGTTTCTCCACAAGACCTTTGACAACAGAAGAGTTGCAATGGGCCATGGTAGCCGATCCTGTTGGCGCGTGGACATCGCTCGATGAGTGTCGGGCTTCAAAAGATTTTATCCAAGACAACAAGATAGACAGAAGAATCAACAGTCTAAGCTCCGGTCTGGTAGAGATTATTCCATCTCAGGGTGCCCATATTGTTCAGTTCATTCATCAGTCAGTCAAAGATTTCCTCACAGAGGAAGGGTTGTGGGCCTTGAACGGCATGACAGGAGTCGCACACGAGCTAGTCTCGACTTCCCACTGCCTTCTCTCCCAAGCTTGCCTCTATTATCTAAAAATGGACGTACACTCTCAAGGGCAGGCATTTTCTGAGGCAGACACATCCAAGTTTCCTTTTGCTCGCTATGCTGTCGAATCGTGGGTGTCTCACGTGAAATTGGGGGAACCCCCAAATTCATCTCCAGAACTTTCTCAGTTTGCTCGAATGGCCAGGGGAGTCCTTGGTTGAATGGTGGGAGCAAGCATACGGAATGATGCAGCCCTACAGAGTTCTAGACCTACAGCCAGGAGCTAAACTAGTGCATATCGTTTCAAGATACGGACTTTGAGGATTCTTTCATGCTTGCTGGTAGATTTGGTTGATGAGGTTGGCGAGGCTGTAAACTCAGAAGACGATATAGGTTGAACACCTCTATCATATGCCTCTCAGAACGGACATGAAGGAGTCATCCAGGTGCTTCTAGACACAGGCAAGGTCGAGGTCGACTCGAAAGATAAAGAGGGGCGAACGCCTCTGTCATGGGCATCTGAGAACGGACAAGAAGGAGTCGTCCAGATGGTTCTAGACACTGGAAAGGTCGACGTTGCTGCAGAGGATGTCCGCGGGTTGACTGCATTGCAAGTCGCCGGTTTTAATGGCCATTCAGGGACAGAGGAAATGCTCATAGCACGGGGCGCTCCTACTGTGCCCGATTTCTACGGTCTACAGGCCTTGTTTAAGGGGTCTTCAGGTACGGTCAAATGTGCCGATACCGTACCTCCACGCATTCCCATTCAGCGCCCCCTGATACAAGAAGACGAGTCGTCCAAAGTTACTAAGAATCTTCAGCCCTCCGCAACCTCAGCGAAAAACTTCAGCGCTTCCTCCCTGTAGATTTCGGAAAATCAGAGATCGTGTTATATTTTTCAGCTCCTGGGCAGATGAAAGGGGCCGTTACCAGAGATGTGATATAGGGCGAGACTGTTGTCCTTTCATAGCTTGAAATACGGCAGCTGAGGGTTCAATCAAAGATGTGAACTACGTAGTTAGTAACCCACCCTCCTTCGCATTATGCTCGTTTCGTACTGACCTCCGGTGTTTAGGTGGGGCGACCCCCGTCACATCTCCGAGCACTCTCCGCGCACTCTCCGGGTAGACTGTTCTATTTCCAGCACTCTCCGGCAGACTGTTCTATTTTCGGTACTCACAGTGCAATCCCTTCCAATTATCCCTTTGATGTAAAAATAGCTCCCCCTTAGCCATAAAAAGCGTGCGGCATGCCAGGCAAGTTTCTTCTCCCACAGCTCAACACAGTCAGTTCTTTTGTAGCATTTCTTCCTGGCTCATGTAGGATCATAGCTGGAGACCTGCAGACTCGAGGCCAGACAGCCCCAGAAACTCATTCCGGCCGCTCCCTGACGAGAACGCGTATCCTATTGCTCTTTCCATATGCTCAGAGTCTCGGACGCACACACTGAAGAGCTTCTGTCGGATGCGCCATTACAGTCAGCCTGGCTGGTCTTTCTACTTCAGCCCAACGCTACGATACAGTCTGGTCCCGGCGAATGCGACTCTCGCCGACACCTCTTCTACTGCTCAACCCTTTAGTCAATACGCAATACACTTCCCTCCCCTTGTCCCATCATGCCATTCTACTACCAGTCTCACGGGAAAGAACCCCCAAACCAATTCGTGGCCACCGTCCGCCGCATCTACAACGCCCTCGGCTTCCATCGCGGATACAACTTTCCCCTATGGATCATCTGCGGCCTGGGCGCCCTAGGTTTCTGCGCCTCGCGAGCCATGTACCTTGACTACGACAACACCTACAAGGAGGCCAAACTGCCCACCGGCGACTGGGAGTACCAGTCCCACGGCCGCGGCCGCGTCGGCATGCTCCTGCATCTCGCCGCAGTGATCCCCATTGGCTTTCTCTTGCCGTGGCAGTTCCTCCCCGTCATCCGGTACAGGTTCATACTGTTCCACCGCATCAACGGCTATCTCCTCATCCTCCTCCTCTTTGTCTGCGACGCGGGGGCGATCCTCGTTGGTCCCGGCGCCTTGGGGGGCGCCATTGAAACTCGACTCCACATCGGAATCTTGACCATCTCGACGGTCGGATCGGCGGTCATGGCCTACATCAACATCAAGCGACTGCAGATTGACCAGCACAGAGCTTGGATGCTGCGATGCTGGGCCTACGCCTTCAACATCATCAGCCTGCGGCTCATCCAGCTCGCGGCCTTGGAGATCATCAGTCGCATGAAGACCTTCCACGCAGCCATGGACTGCCGCAGGATCGACGGCGCCCTCTCCCTGGTCCAGCCCGGCCTTGCAACACTCTTCTACCCCGAATGCGAGGGGAACCCGGATGCCTTCGTCGCCGTCTTGGCCGATCGCTACCCTGAGCCCACGCCGCAGGGCATCCCCAGGCTAGACCGCATCGCCGCCGCGTACCAGGTCACGTTTGCCATGTCCGGGGCCATGGCCCTGCTGCTGCACGCCTTTGCCGTCGAGTGCTATCTGCACCTGACGCAGGCCGAGGCCAACAGGCTGAAGCGTGTGAGCCACGAGAGGCAGCTCCAGAGGGGCTGGAGAATCCCTCGAGATGCAGGCTGGCTCACGAGGGAGACATGGGGCGATTGCGACGAATTTGACTACAGGGAGAAGACAAAGGTGAACGAGACGGAGAAAGTAGAGGAGGGCGGTGCGAGTTCAAGCGAAGCTATAAGCCCAGTTCGTGAGGCTTACGTTGCTGATGGGAGCCAGAGCGTGGCAGGGCCCTAATTGGTCAAGCGAGAGGGTGTCCATGGCTGATAATACGAGCCTCGAGGGTATTGTACTCTCAACTGCAGGAAGTCATATGTATCTTTTGAGAGTCAGCAGTAAATCTCCGTAGTCAAATCTAGTCTTTGATACAGCAGGGTAAATGGACTGCCAGGAAGTTATAGCGTATGGACGATGGAATAGATGTTGAAATCATATCTAGAAGTTCAGATCAAGGCAAACCACTCAAGATCCGAATCCAACCCTGGGTTCCAGAACTCTTTATCCATTATTCCATCTACAAAAGCTGGACCAACATACCTGAACCCACCAGTTGACGGCCGAATAACCCCTGCGGCAGCACAGTCTTGGAATAAAACCACTATGTCGCCAACCGTCAGGCTGTAAGGCCCCATCCCCATGTACCCGCCCTCCGTCCGAAATATGGCCTGCCAGATTGAGCCGTAGATTCGCGTAATGGCATGGTGGCATCCCGCCATGAGCCCGGGAAGCTCTACCTGCCGAGGGCTGAGAGAACCATTCGGCAAGTTTGCTAATGCCGCGAAATTCATGGGATTTTCTGATGCAGACATGGAGACTAACACGGCCATATAGCGGACTATGTCTCAAATGGCACCGCGGGAAATCGATCTCCGACATTGTTCGTTAGCACCCGTGTCATGTGCTCTATTGCTGCGTCGCCGTTGATAGAGTCACTGCCGCCACGGATGACGGCAAGCCAGCTGCCGATGCAGTCGATCAGGCTGTCGACATACTGCAAGTTATTCGTCGCTGAGACCCCGAGAAGGGTGTTATTAGGAGGTGGGATTGCAATTGAGCATGTAGAAGATCTTGATTTCTAGCTAACTGACGGTCTGAAGGGCCGTATCTTATGGTGGAATCTGAGTACAGTCATATCGAGATTTTGGGGTCAGGGATGACGGGATGTTCAGAGACCAAAATTTTATCAGAACAAAACAAAAATGATAGGAATCATAGAGCGAGGAAATCCTAGCCGAATGAATCTAGTCCCATATTTTTCACTACCCGGTGACACAAGTTATTGGAGTTTGGAATAATTGAATGAATGAATGAAATTTATTCCGCCCGGGAGGACTAACCTCATAGGGCCAGGTGCGCTAGGCTATTTACAGTTCTAAGTTTATTGTTCGCATCTCCCAGAAGCCCAACATTCTTCCTCATCCACTTATCGGTCTTGCCTCGCTTGACTCTGTGTAACAGGCCTGCTTGAAGGCTGATTTCTCCAAGTGTTCAGCATCCTATCTACAGCAGCTGAAGCATGGTCTGCTAGTTTGAGGCTGTTTCGTGTTAGTATCGCCAGGTTTGGCCGCTAAATGTGGTTAGTTAGTGTGTCACCCAGTCGGGTTCGCATCTAGTCTCCTCGTGTCCATGGCGAACTTAATCGCCGCCCGCACCGCCTGTAGGTTAGGCGCCCATTTTGGGCCATCCGATGCCGCTTTTCCTCCCAAAAAGAACGAGAGGTTTCCCATCTTTGCCTGTCCCATCCTTCGCATGCCTTCCCGCTGTGCATCCCACTTCGTACATCGGAACAGAAAATGTTCCATCGTCTCTGCTGCTTGTCCACAGTCGCACATGTCCGATTCTGCTGCTCCAATCCTGTGCAGGTAGCTGTTAATCCTAGCCATTCCCGTGCGCATCTGTGAGAGCATGTCTGATTCGCGTCTTTTCAGTCCATCGTAAAGGGAGCGTGTGTGTGTGCCTGGCAACGCTTTATCAATTCGCTTCGAGTAGTTTCCGATCCTATCGGGCAGAGTCTTCTGGGGTTGCTGCTGTGCGATCGCCAGTCTCATCCGCGTAGAGCGAGCTTGATATGCTGCTTTCTTCAGTCTGTGTTTCCCCCGTGCGGCTCTTCGAGCTTCCGCCTTTGCCTCACAACCCATGGGGAAGTCTTCGTTTCGGGACGGTACCCACAGCATCTTGACGATGTTGCCGCTTTTCTGGAGTCGGTCGGCATGCTCGTGGATCTCTTTGACGGTGCATTGTCCCGACTGCTGTCGAGGTTGTGCAATCACTTCCAATGCTGATCGGCTGCTCGTTATAACGGTCACCTCTCGATGTTGAAGTCCGTCCGGCATGCATCTTAGCGCCATCGCTATAGCTTCCAGTTCTGCCGTATACACATTCTGATCATCTCTCGAGCCGATCGTGATCGAGTACTTGGCCACCGCTTGGCCAGGCCTGTTGCCCAGGGTATCATGGACGACGCCGCCCATGCCTACCGTTCCTGCCTTCTCAGAAGCACTGGTTGCCACCAGGATGCCCTCCATCCTGCTGGCGGCTTCCATCGCCATATCTCGGTCGAGGTCATACCCGATGGGCAGGCGGCTGTGCCATGGTGGTAGTGTATATGCCTGGATTGTCTCCATTCGCTCAATTGTATTTCCTTCGTGCGCCAGCGCGAGCTTCTTCATCGGTGACATGTATCTCCGGCTGTTTGACGTCTTGAGACCCGCGAGCGGATGCGTCTTTGGAACAGTGTGCAGGTTGATGTAGAGCCTAGTGCAAGCTCGAGCATGGCGTTCCCCTATCGTGGGGATGCTTGCCTCTGCTTCCGCCACCGCAGTCGCTGTTGTTCGGAAGGCGCCTGTGATTGCTTGGGCACCTACCTTCTGCGCTCTGTTCAGCCAGCTCAATTCTCTTATCCCGCACGCATGCGCCCATACGGTGGAGGCATAGTCCATGGCTGGTGCCACCGTCGCCGTGAAAAGTTGCCTTGCTATCCGAGGTGATAGCATCTTGAGCCTTCTCAGGCACATGGCCGCCGACAGCCCTTTGGCTGCTGCTCTGGCCATGTGTTCCTTGTACCGCAGCTTCGCATCCATCACCACCCCCAGGATCTTGGCGCTTTGTGTCGGTTTAACCTCCTTTCCCTTGATCACGAATGGCGTGTCGCTGGTGCGCTCGGCATTGCGCGTGAAGTGTACGATAGTCGTTTTGTCGCCTTCGAATGTTGCACCGCTCCGTCTTTCCCAATCCAGTGCTCTGTCTATGATGGCCTGGATGCCTGCCCTATTTGTCTCCGCCGTCGACCCCGTCACCCAGGCCGAGTAGTCGTCGACGAATGCCATCGAACCGCCCGTGGAGTTGATTCTACTCTGTACCAGATCCGCGTTGAAAAACAGGAACAGCACCGGCGACAGCGGCGATCCCTGCGGGAGGCCCGCTTGGGGTAGCGGCTGACGCTCTGATGTATGGCCGTTCACCACAATGCTCGCTGTGCGATTTGAGCAGAACGCATCGATCCATTTGACCAGCCACTGTGGTATGCCTCTGGCCTCCAGTCTCTGCAGAAGTCGATCCTTGAATACGCCGTTATATGCGCCTTTGACATCGAAACTGATGAGACTAACCACCTTGCGGTTTCTCCACGCCTTGTAGATATGCTCCTGCAGAAGCAGCAGTGCCTGCTCTGTCGACCGCCGTTTCCTTGCTCCAAAGTGGTTTGTGGGTAGGAGCCCGAACGCCTCGACGGCGTACGAGATCCTGTCCGCCACGACCGCCTCGAGGATCTTGCCCAGCGTCGACAGCAGTGAGATTGGTCTCCATGCCTTGGCGATGGCGTAGTCGCCCTTGTCTGGTTTCTTAAGCGGAATGATCTTAGCGCTCCTCCACTGGTTTGGCAGTTCTCCCTCTATCAACGACGTTCGGAATAGATGCAGAACCCGGTCTTGGACCACTGGCCAAAGCTGTTTCCACACCATCGCTGGTAAGCCGTCTTCCCCGGGTGCCTTCCACGACTTCGCTGCCATGACCTTCTGCTCCACCTCGTCTAAGGTTATATTCGGCATATCCACCTCCGTCCGGCGGGAACGGGTACCTTCCTCTTCGATGACGGCCGGCAGTGGTGGGAAGAATGCGCTGAGCAACTCCTCCGCCTGTTCTGCTTTGTCCTTTGTCTTTGTTCCATCCGGCCTCTTAAGCAGCGGGATCTTGTCGCTCATGGTATCGCCTCCCGGTTTGAGATATTTTGCCGATTGCCAAATATTGGCTCCGTCCGTGAGAAAGTCGTCCCAGTGTGCCTTCTTCTGCTTCCTAATCACGTCATGGTATTCTTTGCCTGCTTCCTTGGCTCTCTTTTCCAGATCCGGCGACCTTTGACCTCTTCGGCGTTGTGACCTCGCCTGGTTTCTCCAGTACGTGTACGCCCGTCGAAGTCGGGTTAGATCTGTCGTCCACCACCTCTTCGCGTACGGAGATGGCTTTGCTAACGGCACGAGCTTATCGATTGCTTCGAGCACAACTCTCATGAGCCCGTCCGTCTGGGTCTGGACATCCCCGTCCCATGGCAGCCATTGAAGCTTCTCCTCCACTCTTGCTCTGATCGCTATCCATGGCGCGTTTTTGAACAATCGTCTGTCGCCGGTCCCTCTTTCTGGCACACCCAGGTCGAACTCAGTTCGAATTGCTCTGTGATCTGAGCCATGCTCCGTCGGGTGGATCCCGCATGCTACCATCTCCTCAGCCAACTCAGCTGACGCCAGTATCAAGTCTATCGTGCTTGAGTGCTCCGAGTCCTCCCACGTCTTCGTCCCCCGGGGGAGAAGGCTAAGTAAGCTGTGCTCCTCCATGAGACCGATAATCGGCTCTGCCTCACCTTGTCTCCTACCTGTCACGTCATCTCCTCCCCAGAGATGGTCGTGACGATTGAAGTCGCCCGCTAGGATCACGTCCGTTCTTCTCCCTGACGCGTTGCGGAACGTCGTCACTTGGGTATGCAGCATCTCCATTGTGGCCAGCAGCCTCTCCTCGTTCTTCCCCTCCACGTACACCGAGATCACCAGCACATCCCTGTCAGGGAGTCGCAGCACCGCCCCCGTTAGGTCTGCTGACGCCATCGGGATCTGTTCCGCCTCTATGTCTCGTCGAATCCATAGCATGCTACGGATCGGCCACTGCCCATCATGCGTCTGCGTCGGTATCATCTTGGTCCAGTTGCTATGGCTGTTCGGTGTTGTCATCACCGCACCGTCAATGGTTCGCGCGTATGGTTCGGCAACGGCCAGCACTGCGTACTGCTGAAGGTCCTGGTCGTTCATCATGCTTAGTTGGACCACGTCTCTCTTTCGTACGTTGAGTTGGAATATCTGCAACTTAGTATGCATCGCCTCGTTCATTTCGTGCCCGACAATTTCGGCTGAACGCTTCGTGCGGCCCTCCGCAGGTAGCACATGACGGCTCTGCTACCTGGCATTGCCTGTGCTGGTGTCCTTGCTGCGCACACCTTCCACATACCTGCTCCTTCTTGCACGCGAATGCTTTGTGGCCAATGTTCCAGCACTTGTAGCACTGAACTGGTCCTTGGCGCCGCTCAAAGACGCTGGTGCTGGCCGACTCCCCGGCCAGGTGAAAGTATCCCTCCTCGAGGAGTCGTTTCGCGTCGTGTCCTTTCGTCACGTAGATCACCATTGACCCGTACGTCTTGCCGTTCTCCTTATTGCTGAGCCAGTGGATCTTGGCAATGGTTACATCGTTCTCCTTGCCCAGTGCCTCTGCGGCTCCCGGTAGTACGTTGCCAGGTGTGTCGAGGACTGCGGTGCGGTTTGCACCATCCACTTTGACCGGGTACAGTTGGTCCCTGAGAGTCCTCGCACCCTTGACCACGGTCTTCTCTGCCGCCTCCCTGACTAGCTGCATCTCCTCCTCATCTCTGCAGATCACCTTGATGCGGTCTGCGTTTCTCGCGTCCTTCACCACGGCTGCGCACCTCCAGTCCTGTCGGCCCTCCTTCTTTCGCATCTCCTCCTCGATGCCCTGTCGGATTCCTCCCACTTGTGCTTTGCCCTTTTCCTCCTCGTTAACGAGCGATGTGTCGATGGTACAGAAGAGAGTATCGGTGAACGCTGACGGCGTTGTTCGCATAGACGATAGGCTTCGGATGTTGCTTGGTTGGCTTGTCGGGGGGGTACGCGCTACGTCTGCATACGATGGCTGAGGGCTCGTCTGGGTACTATTGGCCGCAATGCCTTGGGCCACCATGTTCAACTGCTCTCGCAGTTGTTTCAACTCTTCAGTGGCCTGTTCTTGCGCCTGTCTAAGGTGCTCGTTTGTTTTTTGCATCGCCTTTAGTTCTTCGGCGGTCCGTTCATGCATACGTCTAGTTTCTTCGGCCTTCTTCCGGTCCTCGGCTGCCTCGGCCTTGCTCGTCTGCATTTCCTGCCGGAGTTCGTGAATCATTTCCAGCTGGTCGCTCATCACCTTCGTCGCCGTTCGCTGGTTCTCCATCAACGCGTCCCAGAGTGTCTGCAGCATCTTCTTCTGTTCGCTCATGAGATGGGTCGACGTTTCCTGGAGCACCGTCCGAAGCATCCTCTGGGTCAGCGATTCATTGCTGTTCGCCGCGTTTCCGATCGCCATTTGCTCCGCAACGACTTTATTTGACGTTTTAGTCCTGTTTGCGGTCGCTTCCAGATTTTCCTGGAATTTCGCGGTTGGTTTCCCGGCTCTCGAGGACCGACGCGTCGCGGTCGCCGATTCTCCACCTTCAACTACGATCTCCTCGACGGTCGCGTCCATCTCGCGATGCAACGCTCACGGCAGCGCTAGCCCCTTCTTTCGCCTGTAAAGAGTGTAAAGAGTGTAAAGAGTGTAAAGAGTGTAAAGAGTGTAAAGAGTGTAAAGAGTGTAAAGAGTGTAAAGAGTGTAAAGAGTGTAAAGAGTGTAAAGAGTGTAAAGAGTGTAAAGAGTGTAAAGAGTGTAAAGAGTGTAAAGAGTGTAAAGAGTGTAAAGAGTGTAAAGAGTGTAAAGAGTGTAAAGAGTGTAAAGAGTGTAAAGAGTGTAAAGAGTGTAAAGAGTGTAAAGAGTGTAAAGAGTGTAAAGAGTGTAAAGAGTGTAAAGAGTGTAAAGAGTGTAAAGAGTGTAAAGAGTGTAAAGAGTGTAAAGAGTGTAAAGAGTGTAAAGAGTGTAAAGAGTGTAAAGAGTGTAAAGAGTGTAAAGAGTGTAAAGAGTGTAAAGAGTGTAAAGAGTGTAAAGAGTGTAAAGAGTGTAAAGAGTGTAAAGAGTGTCTTTGGAATAATTGTCGGATTGAAGCTCGACAAAATTGATTGCTGACATAAGGATGTCTTGGCTCAGAAAAATTCCGAATAGGAAAGGCTTCGACCCACTGTGCCCCGGAACTGAAAGCGAAGCGAGAAGTGAAGGGGACTACTACCCCGGGAACCGACAGGGGGTTGTCCGACTACAAATCTGACGCCAAGCCTTCCCAATTCGTTTTTACTGTAACGTGATCTCAGGTGAATTCGAGCACATGTTAGACTCGGATAAAATTTGTTCCTGCCACCCTTGCTTTGTTTTCGCCACTCCCCTCCCGTCACCCCGAGGTTTCCTACCATTGCAAACAAACAAAATTGGCAGGTCTTGCCGCTATCGTGATGTAATCGCTTCTGACTTCCATCTATGTCGCTGGATTCGGTCACCTGGTCAATGTCCACATACACCCATGCTCGCACCCTCAAATATACTTCCTGCCGCCATTGCTCACTCACTGCTGACTTCTACGTCTTGGGGAAATGTTCACTCCTGCCACTGTTTGCACCAGTTGTCTCCGGGACTGGACTGATTCTCGCTATCGTACATGCGATAGATGTCGGTCTCGAACACGACCCTACCACTGGATTCGACGGCAACCTGACGTTCCTGAGAACACCATCCCTTCAATTCTTCCACCCAACTTCGATCCGTTTCACAATTCTATAAACCTGACGCCTCTAACGGGAGGTCCTTTATCAGGGAATCCTCCGCCGAACTGTGTGAAACTTGCTGTGGGCTTGTTAGAAGATGAATTCGACCTGCGAGAGGTGGCTTCGCGAGAATTTCCACCAGAAATCTCTTCTTCCCATATTCGGTCTTCCATCAGCCTATACGAAGATAAGATGTTAGCTGCATCCCAAAGATCAATATGCTGTTCGTGCGGCAAGTTTTTCACAGGATATGTATATCAAATTGACGATCACGATCATTTCATCCAAACCCACCAAACGAGCTTGGATCGATGTGGCCATCACGAAGATTCTTGGGATTTCTGTAGTCAATGCTATACAGCCATTAGACGCAGCAGCATTCCCAAATTTTCGGCGGAAAACTTTGTCAACGTCTCAATGTGCCAGCATTATCCATCGGCATTGGAAGACCTTACGCCCGTCGAGGAATGCCTTATCGCGAAATGCCACCCTGTTGGTACGATCCTCAAATTGCGACCTGGTGACCATGCCTCTCCAACAAACTACAATGCGTTGCGAGGCCACATGATTGTCATTCCGCAAGACCCTGGACCCCTCCTTCAGATCCTCCCAAGCCCTGAACTGAGGTTAGACAATCTATTCAAGGTCTTCTGGCTAGGTAAACACCCTCCTACCAATCAGGATCTAAAACCGTTCTTACGCGTTCGAAAGGACAAAGTTCTGACGGCGTTGCATTATCTTGTCCAGCACAACCATCTTTATCACGATATCACAATCAACCATACGATGACAGACGCCTGGCCTTCCGACTTTATCCCGCCTGAAATCGCTGATAGCATCATTCATCTTGAGGATCCAGATCATCACGAACGCGAAGGATATACTGTTAGCCTTCAAACTGGGAACTATGAAAATGACTTCCAGGCGGCTCAAGATGAGGCATTTCTTCCCAATGACAATGATCCGTTCGTGACCGGCTCAGTCTACACGGATGTCAATGGAGAACGGACGGATTCTAACCTTCGGTTGATTGATGCCTTGTTAGGAGTGGTAACAGGTAACACGCGTTGGGTGGATGAAACAGATCAAGCTGCAGATAGTTCGGATGAGCCCGAGCACGAGCATAGACAAAGAGATTTGCCAACAATCTCTTATGCTATTCACAGCCAGGCTACACTGATGAGTAGCTGGGAAGATCCCCATTATTTCACTGGCGCTTTCCCGACATTGTTTCCCAACGGCCTCGGTGGCCATCAAGATCAGAGGCCAATACCAGTGTCACTTAATACTTTTGCACAGTGGGCATTAAGCCACCATAGCAGAAGGTTAGAGTCTCCGAAACTATGATGTTATACTAACCTTCGTAGGTTTCCTCGCCATAAGACATTCATGTACCTTCTCTACGACGTGATACAGCTGCGCCGATCATCTCTCGGAAACGCTATGCTTGTTAAACGCCAAAACTGGAGATCTGTTAGGGATGATATCGCCTCTTTGACTGTCGATCAGTTGCAGACTGCCGCAACAGCAGTGTCCAATGGACAACCCATTAAGGACCCCGCAGTCCGCAGACTTCAGCAAGGCCTTACAACAATCGGCATGCGAGTACCTGAATCATTCTCCCAAAAGCTGATGATGCGGACTGAAATCAAAGGACTTATTGTACGGGGTGCCGAACCGGCAATTTGGGCGACGATCAATCCTTCCGATTTACGGAACCCTCTCGTTCTAATCTTGGCAGGTATCGAAATTCCTGCCGATGCCGTCCCTGCAGCGACCGCGGCTATTCGTCATACAGCAGCAACGTCAAACCCAGTGGCAGTTGCCCAATTCTTCAATCACGTTTGTAAAGCCATCTTTGATGGCCTCATCCAGTCTGGCACAGGACGTACTGGAATCCTTGGGCAAGTGGCAAATCACTACGGCGTTGTTGAGACAAACGGTCGTGGCATGCTACATCTTCATGTCTTGATATGGCTTACGGGCAATCTTGCCTTCAGCACTCTGCGGGAACGGCTGGTACAAGATGGGGCCTTTGCTCAACGGGTGATACGGTATCTTGAATCTATCATTGTTCACAGCATAAACTCGGAGAATGATAGCTTTCAGGAATCAGGGCCCGCAAATACGCCACCTTCTTCTAAGGATCCGGGTTCTGATAACGAATTCCGTCAAAGACTCACGGCTGATAGCAATGCAGTTGCTGGCAGAAGTCAAATCCATTCCTCGAACCACACCGCTACCTGTTTCAAGTATCGTCAAAGGGGGCGAGGGAAGGATGCTTGCAGATTTGGTATGCCACGGGACCTTCGGCCGCATTCTGAAGTGGACGAGCTAGGTGTGGTCCATCTCGCTCGAAACTATGGTTGGGTCAATCCATGGAATCCAGCAATCGCCAGTTGCATCCGATCAAATCACGACATCTCCTGGATCCCAACCACTACCAAGTGCCTGGCTCTCATCTACTACCTTACAAATTATGCGACGAAGGATGACGTTTCCCCACACCAAATGCTAGTAAAGGCTGCATTGCTGAAACAAAGCATGGATAAGGCAAAGGCCACTCAGACACCAGATGCTGCCGACATGCGATTTCGGAAAATGGATATGGACCAATTTGCTCTTCGCTGCTTCAACACTCTGTCTCACGACCGCGAGATTAGCGGTGTACAGATCGCCAACTCCTTGCTTCAGCTACCGACATATTACACAAGGAATTACAACTTTGTCCAAGTCAATCTCTGGTGGCTAAGGCGATATGTACGCACCGCCATTGAGTCTACCGGATCACTGTTCGATGGCTCTCCCGAGTTCACAGGCGAAGAGGAATGCACCTTTCAACCCAAGGATACGGCTCCTGTTAGCCGTTTCGACAACTACAGATGGCGTGGTCCAGATCTAGCTCATCTTACCTTTTTCGAATACTGCATGTTAGTAGATGTTAAGAGAAGGTCTGACGCAACGACATCCGACGTGGAATTCGATACGATCCACCCCAAGAGCAACACACACGTGCAGCGCATGGCACGTACCGAGTCTCAGGTGAAGACCGTGTCCTTCAACGGCCAATTCTCTCAGTACCAGATCCAGGAGGAAGGTGTTCGTGGAGGTCATCCAAACACAACTGCTATCAAGAATGACCTCGCCGAAGTGCAATTGGGGTTTTTCCTACCATGGGACCAACTGCCGGCCCTATTTCAACAACACGCTTCTGAGTATGACACAAAACGGGATGCCTGTTCGAGAATATGGGACATTGTTGAACCCACGCTTTCGCCTCATAATCGCAACTTCGCTAGGAACATGGAGCTCCTTCGGAAATCCAGAGAGGATGCAATGGTTGACGCCGCTCTCCGTAACGCAACGGCGATATCTCAGGACGACCTCGACCATAACGTTGACGATATGGAAATTGCTAATTCCGACTTGGATGCCGAAGAATCTCAGGATTCTCCACAACAGGAATTCACCAATGAGGCTTTGATATTGGCATACCATTCCATCGCTACATCTTGGCGCAAGGAACTTCATGCCGCCAGCCAGCGTATTCCATTCTTATCTTCAAAAGCGCACCTTGTTCAATGCCTGCAATCACGAAGTCTTGTGCCTCTTGATATTTTTCGACTTCCCACGTTTACTACCTCTGGCATTAGATTCTTCCCCAACCCTACACTAGAAAGCTGGAAGCTACAAATCAAAGGCCTTGCTACACGCGATGAGCTTGATAACATCGAACCAGAAGAGCATATTGCACTCGAGGGCGACGATTTCGGTCCTGATCTTGGTGATGGCACTTTCCACCCTACTCTGAGTTCACTCCAAGCCATACCAAACTTAATAAACCTTCGCTCTCGAGTCGGCGATAGCCCTTCTGGCACAACTCTTACCACACTAGTCTGCAAAGTTCTCCCTCTCAATACAAAGCAGAGACTTGTTATAGAAAGAGTGCTTTCTGCCGCGATAGCTTGGAGAGATAATCCATATGATGCATCCAGGCGGGATCAGATGCTCCTCTACGTTGGAGGAGAAGGCGGAACTGGCAAGAGTCGAGTCATCAAAGCCATTGTTGCCGGCATGGACCTTATGATGCGAAAGCATGAGGTCATCCTGATGGCGCCTACAGGAGCTGCTGCTGACAATATCAGTGGAAATACCTACCATACCTCTTTGGGTATTTCAATTTCCAAGACCCAAAAGCCTACAGTAAGCGCTCGCGTCAAAAAGTTGTGGTCCAGGAAGACGATTATAATCATCGACGAAGTTAGTATGTTGGATTTAACTTCGTTAAGCATGATCAACAATCAGTGCAAGATTGCAAAATCCCTGGATCGCAGCTCACCTGACCTCTTTGGTGGACTGCCAGTTATCATTTTCTTTGGGGACTTCTTCCAATTCCCGCCTGTAAAAGGGCCAGCACTGTGGAGAGAACCGAGACATGGGAATAGTGAGGATGTCAATGGCCAGATGGTCTGGCATCTGTTCAAAGAAGTAATTATCCTCAACGAGCAGATAAGACAAGCACAGGACCCCATATTCCGAGATTTGGTCCGCCGAGCAAGGGCTTCTGCCTTGACTGAAGAAGATCTGGCTTTGCTGAACACCAGAGTGATAACTTCTCTTTTCATGCCGGAACTGGAAGGTGCAACTTTCGTTGCGAAATTGAACGCACTTCGACATCATCTCAATCTCGTCAGAACGGAATACTTTGCTCGATGTCGATCACAACGAATTTACATCTTCCCAGCCCAGCACAGCAGAACCACTTCTACATCCTCTTTCCCTCTTTATCTCGAAGACTTGCTTCAACAAAGGGATCAAGGTACTAAGATCCCTTTTCAAGGTCTTTTCCTCTACACACCGGGGATGCCTGGGGTAATTCTTGCTAACATCTGCACCCTTCTTGGACATGTCAATGGCACACGTGGTATTCCTTCAGGTATCGTTATTGACCCATCAGGTGTGCCTTCCCACGACCGATTACACGACATGCAGTTACACTAACAATGGACAGCGGACTTTTTCGAGATTGATGACCTGTTCATCTTATGTACTAAACCGCCAGCCTGTGTTCTATTCCGCCAAGAGAATCCGAAGCACCTTGGCTTTGAACATCTCCAGGCTAACGACTTCCCTGTTTTCCCTATAGAGAGATCAATCACCATCAAGACATATTCCGTACGGAGAAAACAAGTTCCAATATGTTCAGCATTTAGCCTGACGGACTATAAAGTACAAGGGGCGACTCTCAAGACAGCAGTCCTTGACCTAAAAGATAATCCATCTGCCAAGGGTCAAGACATGCATAAGAAGTTTTGTTCTATGCTGGTCCAACTTTCGCGCCCTCAATCTTTAGATGGTCTGTATCTCTTACAGAAACTTGAGATGAAGGACCTCCGATTTCGTCCGCATGATGCGCTACTCACTGAGATGGAAAGGCTTCATAAACTCGAGGAGGAAACCATACGCACATGGACAAGACAGTAAGTTTTGACTTTCTCAATCTACATTCTAGTTATATAATATCGGTACATTAGAAGCCTATAGATAGATTATAGATACACTACCTGTCAGGCACGGGCAAGGGAGAAGAAACCAGGCGGGGAAGAAAAGGTGATGTAAGAGGACGGAGTGGTAGCTTTCACCACCCAATCAGGGACTCTTCTGGGCAAGGTAACACGGTAGATCGGTCAACCAAAGGAGCCACAATGACAGCTCAGGAACTGACATGCTACCTACTACACATAGGCCAATGCCGTACCCTCACAGGTGTTGACGCGCGAGGTGCTAGAGAAAGGCACCTGGCGGAGCTATGAAGCTAACTGTGATAATCCAGGGTGACCCTCGCGCCTGACGCCCAAGGCCATATCCTTGACACTATGTACCTTAATAGTGGCCTCTGATTTTAGCGTCCCACACCAGTCAGAGCCCGCTATTCCCGCCTTCCACTTTGTTCCCAGCCTCGTTCATCGTTCAATCATTCCAGAGTTCCGGGGCATCTGCCTGCGTCAGCGGGCGTTACCAGTAAAGTCTTGGCTCAGAAAAAATCGAAAGTGGAATAGTGCGGACCCGCTCGAAAAGTCTTGGCTCAGAAATATTCAAGAAGGGAATAGCTTCGTACCCCGGCGGGTTTCGTATCTTATCGCGTTGTGTTGGACAGCGTACGGCACATTCGATCAAGGGATAAGTGTTCAATCGGGTGTGGAGACCAAAGATGATTGTCTTGATCTAGGATGCCTCCGGCCCCCTCTTTTCTCGAGAGGGGTTTTATGTAATCTCACGCCCCCTCTGACTAAGGTCAGGATATCGATCTATCAGAGGTTTCGTAATACAGGGTCACAATCCTATCACGGTGTGCGCGATTTTGCCCAATAAGCGCATACGGTAGAGAGATTGAACAGGAGAGGCAAACCGGTCGCGGTTTGCGCAAAACAGCCTTGAGGAACGAAGATGGCTATGGCAGTTTTCAGGGTCCGTTTACAGCACAGCATTAATGGCCAAGAGCTTGGTAATAAGATTTCCAAAAGTGTTATTTAAAAGCTTGCGTGTGACTGTCTTTAGCAGCTTAGATATTGCCGAATTTGGTGAATGTATCTAGGGTATCCTGGTGGCGCATGGCACGCTATGCACTGCGACATCAAAATAAAGTCTAACGATAGTTTGAAAGGGTGAGAAAATGAGGGGATGGTGAGATAAGCAGAACTCATCGTTACAAGTTATAGTTACTAACATGCCTTGAGGAACGAAATGCCTTGAGGAACGAAAGGATTATGCCTTGAGGAACGAAATGCCTTGAGGAACGAAAGGATTATGCCCCGCCCCGCCCCTCACCCCCAAATGCCTTGAGGAACGAAATGCCTTGAGGAACGAAAGGTGCCTTGAGGAACGAAAGGATTATGCCCCGCCCCGCCCCTCACCCCCAAAACCACAAAGTCCGTCGTGATTGGTCGTCGCTGCCTTTTTCTCCTTCTTGCCTGCCATTCTTGTGCCTTGAGGAAATGCCTTGAGGAACGAAAGGATTATGCCCTTCTTGCCCGCCTGGTCTGTGCCTTTGTGTGTGTTGTCCAAGTAAGCGCCTTCCCAGCCGCCCGCCCCCGCCGCCCCACCGCTTCCTCATCCCCTTCTTCGTCAAACCAGCGCAACGCCTCCTGGACGGTCCTGTCGCTCAGTTCCTCCAGTCTCGCCTGCGCTGCGGTCATTTCCTCGGGGACCCTGTTTCCCACCAGGTCTCTCTCCCGCACCTTGGACACGAGCATGATGCCGTCCAGCGTCCGGCACCGCGACAGCTGCACGTACAAGCTGTAAGGGTCGCACTGCGAGGGGACGACGCGTCCGTCGACATTTGTCGTCCTCGTCCCTCGCAGCTCCAGTGCTATGCGCTCGAACGTCCTGCTCTGCACCTTGTAGTCTGTACACGAAAAAGTCGCCGCACAGGGCAAGCCCTTTCGGGTAACGTCATTCTGCTGCCACGGCCGTTTCCGCTGGCATTGTATCTTAACGCTCATGGGCGCCAACAGGATCGTGCCCTGCGGCATCCCAACGAAGTGGAAGTCTTGTGTCGTTTCCGACTCCAGAATTATCCCCGCCGGCGGCCCGAAGTGGACCGTTATGTCGGCCGAGATTCGATGGCCCGGGTACGCCTTGTCGAGGATGACCTCCAGCCCCGTGTAAGGGGCGCCGTTGACCAGTTTTAGCCCCTGGTGGGTATTATGGTTCACGACGACCGGCATTCCCGGCACGAACATGAAGACGGCCGGCACCGGTATCGCGCTATCGTCGCCCTGGTTCAGCATCATGATGGCCTCTTCCTCTGTCGGCAGACCGTGCTTCCATTTGTGCTCGGATATGAAGACTCGCATCATCGACCGCTGCTGAATCTGGAACGACAAAGTCGCCTCCATGTTGAGGTTCCACCGATTCCTGTTCAACGGCGTCACCACGGTGATGCCCGTCTCCCACGGGATCCGCCTGTCCTCCCGGTAGCACCTCGAGTTGAGGAGGTCTAGATCCGTCCGGTCCTGCACGCCTAATCGGATTCGCTTCAACAGCCTCTGCAGTACCGAATCCCCGGCGGCGCGCATTTGTTCGTCCAGCATGACGACCGTCGTGAATTTCTTCCACAGCGCGTGCGCCTTGTCATGCTGGTGCCGTTGCTCGGCCCTGAATGAGTTGTCTTCGTCCCACGACACGGCCACGCTGGGGAGCAGGATCGACCTCTCTTGGACCGGGCGGAACTGGCGGAAGTCTCCGCAAAAGAGAATGATGGGGATCCCCCCGAAATCTTGCTGCGATCCGCGGAGCAGGCAGAGCTGCTCGTTCACCGCGTGCAGCGTCCGCGCTCCGAGCATGCTCACCTCATCAATGACTAGCAGGTCCTTGTCCTGCCAGTCCATTCGCGACTGGCCGTGGACGAATCTTTCCGCCCGTTTCGGCAGCCGGACGCCGTCTAAGTCTTTCGTGATGTCCGCACCTGTCCCTTGGTCCTTCGAGAACCCGCATGCAGAGTGGATCGTGATGCCATTGATGCGTGCTGCGGCCGTCCCTGACGTCGCCGTGATCAGCAGACGATTCGAAAGGCCCTTCTTAGCGAAAAGCTCGACGACTGCCTCGATGACTCGCGACTTGCCAGTCCCTCCTTCGCCGCCGACGAATTGGCAGAGCTGACCGATGTCGCCGTTCTCCCCACGGTTTATCAGGTCGAGCTGGCGACATATTATCAGGAAAGCGATCGCCTGTCTCTTGTTCAATGTCAATCGTGCCACCAAAACCTTGCCAGCCTCGAGGAAAGAGGTTGATGGGCCGAACCGGACTTCTACCCTCGGATCTGCATCGTCTACAGCCTCTTCCAAGTCTGCCGCCGTCATTTGAATGTCCCCGTCCCCGAAACCGGTGAGCACGCTCCGCGCCGCTGCACCGCGATCAGTTCCATGGGCCACGGCCATGTTTTGTATGCCCTGGATCATTTTCACCCTCTCTTTGGAGGCACATATCTGCTGTGACTTTATGGCCTTGACCTGATCCTGTGGCGGTACTGCGGCCCCGGAAAACACCCGCCCTGGCGTGGTTATCCGTCTTTCACCCCGTTCGGGTGTTATGGTGGCCTGGAGTTCGGCCGTCGAGGATAGCGCTGATTGCTGGAAGCGGCAGAGCTGCTGCATCATTGCTGTGAGCTCCTGCGATCCCGCCGTGATCTGGTTCGCACCGACCGCGCTTCGGACGACGTCGATAAGACGCGTTGCGTTTCCAACGTTATCGGACTGGTACGCCGATGCGGCCTCTTCATCCGCCTGGCCTGCTCCCGCCTCCTCAACATGAGCGCCCGTGGGGTCGCCATCGCCGGATGAGGATGCCCATTGCTTAGCGTCCCGTTTTGCGTCTTCGGCGGACCGCCGAAGCAGTTGCACGTTATCGACGAGGCATGAGATTCTAGGATGCAGCGCCTCTCGTGCCCGCGCCCATATGTCGTTGATGTCGTCTCGTTCTTCACCCAAGAAGGACTCCCACGGCACAAACAGGGCAAGGTGCTGCACGGCTGCTCTTCAGTATGAGAGTTAGTCTCTTTCAACCCCTTTCGGCCGAGTCGTCCCCGGACATACCTACGATGGCACGACCCTTCGTCGTCTTGGTCAAAATCTTTGCTAAGGTAGCCGTCAAAGCAGACGACGGCATGCTTTCCCGGCCGTCTCAGCTCCTGCACCCATTGTCTTCCAGGCGTCCAATCGCTCTCGAAGGGTACCTCTCCCCAGGCACCTGAGCTTTCGTCCTTGCCAACGCGTTTGAGCCCGACAAGCGAAACATAGTCATATAGGCACAGACCTCGCAGGACATCTCCACGATGGCGATACGCCTCAGCGAAGCTAATTCTCTGGCCTGCTTCTTCCACGACGATCGAGTCGTCCACCAAACCGTCCGCGACCGCGATGCCGCTCTCTTGCCGGAGATGTCGCCACCGTCGGAAGACGTGCCAGTAAAGCAGAGATACATTCAGGTACGCCCAAGCGCTGCTGTTCGTGAACTCGCTCGGGTATCCTAGAAGATGGGCGACGACCTCGACTTGCGATAGAGGCCGCTCGGTGAATACACGATTCGCCACTCTCATCAGAAACTGTCGCGTCCTGTTTTTGGTACCATCGTCGCCGCCAACATCCGCCCCATCGGTCGGCAATCCACCTGCTGAGAGGACAGGCAACAGTTCTGCGGCCGCAGCGACGCGCTTCCACGTCGGGTCCTCTACTTTGGTCGCGTAATTCGTCACATAATACACGAGGGCCATGGTCTTCCGCTGCGTCGCTATGAAGGAGATGTCGTGGTTGTGGCGAAGCCCCACGGCAATGGCCTTGTTCCACCGATTAACCATGTTGTGCGTCCTGCGAATCTGCAGCACGCCGTCTGGCGTGAATGCAGTTTTGTCGACCAATCTCCATGGCGCCTTGAACCGACAGAGGTCGCCCTTCCCTCTCTTCTTGCCCAGGGAGTACTTGACGCAGGTCGGACTGTGGGTATGGATCTGTGTCGCGCCGGCACAGAAGTTGGCTTCCTCGTCAAATGCAGCCGAGAACTGCTCGGTGTTGTCCAGCAGGGAGGAAATATCGGACGTCACCGACCGCTCCGCTTGCACGACGCAGAACCCGTCCTGGTCAAGATCCTGCCTAGTATGTCAGCCCAGACCCGTTTGCCCACCAGAAGTCCTGGATGGCCAACAGCACGCATTGAGCATTACATTACCTCTGAGAAAACACTATCGACGTATTGGACGATGCGCTCACGATACGCCGCCCGGTCCTCCTCGTGGATGTCGGCAAGCACAGAACTCAGATGCGCGTTTCCATGCAACCAGAGCAGCCCGTGAACGTGAAGCGCCCCTCGTTCATTGGTTTCCACAGCACCATAGTACTGGCTGATGCGCCCGAAAACTGACTCTTCTCCTACTTTCACGTAATGCTCGAAAAACAACGTCATCTCCCGGTGGAAGAATATTGCCGAACTCATGGGGTCTGAGATGGACAACCGCACACGTTTAAACGACATGTCAAGGCTTCGCAGGAAAGCCTCAGCTGCCTCAGGATCGCGTGAGCGATACGCTGCCAGTCGGAGCTTCACCGGGTTCGTAATGTCGTTTGGGTTGATCGTGAACCAAATGGCAGGCACGCCATAGCGAACGATGAGCGCCTGAATCTTGTGCCGCATGCTGAGACGGGACTCTCTAGACATAGGCTGGCGGTAGCCATACAGTGAAAGGCTCTTGAGAAGCTCTTTCACGCCATCATCGGTAGTCTTACCTGAGCTTTCCAACTCTGCCCTAGCTGCCGCTAACCTGTCTGCAGTCAGCGACTGCACGATGCGCTCCACCTTGCGGAAATTCTTCCTCGTCACGCTCAGCATGCTGACACGCCGGTTCCTCGACCGCACGCCCATGTTGAACACGAGAAATGCGAAAATGTGGTGCGTCGCAAATCGGCCGCCGTGACGCCGCAGCACAATGTCAGCCCAGGTCCGAAGGCTCATGTTCCGAGACGACAAGAGGTCTCGCGCCGCCATATCTGCTCCACTCATGTTGGCACCTCTTCCCGCCTCTAAGGCGGCTTCTTCGACTAACCGTGGCCCCCCGACGCCGAACGGTAATAGCGTGGGAAACGTCTTCGCAAAGAACGAGGCATCAAACGAGTCGGCGAACTCGTCCCCACGAGAAACATGAATGTACGGCTCAGAGTCGTCATCAGCAGGCCTCGGCCGCCTTTTAGCCGAGGATCCAACCCGTGTTCTCGGGCCCATATGACCGGTCCCAGCACCTTCACCGACAGCGTCGCAAGCAAACCGCAATTTCTCGACGTCCGCTACATCCGGCGGCCCGTCCAGCGGAAACATTCCAGAAGAGGTGACCTCATTGATCGGTTTCGCGGCCTGGTCAGCCTCAGCTCCAGCTTCACAGCGAGGCTCGTTTCCCTCGTTCGTCACTGGTCCTCCAGTCTGGCATGTTGGCGCGCCTTCTCCCTGATTGAGCAGATCGAGGATTTCCTCGATCTCCACCGAATCCTCATCGTCCATGGCGCGCTCCATGGGCGGCACGACTTGCGCTGTTCGTGTCTTTTCCCACGCCGACGGCTCGTTCCGCTCCATGCGATCGTACACCAACAACGGCACCCCATGCGGCGGGGCTCCCCAACTCTCCATCTCCGTCGCGTCGATCTCGATCTCAGCATAGTGTGGATTGTTCTTCTTCAGCCAGACAAGGGCCCTCTCAACGACTCGCCGCCTCACCGATAGGAGGCTTGAAAGATCACTCGGTCCCGGCTTCTCCGCGCCCTGCCACGAGACGTGGATCTCGTCCATGACTTGCAAAAGCGGATGGGGGAGCACTTTCGTAGCCAGCTCCTGCACGTTGTTTGGGAACACCGTGATGTGGCCTTTGACATGCCTCGGATACCTCAGACTCTGCCTCTGACCACCCGGAATGCTGTACCTTGTGACAAATCCATAACACGAATTCAGCGCGATGAGCTTCTCCTCGACCAGTGTGAGGCCCTTGAGCTCGTCGGGAAACATGTGCTCACAGCCAAGGCGGCCGTGAAGTTGGGCCGCTGGCGACAGGCCACCCCGCCTCAGGCAACGCATACACTCCGCACAGCCTAAGATAGATTCTCCCACGGGAAAGCAACTTCGACATGAAAATGGCGAGCGGTCGCCCTTTTCGACGCAGCTCGACATCCATCGGTCCCACGTCACCTCGCTCAACTCTTTTTTCGTGCGCTTACGGTAGCACAGCATGCAGGTCCGTATCGGCAAAGTGCTCGCATCGTGGAACGCCTGGTAAAAATCTCGCACGGTCGACACCTTTCTCTCGTGCGGTACTGGCGTACACCATGTCTGCTCGTTGGACAGACTCTCCTTCACGGCAAATTCGTCCTCCAAGAAGCGCAACACGCTCGCCAAGTCTTCGGCCTGCAGTTCCCGTCTCCTTTGCCTTCGGATTCTAGCTCGAATTTGTTTCCTCGGAGGCTCATCTCGGCTGTTATTGCAGTTTCTCTTTGCCTGTCGCCTGGGCTGACCCGGTGGCTGATGTTGCGCGGAACCTCCACTATTGGCCGTATCATGAGACTTCCGTGCTCTTTTCGACCGCAAACCGCCTCGCAGAGGTCTTTTGGGCAACGACCTTACAATTGCTTCCGCATGCTGCCTCCATGCAGTATCTTCAACCGCAGACTGCTTAGGCTGAATCTGTCGGAACGTCGATGCTGCATTCGCCGGTGAATCGTATGTTGACAAACGTCCCAGCCTCTTCCCCCGTGCGCTGGGCTCCTTTTCGGCAGCTGCTACCACATCTACGCCGCCTCCGGTCGTCTCATCTCCTGGCTCTCTCTCCCACAAACTTGCAATCTTACCCTCTTGTCCGTTCCCAGCTGACAACGACCAGCCTCCTAAGGGAGCAACCGCCTCATGTGGCTTCGCCGCTGGACTATCCATCCTGCTGCTGCCTTCTCGACATCGATGACTCCAGGCGGCCGGTAGATCACAAGGCTTCCGCGGCGGAATCTCTTTAGTTGCACGATTTCGCTTCTGGGTGACGATTATGCTCCTTAATACGACATGTCACATTGGTTCCTGCAGTATCCAAGTGATCCGCTAATAGTCCTCTTAACCACGTACAACCCTGCCTGTATGCGTCCATTGTCACAGTCTCGGCCAGTCCACGCATACAATTCGTCGCTATTCCAACTCTGCGCTCTCCTCCCCGTCCCTCCATGGAGCCGTTACAACTGCCGTGATTTTGAGGAGGACGGCCACATCGTTGCCTTTTCGCGCATCACATAGCTGCTGTCAAGATCAGGTAGCTCGGGAGACATTACGTCACTCACCGTCTCAACACGGAACAGTCCGGTAGCACTGTCACTCAATCTTTCCCTGCCTCAGCCTCAGCGTCTTCCTCTAGCGAGTCAAACAATACTAGGCAAAGTCCTGCCTCGTAAACCTTTCGACGCCTGCCCTTGATTCAATTGTCGCTTGACCATCAGATTGGCCAAACCGGCCACATCGAAGCCGTCAACCCACCCAAAAAAATACTGGGAAAGGAATAACTACATAAATGGTAGTCTGCTGCAATATTCTCATCAGGAAAGTACACAACAATACAGCTTGTCCTATTCATCAGCCACAATGTGAACCCAACTTGTCTGTTGCCTCACTCCATCCACAATCTCTGATGTTGTCCCCGTCTCCTTCCAGACTCTCCTTGTCTGCTGACATCCTCTAGGCACACACGCCTTCTTATGAACCTTCCAGTCCGCCTTTTGGTGGTCTTTGCCGCAATATGCCACTGCACGACAACTATCGCACCGCTTCACTCTCACAGTCGTGCCGCATACCTTGCACAGCTTAACCTCCATGCAATCAGTGCGTCCCAAAACCTCACCAAGCATCTCGTCCTCTTGCCGCATTTCCTGCATCATTAATTGCATTTCCTGTCTCTTCTGGATCTCACACTGCCCGCTTCCACACAAGGAGGTGACCCAAACCACAATGCGAGGTTTATCCCCGTGCAACATAGATATTGGACTCTGTAGGATGTCTGTCGCAAACCGCCCGCAGCATTCACAGAAAGCCCCCGAGGCACTGCGACATGCTGATTCATGCTCCTTCATAAGAGGCATCATGGCCTGCGCGAACCGTTCGTTGTATTCGGCATCTCGTCCGGCACGATTCGCCTCGATGACAAGACTTCGGGCGATGCTGTGGTTGTGTGTGAATTGCCTGGCGCCAAATTGGCAAATGAACTCGACTTCAACAGTGGAGGTTGCCATAATTTAGTTTCCGGAGCTATAGATGCTCTGTGTAACAACGTGTCGCACTGAACGTGCTTGAAGGGTCAAAAGTGAAATGATGAGCAGCACCAGTCAGTCAGTCAATTTATATTACGCCCGGCGGCTTAAACCAAAAGGGCACCAATTACAAATATACCCATACATTGCCCAAATTGTGCCCTTGTCTCCTTCAGCCCATACCATGTCCGCTTGTTGCTTATGCTTCCTTACCAGTTTTCTCTCCGTCTCTATGCGGATTCCCGTGATTTAGTATTATTAACGAGCCATCTTGAAGCCTATTCTTCAAAGGGGTGTGTTGATTGATTGTCTAAGGTGCGGGGTCTCCATCCCGCAGATTTATTTATAGCACCGCAGCTAGATTACTAATATGGTTGTATCCTGAGGTCGTGAAGATCATGCCTACCCTGCGACACAACGCGTAGAAACTGCCGCTCAACTGCACCCACCATGAAACTCTTAAGTAACAAACCCCCCTCAATTGATCTTCCAAACTATCCAACACCCACGATATCTCACCCCAACCTCAAACTTTCGTTCCTCAAGGCTTTTTGCGCAACCCCCGATGGGTTGCCTCCCCTGTTTTAGGCTACCCCGCAGCGCTATGACTCATCTTTAGTCCAAAAAGTCCGTTGAGTGGTTCGTCTACCTCAGCATGAAGGACCCAGGAGTGTGCGCCAAATCATCTCATGATCAGAGGGCCACTTAGTTGACATTGGTAGCCTTTGGATGTCTTATATCCCTTATTTCGTCTCAATTGAAATATTATCGATCCCCGATCCAACACCACAGATTGTGTCTAATATTACTAGAAGGTAGCTCACGTTGTCACTGAACACGCCCAGTGCGGAGCCTCGGGAACGGAAATAGGCCCGAGTGCCCGCTCAAGAAGCATCGGGAAACCCGCGGGCCCGCCTCTACTATCCCCGCGGAGTTTCGGGGATGAGAACGGCGGGCAATAGACAAGCCCAACGACGCACTCGGCTCCACTTTCTTTTGGTAAGCTTTGAGTGGACTGAGCTCTACAACAAGGTCAATATGTCCTGCTGGCGGAGTTTGGGCCGGAGTTCGGCCCAAATTTCTGAGGTAAGTCAACCACCCATGTAACCGACCCCCCCTGGTAACCGACCCCCACCACAAACGCGTCCAGGGGAGCGCGAAGACGCGTCCACGCCAGTATTTAAATCTACGATAAATCGAGTTCTTCTTCAATTCACTTTTTTCTTTCTTCATCTTCTTCTTTTACTGCTATAATGCCGGTATCCTCTGCAGAAGACCTAGAAAACGCTATTGCAGACGTCAAGAATGGGGTCTGTTTGAAGGCCGCCGCGAAGAAGAACGGAGTACAGTGGGGTTCCAAAAGTCCTGCAACGCCACGCTGTCACGGGCCAGGGACGAGAAATCGTTCCACAGCTCAGGGGCACTTAGGAACTTCTTTCTTTCTTCTTCATCTTTGATGTCACGGGCCAGGGCCCATATCCTTGCGGCTGTGCCGCAAGACGTAAGAGGCTCGTGCGCGCCAGGGACGGGAAATCGTTCCACAGCTCAGGGGCATTTGGGAACTTCTTTCTTTCTTCTTCATCTTTGATGTAAATAGCATCCTGGACTAGATAGCTGGAATCCAGCTACTAGAGGCCGTTCACATTTGATGTAAATAGCATCCTGGACTAGATAGCTGGAATCCAGCTACTAGAGGCCGTTCACACACGCGACTCGCGTCGACGATCGGATCCGCGTTTCCTGCCACCTTCATCTTCAATCATCCACAACTTTTTATTATGACGTCCAATTTACGGTCTTTTGGGACCATAATATCTGGAAATCGCCAAGGAAGACAACAAACCAGCCCTGAGCTTCGTGCGGCTATTATTGCGGCCGTACAAGCTGGAGAGAAAAGGAGTGTGGTCGCGACGCGTTTTGGGGTTACGACGGCCACAATCAGCCGTCTGCTTCAACGGCTTGAGACAACGGCATCAATCGATCCTAGCCCTCGGTCCGGGCGTCCCCCAGGTCTGACGCCTCGGGCGAAAAGGGCTATTATTCACGCTGTACGACAGGATGAAAGCGTCTCAAGGAAAGACTTGGTGGATGACCTGAGTCTTGGGTTGAGCGCCACGACTGTCCGCCGGACTTTAAATGAGGTTAACTTGCGCAAATGGCAAGCTAGAAAGAGGATCTTTTTACGAAAGGAAGATGCAGCTCAGCGGCTTCAATTTACGCGCGACTGGGCGAAAAGAGAAGAAGAATTGGGTGAAGTATGACTAAGTGTTTGAGATGCCCTCGTCTGCCACTGTACGCGTTACTCACACACTCTAGGTTATCTTCTCTGATGAGTGCTCTGCTCAAATGGCAGCGCCAATCCGGGCACCTGGGTCTGGAGGTTCACTCATGAGATCTATGACCCAAAATTCGTCAATAAAATGGCTCATGGCAAGGGAGATGTGACGATAATGGTGTGGGGTGCAATTTGCAAGGAGAGCCGAAGCAAGCTCGTTATTATGACCCGAGACACAGCCTCTAAGCGCGGTGGCTACTCATCTAATAGCTACATTGAAGCTCTGACTTCTGGGCTTATTCCTGATTATAATGGCACCCGGCATTTCCAGCAGGATAATGCCGGAATCCATACATCAAAGGTCTCAATGAGCTTCCTGCTTGAGCACGGAATCTCTCTTATTGACTGGCCTCCTCACAGCCCCGATTTGAACCCCATTGAGCATGTTTGGGCCAGACTAAAGAGAGATCTCTATAGAATGTTCCCTTGGGTCTCCAAATTGAAGAAAAACGCAGCTGATATCGCAAAATTTAAAGCGTGCTTGGAAGCGGCGTGGGAAGCTATCCCTCAGGACTTCATTCGGGGCCTGCTAGAGTCAATGCCGCGGAGGATCGAGGCCTGCCGCAAGGCTAGGGGTTGGTATACAAAATATTAAAGCCACGCCTCTGAGGAATCCAAAAATGTAGTTACTCTTACTGTAGCTAGTCTGTAGCCTGTGGAATTGGTGTCTTTATTCTACGCGTTCCCGTCAGGGTGGTGGTGTAAGTGGGGCTGTTGCAGGACTTTTGGAACCCCGGTGTACCACCCAACACCCTCCGAGCTCGCCTCACTGGCGCGCAAAGTCGTCAGATCGCTCGTCAAGAACAACTACGCCTTACCGCCGATCAAGAAGATGATCTTGAGCGCTGGATTCTGCGACAGGAAAAGCTCGGCCACGCACCAACTCACGCGCAAGTTCGAGCTATCGTG